GGCTACCAGAGGGAGGAAGGTGGAGCTCTTGTTTAAGAACAGAGTTTCAATGGGGAGCAATGCAGACGTTAGGGAAATAGGTGGTGCTGTGGGTTGGTTGTACAACACTGTGACTGTAACTAATTCCACCGAATTGTACACTCGCAGTGGCTTTCCATTTGAACATTGTGGACAGAGTAAATCTTAAATGTTCTCAGCACAAAAAAATAATAATAATTTGTGACTATGTGAGGTGACAGATGTTAACTTACTGTGGTCATCATTCTGCAATATATACATATATTAAATCATTATGCTGCACACCTAAAACTGATACAAGGTTATGTGTCAATTTTACCTGAAAAACTGAGTGAAATGGCTAAAATAGCAAATTTTATGTTATATATATTTCACCACAATGAAAAAGATCTCACCAGATCCAAACACTTTTATGTTTTTCCTTTCTATTAAATGTATCGGGGTGACGCTGGTTAAAAAAAGTACTCAGGTTTCAGGTTTATAGTTCTACCTCCCTTCATCTGTACACTGCGCTGTGTGGTCACCCCCCCAGGTCAGAGCTCCTTCTATCACCATTTCCCCCCCATACTCTCCTCCACCTCCCTCCCTGCAGTGGTCACCACGCTATTGTCCATGTCCATGAGTTTTTCCTTGTTTGTTTTGTTTTGCTCAATCCCCTCATCCCCACCAAAAAATCCTGACACCTGTCAGCCTGCTAACTATCTATGAGTCTGTCTCTATTTTGCTTGTTAGTTCATTAGATTCCACATATGAGCAAAATCATATGGTATTTGCCTTTCTCGGACTGGCTTATTTCACTCAACATGTTGTTCTCCAGGTCCATCTACTGTGTCTCAGGGGTTAAGCTTTTTTTCTTTTTTATAGCTGGGTAGCACTGCACAGTTATACAGACAAGTTCACAGAATAGATAATGTGTGTGTGTGAGAGAGACAGACAGACAGACAGAGGCAGGGGGACAGAGAGAGAGGCAAAAAGAAAGAGACTAGTCTGCTTTTTTGAGATTAGAAATATCTTTTATACTAAAATAAAACAAGAGCAGTGCAAGAAAGGAAAAAAATACAATCTATTATGAACATAAAAGCAGAAAATCTAGGTATAAAAAACTAAATCTAACAATTATTATTTATTTTTAAATAGATTTTATTGATTTTGCTATTACAGTTGTCCCATTGTTTTTCTCCCCTATTTTTTAAATATTTTGACCAAGTTTAGTGTATCCCAGAAACACAAGAAAAGTTTGACATCAAAAAGCCTGTTCATGTAATTCACACTAAAATATTTTTTAAATCATGTTTGATTATCTCAAAAGATGCAGAAAAAAAAGCTTGTGATATATGATTCAACACTTGCTGTAGATTAAAAACTCTTTAACCAGCTGGGAACACTTATAAGCATGAGAATTTTTATACTTTGATTTAAAACAAGTTTGCTAGATTCACTTATTTTTCTTGCATATGAATTTTTGCAAGAAATTATGTTTTTGAATTTTGCTTTTTAATAATTTCAGGGTATTATGAGGAGATGCATAATTCTTAGTAACCGGTTCAATTTAGTTCAATGTTAAAAGATGAGGGAGGTTATAATCAGAAGGGGAATGAGCACAAGAGTGGTGAACAAATTCTGCCTCTGTGATCAGCTGATCGATTCAAGCGAATGATCTCTTACCATAAATATCTGCTGTAGACTGAATGCGTCCCCCGAAACTCCCAGGTTGCCGCCCTACCCTTCAATGTCACTGTATTTGAAGACAGGAATTTTAGGAGGTAATTTCTGTTAAATGGGGTCATAAGAGTGGAGTGCTGACCCCAATCGCAGATGTCCAATGGGAGGAGTTATGTGTCTCTCCACCTGAGTGCATCCAGGAAAAGCCACGTGAGGACAGAGTAAGACGTCAGCCACGTACAAGCTCGCGCACCACACTGAAGCAGCTGGCGGCGTGGCCTTGGGCTTCCCCGCCTCCAGCACTGTGAGAAAATCAAACTCTACTGTCTAAGCCACCCGGCCTATGGTATTTTATTAAAATTATCTGAGACAGCATTTGCCCTCTTTTCTCATCTTATAAAGTTTACAGCGTTTGCTGTCTGATGAATGTTAACTTAATAAACCTCACATCAGCCCTCTGCAGTGGTTACTGTTATTCATCTCACTTTACAGATGAGGAAGTTGAAATCTGGGGACGTTACGGAAGTTGACCAAGGACCCTGGACTTGAATATCCCACATTCAACTTCTCCCTCTCCGCTCCCCTCCTGAAGCTCCATGGATTCCCTCAATTTCTCCCCCATGACTTTCGCTTACTCTCCCATTTCCCATCTCTCTCTGCCATATTTTCATTTTCTAAAATCTCTCCTTTATGCCGTGGCTGGTGTGGCTCAGTGGATCAAGTGGCGGGCTGTGAACCAAAAGGTCTCCAGTTCAATTCCCAGTCAGGGCACGTGCCTGGGTTGCAGGTCAGTGGGGGTGTGCGAGAGGCAACCACACATTGATGTTTCTCTCCCTCTCTTCTCCCTCCCTTCCCCTCTCTCTAAAAAGAAATAAATAAAATCTTTTTAAAAATAAAACAAAACAAAAAATAAAATCTCTTCTTTACATCATTAATTATCTTTCCAGCCCTCTCATCAGATATTTAACCCATACTTTGCTTCAAAAAAAACCCATAACCATACTATAAATTTCTAAAACTTCGAGCTGGTTCTTTTCACATTTTCCTGACCTTTCTGATGGTATCTCACCCTTCTTTGATCTTTTCAAAGCCTCCTTTTAAGCTCTATTATGGTCATTGCTTTTTTTTATATTCTTCCTCTGATCACTGTATTATCAGAACTTCTTGGGTGTCTAACAGTGCCCTCTGGTTGTCTGCAGACTCCTGGCTGTCCCTCCTGGGCTGTCTGATTTTGGACGGCGAGCTCACCTCCTGCAAGTCTATGTGCAGCCATCCTGGACGGACGGACGACTCAAAGGTGTGTCTCTCCAGAAAAGTTTTGTGTCTGCCCTTGCCCAGCACCCACAGGGACACGGTAACCTGAGTCTGCTTTTAAAATGTGCCCCCTGGGGAGTTTCTAAAAGATATAAATAGCAGAAACAGACAGTTAAACAGCAGAGCGCAAGCCACGCTGTTGTGAATTCCTGGGAGAATATTTCTCAGCACGTGCAGAGCACAGACTGAGACAGACCCGTGCTTCTATCATCTCCTTGTGCTTTCAATCTGAAGACCTATTATTCTTTCTCTTTATAGAGTTTTTCTTATATTGCCTCTTTGACAAGTTCTGCCTTTTCTTTTTTTTTTTTCTTGTTTTCTCTTTCTATATCTACAAGTGTGAGATTTCTTAACCTGAGAGCCTCTCATTTTCTCTGGAACTCTGTATTGTAAGGGCAATAGGCTAGTTTCTTTCACTAAGGGATCCTGAAATGCCAGTCTCTGGGACCTGTTCTTTGTGGTGCTCCATTTCTCCAGGTATATTTTTGGTTGCCTCAGCTCCGTGAGAAGGAGAGGGCCCTGTCCGCCTCCCCCCTTAGTATTCAGCAGTCAGCCCTGAGACACAGGCACCCTCTGCCCTGCCTTGGACTTGAGACCAGAATGTCTATGGCGCAACTTCCATCGAAGCCCCTAGTCTCCCCTGAGTGGCAGAAGAAGAAGGGGTGAGGAGGACTGGCATTATTCCTAGGGCCACCAGGGGTAAGGGAGGGTCCTAGAAATCTAGCCCCTCTCTGTGTAGACCTTCAAATCTTCTTGCATTTCAGCCCCATTGCTCTCCCACTTTTCTTGGTACCTGACTGTATTAGTTTCCTGAGGCTGCTGTAACAAAAAACTGCACATTCAGTAACTTAATACAACAGAAACGTATCGGCTCACAATCCTAGAGACTAGCAGTAAGAAATCAAGGCATTGGTGTGGGCTGCTTCTGAGGGCAGTGAGGGAGAGTCGGTCCCGTGCCTGGCGCCAGCTTCCCGTAGGCACAGGTGCTCCTGGGCCTGTGGCTGCCGTCCTTCCCACGTTTTCACATGATCTTCCCTTCACGTGTGTCTCTGTGCACAGATTCCCCTTTGGGTTATAAGGACACCATCATACTGGACTCGGGCCCAGTCTGATGGCCTCATCTTAAACTGATGCCCATCGTCAAGACCTCATCTCCAAAGCAGGTCACACTCTGAGGTGCCGAGGGTTAGAACTCCAGCGTACCTGTCGCAGAAAGACACATGCAGCCCATCACACTGCTGAGGCGATTCGTGGGCCTCTCTGGAGTTCTGCAGCATGTACAGCTCATTTCTGCATCCTCGTGCCGTCCTGTCCCCCTCACACTGAGACACGTGTGTGCACATGGACACACAGAGAGATAAACACCCATGCAGAATCACACACAGATACACAGAAACATGGAGAGATGCACACGGAGACACACAGATACACAAACATAGATATACTCAAACACACACCCAAGTACATAGAGGCACACACAGAGACACACCCATACACATGGCACATACACTGAGATACACACAGATACACAGAAACACGAGAGACAAGAAACACGGAGAGACACACAAACACACAGAATAGTGTCCTGGGCGTGTGGCTTGCTTTGGTCTGTTCCTCCCAAACTCTTCCACCATCTCTGCCTCTGCCCTCATTCCCCCTGCTCTTCTGAGCCATAACATTTATATCTTCAGTAATTTAGGGGGTTCAGAGAATAAATGGAGATTAACTGTGCACATTCACTCTCCCACATTTGACTGAGAAACACCCAGAGGCACATCCGCTGGGGCCCGGAGCACCGCCAGGGCGCCTTTGCCACAAAGGAGACACCCTCCCCCTGAAATGATGTCCTTTATGAACCTTAGCCGCCTGCCTCTGCGCAGGGCCCATCTGTACCAGAAATGCCCAGTGACCCCCTGACCTGCGGCTCTCAAAGCTTGACCTAATTTCTGCCCAGCTCCTCCCCAAGCTGATTTTCCTTTGTTCTTGTCCTGCAGGTTGCGCTCCTTGGCTCAGCATATTTGTGTGTCACGACTGTAACCTATCACTTTAAAAGAAAAAAAAAGCCAGCAAGTGACCTTCCTTAGGAACGAGTTGCTAAGTGGGTGTTTTTGCGAAGACTTGGCTGCAGCTTCCCCAGAGCCTGGAGCCGCCCTGGGACCGCCCCAACGTTCAGCCTTTTCCTTTGAGCTCAGAGAAGACTCCACAGTAAGACCTGTCTCTCTCCGCTTCCCCTTCACCCCAAAAAGCGGAATCTGCCACGTGCCTTGGTGAAGTTTCTTAAGGTAAATCACTTCCCCCTCCTCCGGGAGCAGGGCTGATGGGGGCCTGCTCTCAGTTCCCGTCTTGGAGTTCAGCCCCTCCCCCCAGGCCCTGAGCAGATTGAAGGACTTGCCAAGTTAGGAGTTCTCATCATTTTTACCCACGTTTTAGTTTCTAGAATTGAAACGTACCGCATCCTTTAGGCCGCTTTGATTAGAGCTGCCGCCTGGAGTCTGGTTTGCAGCAACGTTAAGTCAGCTTGTCATAGTCCCTGGGGGAATTCCTCCCAGACAGTCACTCTGCTTCCTGGGACGTCCAGGCCAGCCCACTGCCTACCAGTCTCCCAGAAACATGGGCTGCATGGTACACTTCTGGGCCCCTTAGCCCAAATGGGTTCAAAGGGTTCAGGAGTAGTTATTGCAAGCCTCCCTTTTCTTGGCATTAGAGAGCAAAGGGCCCGCGACAAAGGGCTGAGGATCACTGTGAAACGCTAATAAAGTCTAAGGGGAAATACACGTACAATATGTTATTCCTTTTTCATGGAACTTCTGGAAATCAACGCAGGGCCAGCATGCGGTGTCTCTGCCTCTCTCTCCTAGAGCTCATTTACAGAGTCGTCCATGGAAACATTTACTGAATATTAACAATGCACCAGGCAACGAGCTGGAATTTAAAGTGTGCAAAATTGAGTCAGACCCAGTCAGAAGTTCAGAGTTTCCCAGGAAGACAGACTGTAAACAGATAATAGTGCAATGAGAGATTTATAAAGGGGCCTGAGGTGCCCAGAGCCCAGCGGGACCACTCGGGGAGGGCCCGGGGCCCTCAGTGCTTCCTGTCGGTGCCCTGGGCACACATCCCAGCACAGCTCAAATATTTATACGCGCTCTTTGAAGGCAGTGCATGTTCTATCGAGCTGATTACATGACTCTCTAAAGCTGTTTGGTGGGAATAACTTGTAGAGCTGGGTGATGAATTCAAAAGGATGCGTGTGGCTCCTGCCAGGGCTCCAGGCTCCAGCTCCAACAGGATGAAACAGAGAAGCTAAGCGCTGTGTGCAGGGGAAGCTGCCCCTGTCGGGTGGGAGACCCCACCCGCGGAAACAGAAGGGAGGCTGCCTGGCGTTTGCTGGACATTTCACTGCCCACCTTCCACGAGTTACCCCTGATGAGAGGACCCCCGTGGAGGGAGGAGTCGAGGCCACACGCTCACAGGCCAGGGATGTCTGTCTCCTTGGAGAGGTGAAGGCGTAGCTTCAAGGGTGCACAGCTGGTGAACGCAGCCGGAATTTGAACCCTGGCCCATGTAATTTTTTGCAAAGCCCTCACTCTCTCTGGGAACCCAGGTGTTCACTGTTCCGGAGAAGGGCACACATATTGTGTTCATTTTTTTAAGCAGCCAAGGCTGAGATGAAGACGATTCTGCCCTTTTCATATACTTTCATTCCTTTCTCCCCACAGCCTGTCGAATTTTTGACCTCGATCCTCTGAGGTTAGTCCATTTGTCTAGGTGAAGGTATCAGTACTTTCCTTCAAAAATGTGTTTGGTTTTCTGTACTGAGCTAAAGAAATCATTAACCTAACATCACCAAAGCTCTTTCTCACTGGCACAGCGCCCCACTGTTTTCCGGTGTAAATATTTCCAGAATCACGGGCTCGCAGGACAGTGACTGATACCACTGACCAAACAAGAACAGGTGGTGAGACAGACAGACAGACAGACAGATAGGTAGAGAAGCCTGAGGGAGGACTCTGGAGTCGTGTTGGGGACAAATTCTGAAGGCAGTGTTTAACGGCAATCATCTTGGGCAAACTGTGCAACCTGCCAGAGGTAACCTCCGGGGACACCTGGGGTTCCTTTCCTGTAAACCGAGGCGGGTCCTGCTACGTTAGCCATGTTGTTGTGAGACCCGGTGAGAACAGGCACCTGGAGAGAGCTCAGAACGAGCCTGCAGTGAGTCTTGGCTCTTCCTTTGATATTGTCCACGGAAATGTACTAAGAAGCACTCAGTGCTTGTGCTGACAAGCTGCTTATTAAAGTTGGGCTGTACTGATTTATCTTTTCTTACCAAGAGTGTTCCCCCCAAAATAAATTTTGATGTCATTTGATTTCCTTGGAAACTCATTCAAAGGTAATGACCAGGAAAGAATGAGAAGGAAAAGGCAGCCCCGTTACATGTTTCATTCTCTATTTCTTTCTTTCACATGCAGCATTTTTTAATTTACTGAAAAACCTCTTTTTAGGTCACGAAAATGTTTCACAGTTCCTTCGTTCTGGTTCGCAATGTTCAGAGTAGTTGATCAGAGCGCTTTTGTGTCCGTCAGAATTTTATTTTTATTATCTGCCCCCTTGTGCTCTCTAGATTCCCTCCTCTCCCTTTTCTTTTCTTATTTCCCTTCCTGGGTTTTGTGCAGCCTGGGAGGAGGTCTGGGTGGGAGACAGTAGAAATTCGGGTGCTCTATTGCCCTTTAACATGCTAATTCCCCATTAGGGTCAGCAACACCTTGTACACCTTAGACGGGGCTGCTGAAATGGACAAAGCCAAGTTGAGATTCAGCTTCCGGGGTTATCGGGGAGGGTTTATGATTTGGCAGCCCTCACATTCCATGTCCCCATGTGCTCATTTATTCTTCCCAGCAGCCCAAAGGAGACAATGAAGCTCTGACAGGCTCCAGAATGTGGCTGTGAAGACGCAGCCAGTAGAGTCAGGCATTCATTTGGAAAGTATTTACTGAGAGTCTGCTGCGTGTCCTAGTCCTGGGCTCTGGGGATGATCCTGCCCTCTTATGGCTTATATTCTGATGGGGCATGAACAGACAATCACAAATAAAGATGCATGTCGACTGGAGATAAGCACTGAGGGAAAATAGACCCTTGTATGGTAGTTAGTGAGTTCCAGGAGGGGAAGGCGGACGGTCAGCATCGGGTTGGGAGTGTCCATGGAAGACCGCTCCAATAGAAAGAAATCTGGACAGAGTCCTGAGGAATGGAAGGAGAGAGAGAGCCACGCAGACGCCTGGGGCACGAGCGTTCTGTGTGGGGAGAACAGCAAGCACGCAGCCCCCGAGGCCAAAGGACTCAAGCACAGAACCCACAGCACCAAGCTGGCTGTTGAAAAAACTAAATTTCATCGTGATGAGAACGGGAAGTCTTTGAAGGATTTTGTGTGGAGGAATGACATGATCTCAGTTAAATTTTAAACAATTCTCTCTGATTTCAACACAGAAAATAGACTATAGGTGCATAGGTGGGAATCAGAGAAGCTAGGGGGTCTTTGGGTGAGGCCACATGAGAGACAGGGTGTCCTAGCAAAGCGATAACAACGGAGGTGGTAACTGGAGGTGGCTGAATTCTCAGTATGATTGGAAGGCAAAGCTGTAGGGATGTCTGATGGGTTGGGTGTGGTGTGTCCTGTGAGACTCAGATTAGAATCAAGAATGACCCCAAGGTTTCAGCCTGAGCAGAATACAGTTTTGTCTCTGGGCACAAGGGAGGTCGCAGGACCAGCTGGTTGGGTGTCAGGACACGGAGCTCCATCTGGAGCATGTCAAACCCATATCTCTCTAGCACTTGGACAGTTGAGTCTGGAGTTTGGGGGACACATGTGGCCCCAGGAGGCAATTTGGAGAATATCGGTACATCGATGGTCTTTAAAGCCAAGCAACCGGATGAGACCCCCCAGGGGATGAGTAGAGCCCAGGGCACCCCGTGGGGTGGTTGGGAGACGAGGAGAAACTAGCCCAGGAGTCTGAGAAGCAGCAGCCTGCGGGCAGGAGGAGAACCAGGAAACGCCATGTCCCAGAAGCCAAGTGAAGACAGTATGTCAAGGAAAAGAAAGGGATGGGTCACTTGCCTTACTATCTGCCTCTCTGTCCGGTGGAGCAAGATGAGGACTGAGGACCGATCGGTAGATGTGGTGGCACCGGGGTTGTTGGCAAGAGCAGTTCCGGGAGGTGCTGAGCTCAAAATGCTGACTGGGAAGAGAGGGTTTGCAGAGTTTTCCTGGGGAAGATTAAAAAGTTGAGCAATAACTAGAAGGAGACGTGAAGTGAGGGAGGTATTTTTAAAGAAAGGGCCAGTCCCAGCACTTTGTGCACTGAGGGCCATGAGCCAAAGGAGCCAGAAGAAGTGGCCCTCCAGGTGGAAGGGGAAATCGTCCTAATCAGGCTCTGGAGAAGGGGCAGCCCAGATGCGAGCAGGGACAGTAGCAAGTGGAAGCAAAGGAGGTGCCATGCTTCAGTGGGGAGGGCGAGGGAGATGTGGAAACCCTCTTCGGTCTCATCTCTGGCTCAATGAAATGAGAACCAAGGTCAAGGGTAGAAAGGAGGAGTGGGAAGGTGGAGGTTTGAGGCTGTGAAGTATCTTTGCAGAGCTGGGTCTTCTGACTGCAAAGGCAGGACCGCTGCCTGGCTCCCCACAGCTGCCCAGTAAAGAGGGGCTCCTTGGCAGACCGATGGGAACAAGAGGCCTGGCATCCCTCCCATTCCCCAAGGGTTCATTCCCTCCAGTCCTGGGTCTGTGAGAACGGATTCCTTGTGAATGGGGCATCTACTCAATTCAAGCACTTTGCTCGCTACCCATGGAGGTCAACTTCACATTCATGAACAGTAAGAAAGGCATTCCACTGATGCAAAGGCCTGACTTCTTTGTTCTTTGTCAGGGAGGAGCCATCACAGCCAGAATGGATCCCAAGGAAGAAAAAATGAAAATAATCACAGAGGTAAGTGGTTGATTAGATGCCCTCTAGGCTGTGCTTGTGTCGGCTGTGCACTCACATCGCACGTGTTTGTGAGGGAGGACACGAACTGCCCGGCCACCGCACTGCACGCAGAGGGCATGTGGTGAGGAAGAGGGTGGGTGGTGCAGGCACTGCAGGGGTTTGCTTCTGCTTGTCCCCTTGTCATGGATTCTGACACACAGCAGTTTTGAGGCACCACCTGCTATAGGAGCGAACTCTGCTGAAACCCACAGGTTTTCAGAGAAATTCAGAATGAAGGCAGCAAGCATAGATTAGAACCACCAATCAAATCCTCCGTCTCGTGGAGTCCTGCAATTTCTAACTCATTGTGCACAGACATCGCTAAACTCTGTCCAGGACAGAGAAGGAAAGATGTGTCCAGTTTGGAGACTGTAGACCTCCAAACAGGGGGACTTATTCCCCTCAATCCTTGCTTCTGTCCCGGCTCCAGGGCTCACAGACCGGAGACCACGGAGACAGATAAGGAGACACTACGCTCTTCTCAACAGTGTTTCAAAAAGACCCGAGGAATACGTTTCCCAGATGAAACCTCATCACTCCACATTTGCTCATTCATTCATGCAGCAAATATTTACTGTTCTCCTGGTCCCTGGGCAAACAGCGGGGATACACCTCTGTGCCCTCGTGGAGTTTACCTCCTATGTAATTTGAAGTCCTGTGGGACTGCTTGTCACTGATAAAGGATCAGACCATTATTGGAAAGCAAGAAAGAACCTAGATTTCTCATAAGGCCATTCTAAGGCAGTAAGAACTTAGACTTGACTTCGGAACCCTACTTGGGTACCGCAGTGCTATCCACATTGTGTGTGTGATCTCACTTGGCGGGTTTCTGAGCTCAGAGCACTCCCTCCCTGGTGGGCCCCTGAAGGGCAAGGTCCAAGTGAGACCTGCCCCCAGGGGATGTCAGAGAAGAAGGGAGGACAGCTCACACCGCACCCATGCCCCGGATCACCTCCTCTGTAACTGAAGTTCGTGTCTCCTCCAATCCTGACAGCCAAGGGCACGATGTGTGATTGGAGCCTCGGCCAACAGCCTACATTACATGTCTTTGAACTCTCATGTCATTAAAACCCATGCTTTGTGTTCCAAGTTCGTTTCTGTATGAAAATTTTGAAGTTCCCAATTTTAGAGAAGAACTCTAATATGGTATACCAGGAACAGGTTCTGACTTTATCTTGCAATTACTTTTATACCCAGAAGTGCTGGCTCCCCAGTTTGAAAAACTTCAACACTAGACAAGTTGAACACTTGACAATTTGAGTGCATTCATCTCTCACATTTTATGAATAAAACATTAGAGAATGCAATATGGGAAAAGAAAACAAAGTTTGCACTGTTGAAGGGTTTCTCACTTTTTTAAAAGATCTGCTAAGTGTTTCTTTAAATCAAAACCTCCCCCGCGATTCAACAACATGTGTTATCATTATTCTCCCCCTGATAGTAAGACCCGGGGCGCAGAGAAGCCCGACCCCTGAGTCCCTTCACGTGGTTCTGGGGCCGCCCTGTGTTAGGGCCCTTCATCTGGGCCAGCCCGCTGGTCCCGGCAGGTTCCCTTGTTAGCTGCTCATCAGGTTGTGACTTCTGAAGGCAGGAGGCATCTCCGTGCCCCCCAGTACCAGGAACACAGTAAGTGCTCAATAAATGCCCCTTGGGGAAGGAGCACCTGGGACCGGGAAGCCCCGTCGCCCCATTCCCCAGGTTTCCCTTTGGAAGCATCTTTTCAAGGGCGCGTCTGTTTTGTGCAGAGCAGCTGGTCCACTCACACTCGGTCTCGGTGCGTGGAGGCCCCGGGGCAGGAGGGCGGTTTTAATTTCAGTACCTAAAAATCACCCCGCCTTTCTCTCTGAACGGTTCTTTCCAAATGTGTACACACACACACTCACACACACTCACAGAGCAGGTGACACACCAACTGACGACTCTGTCATTTGCATTTTGACAAAGGAGGTCGTTGAAAATGATGAGGATGTAGGTGTGGGGAGAGAGAAGACTGCAAAGGCTCGCGGACACAGAAGAAAGAGGCAGGTAAGGTGCATGGCCCACCTGCACCCAGGGGAACCTCCGTCCTTCTGTGGGGGAGGCGGGGACGTGCGGACGGCCCAGGTGGGGCCCTCCCCGTGGCACACAGGACACTCACAACAGGACCCCGGTCAGTACCTTTTTCCTCTAAGATCACCCTCTCCTGGGAGAGAAAAATGATGGAAAGGGCCCCAGCAGGGTTGCCGTCAATGGCCACTATTAACTAAGACCGACAATAGATGGCAGTGCAGGACTGCAAATCTTGGGGAACCACCCCCCCCCCCCCTTTCTCCAACTCGGAATTCTGCTTAGGTCTGAGCGGGAGGCCCACTCCCTGCTCCCAGGGCTGCTGGCAGTCCCCCCCCCAAGCTCTCCTCTCCGCAGCAGTGGCCCCCCTTAACCGGGAGCATCCCCACTTGAGTACAAGGTCAACTTCTCAAGGTAACAAAATCCCTTGGTAAGAATCCTTGCCCTCCATGGATGGATGATTTCTTTGGAATACTCCAGATGCCAGCCAGGGAAGGGAGGGACGGCAGCGCCATTTTGAGCCAGCAGCCCTGAGATGGGGCCTGTGGAAGGGGGGACTGGAAAGAGTGGGGAGGTGGGGAGGGCACCCGAGAACCGGGCGGGGAAGAAACCCTGCTGTCAGCTCCTCCTCCCCAGCGCTCTGCAGTTGCAACCAGCCGGACTTTGGGGCAGATTTTTGCTCCTGCAGCTGAGACAGAGCCGGGGGGGGGGGGGGGGGGGGGTGCGCGCCAGGGATGGGAGGTGCTGCCCAGCCACGTGGCTGGTCCCTCTGGCCACTCAGGGAGCTGTAGCCCCTTGCTACCCGGTGAGCAGTGGCTCAGCAGCCAAGGGCAAGGGGACCCAGGGAAGCAGCCATGGCCGGGAACAGAAAGAAAAAGGGCAAGTGCTTAGAGCAAGGCCACAAGAAGGGTGAGCTGGGCGACCAGGGTTAGCGGGGCATGGGGTGCAGAATAGAGCCCAGGGCCAGGCATCACTCTGGGCATCAGCTCATTAACTGAACAGGCACCAGAGCCCTGATCACTGACCACACAGCAGCCTCTGGGGCTTTGTGGTAAACTTTCAGTAATGATTCTTAACTCCAGTGACACTTCAGAGTCACTGGGGGACTTTTTTTCTTTAAGTAGATGCCTCAGATTCCGCCCCCACCCCCACCCCAGCTACCCAGGCCGTTTATTTACACCAGAATCTCTGTGCTTCGCACAATGCCTGATAGTAGAGGCATCTCAGTGGGTGGGCTTTTTAATTTCCCTTCTTTTACCGAGGAGGAAGGAGGAAAGTTCGAAGTCAAACAGCCTTCCCAGAGTCGCACAGTAAATCTGAGTTCAAGCCTTCCTCCCACCACTCAGCCTTGGCCTCCATGGCCACTTTCGCTCACCTGCTTGCCCTCCTCTGAGAGTCAGGGCAAGAAACCAAGGGCGACTCTTTGCCCTGGGTCACCCAGGGACACTGAACAGCTGTTTCCAAATGAGCTGGAGTTGGGATCAGATAGTTTAGTTGTGACTTTCCTGCTTCCCATCTCTCTAAATATCCACAGAGCCCTGGACATTCTACCTAGAAGGAGTGGAAGTATTCACTTTATTATGGGATGCCCTTAGAGAAACTCAGGGTTGGCGCCGCCTCCCTGCAGAGTGGCCGCAGAGACGCAGGTAGCCGGGACCACAGTTATCCAGATCTGAATTGTGTGCAGGCCTGTTCCCTGTCCGAGTGACCTGTCTCACCCGGAGACAGGACCCGAGTCACCTGAAGCCCCGGGAGTCACAGCCTCTGCCCCTCTGCTCGCAGCCACAGACCACTGACCCCGAGGAAATGGTGTCTGGCAGAGCCGATCCCGGTGGCCCGCAGGAGCCGGTGCCGGTGGACCCCGACCCCAACACTCAGCTGCTGGGCACCACGGCCCGGAGAGGCCCTCGAAGTGAGTGTCTCGTGGTTCAGTTCTCTGACCACTAGTGATGCTGGGCATCTTTTCCTATGATCATGGACCATCTGTGTATGGTGTTTGGAGCAATGTGTATTCTGCGCCCATTTTCTTATCAAATTCTTTTGTTGTTAATGTCGTTGAGTTGCAGGAGTTCTTTATAAAATGTGGAGAATGACCGCTTGTTGGAGATAGGGTCTGCATTATTTTCTCCCAGTTCATCATTGCCTTTTTGCTCTATGGATTGTGTCCCTGGATGCACCAGACCATTTAAATTTGACGTAGTCCCTCGTCCATTTTCACTTGCCTATGCTTTCAGGTCATGTTCGAGAAATCTCTGCCAGACTTGGTGTGGCGAAGGTCTCCTCTATGCTTCTTCTAGGAGTGCTATAATTTCCGGTCTTACCTTTAGATCCGTAATCCATTTTGAAACTCCTCTTTTATGAGTTTCCCTCTTTCTGTTTGGTGCCAGTTAAGGGACGGGCTTTATTCTTTCACGCGTGGATAACGAGCTTCCCAATACCATGTGTCGAAGAGGCCGTCCTTCTCCCACTGAGAAGTCTTGGGGTCTTTGCTGGAGATCACTTAATACAAGGGTTTATTTCATGACTCTTATCATGGGGGCTGGAACAATAACCAAAGCCACCTAAGCCATGGGAGCCTCATTGATAAAATGGGGACAATAAAAGCCAGGCTTTGCGCAGCTGTCATGGCAACAAAACCCGCTGATGAACTGAAAGCCTCGCTCAGAGGGTCTGGCGTATATCCAGTGGCCTCCTCCACCTGGAAGAAAAACTCTATGCTAAGTAACTAACAGAAATAATTACCTTTCTTGAGGCTAAGACGTGACAGGCACCAGGCTAAGGGCTTTCCATGTGTCACATTAGTCCTCACCATCGGGCATCGCCGTATAAATTGGGGAACCGTGTTTAGGGAGGACCGATAGCTAGGGGTGGTGGAGCAGAAGGCCAATTCCAGTCCGCAGGCCTCAGAAGCTGCACCACAGATAGCATCCTTCTGCACCCACGAATCTCCACCCTGGCTGGACGTTGAATCGGGTGGTTCAACTGGCACTGTCCACAGTGGTGCCAGAGCCCCCCGGGGACCTGCCTACGGGCAGGGAAGCCAGCTCAGAGTCCTCACAAGATTGTCAGCCTGGCTGTGCCTTCTTTACCCTAAGTGTGTCACTCGGGTAAATCACACACCTGGTTCTCCCAACCTAGGTCAACCCCTTCTCTATTGGGATTTTGTCTGTTTGTCTTATCCCAGCTCCTTACCTTTCAGAAACCAGTAGATAATGTCTCCTCCTTTGGGAAGTTTCCCCTTGCCCACTGCCACCCCATTTGGGCTGAGTAGACGTGCCCCACTTTCCGTGGGTCCTGGCCCATGTGAGTGCCCGAAGTCTTTCTTGTTGGCACACGGCCTCCCCTCCCTGCTGGACTAGGACTCTTTGAGGACAGAGACTGTCAGCTCTGCTGAGCACGGTGCTGGTATACGGACGGCACCCCGCGATGCCGACTGGGTGACCAGTTGTCTCAAGTTGGCCATCCTGCATTTGACTGGGGGCTGTGTTCTGGCTCAGATGTGCTCCCTCACCCCCCCCCAACTCCATGCCCACCAAACACTTCCAATTGTGTCTGTTCACCTGAGGCCAGAATTTTGACTTCCCAGACCTCCTGTGGATCTGGCGTACCCCTCAGACCTACCACCCAGCTCCTCACCTTGAACCTGCAACCCTCTCCACATTGTAGCATTCCTTCAGGGCTCTGAGGGTTGTCAAGGTCAGACAGCATCCAGACACGCAGACGCTGGCACCCCTGGTTATATGGCCTCCCCCACTGCACCGGCCGCGCATGCAGAGGTACCACTTCCCTGGTAACGGGAGCACAAATCTACGCAAGGAACACTTTGTCTTCTAATTTGCTATTCAAACATGTACATAGTCAGGACATTCCCAACACAGCAAGCACTGCACTGAGCAGGCCCTCGTTCCAAATCAAATAAACCTCTAGAACAAAAGCGCACACATTCCCCCGTGATTCCAACTCCGCTTCAGGGAGTAACTATCAAATGTTAAGTGGTTTCTTATGAACATAAATTTCTTCATTACAGACATCTGTTTTCCGTTTAATCGTGTTGGCTTCTCTGATTAAAACACTTCAGAGCCAATTGCTCAGTATTGATTGAAAAGGAAGTTTGGAACCTGGTGAAATCTGATGCCAAAGACAGGAAATAATAGACCATTTGGTTTAGGCATACTTTCCAAAACCCACAGGGAGGTGAGAAGACTGGCCCAGGAAACACCTGTCAAAGGGACAGGGTGAGACGGAGAGCCACCCAGGGGAGCAGGGTCTGGGGTGTTCTCGGAGCCTTGCTGCTGCAGAAGGGAAAGAACGTTCTAGTCAGAGGACACATCTTGGCGAGGCAGGAGTGCCAGAAACTCCCCCCCAGTGGAGACAGTGCTGGCTCTTACAGGGCTGAGAGACAAGTATAAGTAAATAGTACACTGTATTCTATAGTATTTTTTTATTTCCTGAATATTATGATGTTTGACATCTTAAGAAAAAATAAACCTTTCTAGTTGGGGAGAGACTAGCTCATTCTTAGGACAAAGGCCCCGACGGGAGCTGGCCCGATGCACAAACTCACCGACCCAGGGCCCACCCAGCCCCCTCTGCCTGGCCCGCTCCCCAGCAGGCGATAGTCCTCTGTCCAAATCACCCCAGGGCCCGGCACCAGGAGACCGGAGACCACCCCGTAGACTGGAGCCCACCCAGCTCTCCAAACTGGCCAGTGCCGGGCTGCTCCCCCTGCCCTGCCCCATCTTTCCCTCAGCAACCCCAACAGAGTCCGAGGCCTGAGCTCTCCCTGCTCCTGCCTCCTGCTTCCCAACCGCCTGGTGTCTTCCCGCGCAGCCCTGTGTGGTCCAGCTCTCGGACCTGGGAGGATAATGGACCTTGAGTCCCAGGCCTCTCCGCTGTCTCCTCTGTGGCCGCACCTGACCAACCATCTCATAAAGGAACTCAGAGAACGCAGAACATACAAGTTGTTATGATTAGTTATAAGGAAAGGCTTTCTCCAAAACACTCCTTTTCAGCAAAATCCCCCCCAAAGTCACGTGTCCCCATTTTTGTCTACACCCTTGAACCTACTGCACTCTAACTCACAGCCCCACTCCCCATCAAAACTGTTCCTCTCCAGGTCGCCCGCGAAGACCCCTTTGCTCAGTTTGGCAGTCAGTTCTCAGTCTTTACCTGCCTCAGCAGCACTGGCTGAGCTCTCCGCTCCCACCTTCCTCTGCACCTTCCTTCTGGACTCTGCTGTCCTGGCTGGACGTCTCCCTCACTGCTGTACGCCAAGTCCTTGCCGGTCTGTGACCCATTTTGAGACACAGTTTACTCAACTGAAACCGAGCTGATCTCCTTCTCCCCACCGCAGGCTGTTCCTCCTGGAGTTTCCCCATCTCATTCAGTGGGCGTTTCAGCTTTGCCGCTGCTCGGGTCCAAACCTCGGAGTCCTTTGTCATTCCCGTCTTTCTGTCTGCCCGCATCTCATCTACCAACAAGTACTGTGTGCTCCACCTCTAGGACTGATCTAAAACGGGACCGTTTCCCACACCCCCTCCACTCCCAGCTGGAACCCAAGCCACCCCGAACTCTCACCCAGAGTATCCCAGTTCTCCGGGTCTCCTCGCCCCCGCTCTCAGGCCAGCAGCCCGAGTGGACTTGTGGAAACAAAGTCACATCACTCTGTTCAAATCCTCCAGTGGTTCTCAGTTGACTGGGAGTTAAAGCCAGACTCTGTCCGGTGACCTACACCTCCACAGTTTGTCCCCCCCCCGTCTCTGTGACCCCAAAACCTAGCGCTCTGTCCTCTCCCCCTGTTCCTCCTTTCTGCTCTGGCCTCACATGCGGTGTGGCCCTGTCTCAGTCATGGCACCTGGAGCTGAAATGCTTGTCCCCCACTGTTGCCACGCCTCCATCTCTCATTTTCTTCACTTGTTCCAACATCACCCTGAAGCCCTGCTTGGCCACTCAACTTAAAACTGCAACACGCCCCCACCCGGCCCTCCTTGCCTTCGATCCAGCTCTGTTGGTGGTCCTACGACCTCTGTACCACCGTCATACTAAACATACTACTTGTTAACGGTCCCCTCCTGCCCACCAGCAAATATGCCCCATGATGTTGGGACTCATGTTTGATTGTTCACTGTTCTGTCCCTCGTGCCTTGTACACCTAACAGGTGCTTAACAAATATTTGTTGGTTGAATTCTTGAAGAGTGGAAGAGACTGTCATCTAGCACTTCCAAAGCTGGGTTGTGTCCAATACTGGTGTTCTGTCACAGACACACTTTTGCTAGCATATTCCAGCTTTAGAAGCTTTGCGTATCATTTCCCCTCTTGGAAATTCTCGAAGCCTGTTCAGCAATCACTCCCTGTGACCCGGCTGTCTCCCCCTAAATTCCTCACCCTCCTCACGTGTTTCTGTGCTCCCCAAGGGCTTGTGCGAGGCCCAACTCCGGCAGGACCAAGGCTGCCGCCGTCAGTCTCGAAGAAGCCAAGACCTGTGCTGATGGGCCAGTGGATTGCTCTCAGCATTATTTCTCATTTGCACATGCAACGTTCTAAACTTGCAAAATAAATTTGCATTCTCTTGTTAGTTTTTAATCTAATCTTCCCTTCGGAGACATAAATGTTGGTTTAAACTCATGTTCTTATATATTTTTCAGGCTTACCTCCGATCCCGTCAGCTTCCAGAACAGGCTTTGCGGAATTCTCCATGCGGGAGCGCGTGCGGGAGAAATTGCAGGCCGCAAGGGTGAGGGGACCCGTGACTGCTCTGTTCAGTGAGGACGGCAGCGCTCCGGGCCGTGTCTTTAGCTGGCTTTGTGTGTTCGCAACTGTGCGGAGTTGAGCACTGTGAAATGTTTCTCCATATATTAAATGTGAATGTAGTAATTTAACACTGGTGCAGATAAAAATTATGCATAAGGGGAACTCGATGTCATTTTTCTAAACCACCGCCCTTGTTCTCCTGCCTTGAAATGGTAAAGTGTGTGTCTTTTAGGGACAGTACTCGACCCATAGGGTGACTGAGGTTTTTACTGCGTCACTGACCCGACATAGCAGTAATGTTCTGTTTGATTTTTCAGTCCAAAGCAGAAAGCGCGTTGCTCCAGGAAATGCCCACCCCTCGGCCCAGGCGCCTACGAAGCCCCAGTGAGAAAGACCTGGAGACCGACTTTGGCATGGAGGTGAGAAACAGCCACCGTCTCTGCTTCACGATCATAGACAGTGAGACAGAATATGTCATTTCCAGCTGAGTTCTAGACCAGAGCTATGCCCAGAGGAGGAGTTAGATACTTGTTGATCGTTATAGTAGCTACTATGTATGGAGCACTGCCCGGTACCAGACCCTTGGCCAAGTCTTGTTTCCATGTGATCCCTTGTCATCGCCCCAGCACCCCTGGGGTCAGGTGCTACTTTTTTCATTTGCATTTGACAGATGAGCAAACTGAGGTCCAGAGCAGCTGCAAAGCTGTTGCCAGGCCACCGAGCATGTAGGTGGAAGCGCCCAGATTTGATCCCCGCTCTGTCTCATTCCCAGCCCGTCTCATGGGTCAGAGTTGCCGGATCCGTGACTCTTGCTGGGAAACAGAGAGGGAGAAGCACAGGGTCAGAGGGTGGAGGGGCCTAGAACGTTACTCTAAGGAGCCTCGATGCTTTTCTACAAGCCTTGGGAAGCTGTTGATGATGGGGTGGGGACGTGGTGTGAACGCACCGGGGTGATTGTTGTTGGAATCCGAGGTGCTGGTGGGGCATCTCAGTGTGTGCGCTCTTCTAGAGAGATCTGTAGAGGGAGGGGCCAGGCCTGGACTCACGGATTTAGGAAGCGTTTCCAGTGGGGTGAATGCCAAAGTGTGTGCCTTTGTTTCCTGGGGGATAGAAGACTGCGGGGGGGGGGGGGGGGGGGGGTTCTTGACACTGGGAGAAAAACTTACAGTCGAGGCCTCCGAGGCTGAAGGGGAGCCAGGCTAAGTCAGAGAGACGTGCCAGGAATATGGATGAAGGACAAGTGTGTGAGGGGTAGAAGGAGGAACGGAAGGGACAACAGCAAATGGCTCAGAGAAGTGTCTGTGAGTCTGATCCAACTGTTGGGTGTTGGTGGTGATGACGGCGTTGGTGGCTTTTTGCCACCAAGACGAAGAAGCACAGGGTTTGGGAGTATTTCTGGGGCTTCACCGCGGACATCTGAGATGATGCTTTTGCTTTTTCTGTGATGAGGGGCTGTAGAAATTTAATCCTTGTCCATCCCAAACAAGCCAATGAGTGCGTGATCACAAGGAAACTTGCAGCCGTGCTGGTCTGTCCTGGTCCACGGCCCTTGAGTAGGATGCTCAGCAGGCATCCTACTCAGTAGGTTTGCCGACAGCTCGCCACTGCGCTCCACTGAGCAGACTTTCCTGTTCCTTTGATTCCAATTCATTTTCCCTTGTAAGAGCCACGATGTTAACATATTAGAAATTTTAGAGAAACTACCTAAAATCCTATCAGCTCGGGACAAGATACTCATTTTGGTAGGTCTGTGAGTTTCAATGTCTGGTCAAGTAGGTTAAGTGGTAGGAGGGTTTGATCTCTCATACCCCGTCTTGTTTATACCTTTTGATTGGCAATCACCTCTCACTTGTCCGTGGTCCATGAGTATGAAACTTCCAAATAAAACTGGAAGTTTTAGAAGTAAAAATAGACTCCCTTGGCTTACAAGGTCTTTATTTCTCCTTGTGGACAAGATGTTGACTCACGTAACTATTATTTCCCTGTCCCCTCAGAGCCGTTCCATGGATTTGAGGCAAACGTCAGCTGACTTGTCTTTAGACCTGATCTCAGGTCCCTACTGGAACATCTCACTTACAAACATATTTCTCGATACACACACCTCAACCAGAAGGAGGGTCTCAAAAGTGGTCCATGCCCATCCTGTCTTGCAAAGAGTATAGCACACAAAGAACCCGATGCTGGACCTCAGCTGCCCAGCATGAAATGCTGCCAAGCTCATCACTAGGTGTGTGACCTTGGACGTGTAAGGTACCAACTCTGTGGACCCCACTTTCCACCTCATTAGAATAGGGATCCTACTAGAACCTAATTCTTGGTATTATATCGAGGATTCAGTGAGTTCACACATATTACAGAATTTCAAAGAGCACCTGGCATACAGTAAGCCCTCCTGATTCGAGTATTAGCTAATGTTAGAGGCTGTAGAGTCCGAGAGAAAAGCAGAGACCAGTTGGGAGTACTATGGTCAGTAATCCCAACACAGACCTGTGCTTATTCTCTTTTCCATTTCTTTTCACTTTGTCCTCAGCAACTTCTGATAAAAGAACAAAGCCAAAACACTAAACCCTAAGAACACCTAAACATCAAGGTGGAAGTAACACAGAACATTTGAACACTGGGTTCCACTGGACAGAGCCAAAATTTCCCTTTTTGTGGGCCTGGTTCAATGTGCCAGGCTCCCCAAGATCTGATCCTCTGACACACTCTACCTGTTGTCCAGCCAGCATCTATGGGACACTCCTTCCACCAGGTGTCCAGTGGGCTCAGAACTCACAGGAGTGACAGCAACCGCCCGCCCTGGAAGAGCCCAGGGGGTGACAGACATGCTAACAGACAATGGAGGTGCAGGGCGGTTGAGTTCCGCGGCAGCTGCTGAGTGGAGGAGCCAGGTCCTGGAAGGGGTGGATTTGAAGCGGGATGAAGACAAGGTGGGAACAGCACCTGGTGGATTATCAGAGGGGAGAAAGAACACCCATAACGATTATCAGTACAGCCAGTATAGACAGAAGGCTCCACTTCCAGTGTGGACAGCAGACCCGAAGGCCCACGACAAGGACAGGCCATGTGTCCCAAAGGGTGTATGTTGGACTTATTTACAATCAGACATTACTGATACTTTTCTTCATTGACTGTTTTGAAAGGGTCTTCTGTGAAGGATAATCTATTGCTCTATAGGAGAAATAATACTTGTCGTGTTAGGATTCATTGAGTATAAAATTTTATATTCATTTTGTCCTGAGAGACACAGCGCTGAGTAATATTCAACACTCTTAACCTCCATATAACACGTTTGACATCTGTCAGCCCTTCATTCCTTGGGAATGGCGATCCGCATTAATTCTCACAGAATCAGCCTTTTGAGGGTTAACGCTTGTTTCACAACATCCTTAGTTTCTTGACTTAATGGTGTACGTATCATTTTCCACTCATCCAGCCAGGCAGAGGGCCACAGAGGACTCCACACGAAGATGACTCCCAAACGCATGCGAGAGTGAAGTTCCATGATCCTGCACGAAAAATCAAGTCTAGACCCCCGGTGAGAAAGCTTGTCTCTTGGATCACACGTGTTTTAAATCATGCATGCTTGAAATCATACTTTTTGTTAGTCTGTGTTTCTCAAAAAAAAAATCCAATGAGAGCTGATGATGTACGTGACCTAGCTGTTACTGCCATGGGGTAGGCAAGAAAAATGTATGAGAAATGATTCCTACGTTCAAAACCCTGTGCTCATGCTCTAGAGAGATTAGAAGAATGCTTGACTGGGGCAGGGAAATGCGGGGAAGGGCAGGAAGTGCTAGCCATGAGATGATGTTTCGTTCTGAAGTTGCGTGCACCAGCATTCAATATGGATAAAAGGGGGATACTAACGCAAGAAGAACAACCCCCCCAAAAAGGTCTTTAAAACGAGGGTGACAAATCTTGTATTGATCATAACTAAAACTATTTCAGTTTTGGTTGACCTATAAAACAATGAATCCACTTTTTGGCATTTTAACCATCCTTTCAAAAGCTTTTACTGCTATAACTGCTTGTGGGAGTGTAAATTATCGCTGGTTTATAAAAAGCAACTCACTAAAGATGCTTACTAAACGAGGCCACCAACTGCCTGTTGGAGTGTCACAGCTCACTGCCCGTGGTCTTGTACCGTCCACAAAGCTAATACACTTCCAGGGCCCGGGATGTGCCTGACGCCATCAGCACCAGCCAGTGGTCGGGGACTGCACAGCGGAGCTCGTTTCAGCTCATGAAATCTGAAACCCTGTTGCTCTCTGCTCTCCTTAGGTTCCGCCTGGCTTCCCTTCCGCCGAAGAAGCCTATCACTTCTTTACTTTCAGCTTTGATCCCGAACCAGAGGAATCAGAAGAAAAAAGAAAAGTGAGAAGCAGAGATGGAGCAAACCAGGAGGCGGAGGAAGGAGAAGGAGAGCCACCTGTGCGAGGGGTAAGCCAAACGGTATTCAATATTGTGATGGTAACGCAGAGAGGGGTGATGATGTCAGTGACAATGACAATAACTGTGACGATAATGATGATCATAATGATGACGATGATGGTGGTGATGATGATGACATCCTAGCCAGGAAGGAGGTAGCTGGAGACAAACCTGCCAGCACCACACAGAACAGCTCATCCATGTCTTACTTGAAAGTGAAGGGGTACCAGGTTCACATTACTTTCTGTAGCCTTTGATTTCACCCCACAATTTGACTATTGGGGGCCTTGAATTTAATCTTCTCATCTTCAGTGAAGAAAACAAAATCAGAACAACGTGGTTTGCAGATTTTTTTGAGAGCCTCCACACAATGATTAGTATTCATTTCACATGCAAAACGTTGACTTTTCCCTGGCAAATGAAAGCTCACTCTTTCTTCCCACAACCATACAGACAAGCAGCGTTTTGGCCCCATGCCACACCCAAGCTGCAACTCTCAGGGTCCATAATCCTGAAAGGTATATGTGAGATAAAAGAAAACATGCCAGTAAAAATGTTGCGAAGGACTTGAATAGGCATCTCTCCAAAGAACATATATAAGGGCTTTAAAAAAAGCCCAGAAAATAAAAAGTGTTGGCAAGAATGTGGAGAGGTTGGACCCATGTTCATGGCTGATGGGATTGTTAAGTGGTGTAACTGCAGTGAAAAACAGTCCAATAGTTTTTCAAAAATTTAAGCATGGAACTACCGTACGATCCAGCAATCCCACTTCTAGGTATATACCCCAAAGTGTTGAAAGCAGGTACTTAGATGTGTGTACACCCACGTTCATTAGAGCATGATTCACACTAACCAAAAAGTAGGAGCAACCCAAGTGTCCTTCAACAGATGAATAGGCCAACAAAATATGGTATAAGACATACAATGTAATATTTCATTTACCATGAATAAGGAAGGAAATCGTGAGTCATGGTACAACACAGATGAAAGTGGAAGACATGCTAAGTGGAATAAGCCAGTTACAAAAGAACAAATATTGTATAATTTCATCACATGCGGTCCCTAGAGTTATCAAATTCACAGACAGAAAGTAGAAGGGTGGGTGCCAGGGACTGGGAGGGGGTGGGGATAAGGAGGTATTATTATTTTATGGCACAGAGTGTCAGTTGGGGAAGATAAAAAAGTTCTGGAGATGGTGCTGATGATTGTACAAAAGTGTGAATGTACTTAATGCCATAGGCTCTACACTTGAAAAATGATTAAAATGGTAAACTTTGTTACTTATATTTTACCACACTAAAAAATAAAAAGGAAAACATACCAGAATGCTTCAAAATGTGCATCGTTCCCCTGTTTCGGTGATCAAATTTTAATCCCTTCCCTTGAAAAATGCCTCCCAGAAAAGTCATTTCTTACCTAGGCCTACAAAAGCCTGGGCACACTTCAACTTGCTGTGTAATAACAGCTTTACAAAGCAGCGTCTAGCTTGTTCTGGCTCCAGATCTCTTGTGAGGCTGCAGACAAGGTGGCCCCAACTGCTGTCATGTAAAGGCCTGGCTGGGGCAGGGAGCCTGGCTTACAGGTGACCCAGTCACCTGCCCAGCAAGTGCTGGCTGTTGGCGGAAGGCCTTTGTCCCAACCTCCCCGTAAAGCTGCTTCAGCGTCCCCATGACATGACAGCTGGCTGCCCCCAAAGCAAGTGATCTGAGAGGAAGCAAAGAGGAAGCCACGGTGCCTTTTACGATGTGGTGTCAGAAGGCACATGCCGTCTGTCACTCATGAGCAGCAGGTCACTAAGTACAGTCCTCACAGAAGGAGGAGGAGAATCCACAACGTTGGAAGGCAGGACTGTCAAAAAATTCGTGGGCTTCTTCGAAATCATGACATTTCTCTCCAAAAGCACTTCTCTTTCCTTTTCCATTTTCTCCTGTGAAATCTGGGTTTGGGAAACCATCCTTTGAAGTCCCTGGTGCTTCGAAGCCCCTCCCCCATAGTCTGTGCTCCGGCCTGGCCAGACCCTTCTTTAGTGTTTCCGTACCCAAAGTGGAGTTGGTCCTTCTGGTGGAAGTGTCCGAGCATCCGTAGCCCCTGTCACTAGCTTCCTTTTTCTGTCTTCTCTGCAGATTGGCCTCTGTGCCTTTGCTCATCACAAAGCAGATGGGGCAGGAGCAAGGAAAACCACAGCCTGATATTGGGGAGGGGGTTCTCTTTCCTTTTGTGAGGCATTTGGCGTCCTCTGTTTTCAGGTTAGGCTGACGGCTTGGCTACCGTGTAGATTTGCTTTTCCATTTGTATTATTTTGTACGTTGGGGAGATGAGGCGCAGAGCAAGGCCGCCTCCAGTACCCCAGCTCCCTGCCAGTAACCACAGGATCTTGAAGGGTGTTGCTCACAAAGAACGCCAAGCTTAAGTTTTTAAAAGAAGCAGAGGAAGTAAGAGGGGAAAGAAAAGGAAGAAAGAAACAGAGAAGAAATAGAAGGAGAAAACATTCAGGAAATCCTCCAGTAAACAAAAGTAACATGCTTCAGCTAATATTTATAATTACTGGTCTGTGCCTAAAGTGTTTACACGTGCCATTTAATTTTAACTCACAAAACCTTAAGAGGTCCTCTTTGTTAATGTCCGCATTTTACAACCCAGAAAGCCGAGAATCAGAAAAGTAGATAAGCCCCCTGAAGTCACCAGGTTGTGTGTGGGTGGAGCTGGGATCCCAGCCCAGGCGGTGGGAGGGGCGGGTGGGAGGGGCGTGGACTCTGTGCTGCAGCGCTGGCCTGAGGTGGGTGTCTGTAGAGGTGTAAGCTGCTGCCTAACTTAGGAACCCATGTCCTTTAAGTAAACGTCAGTAAGTAAACACCCTCCAAGGAGGCCGGAATTGTTGAGGTTTCAGTTGCTTAGCACGTCTGCTCCAATTTCAGCCCTTTCTGATTGTGACATTTTCCAAGTATGGGGAATTGTGATAAAGCAAGGAAAATCCCCTTGGCAAATACGAAAAGCCATGCAATCTTATGCTTTAGTAGTTACAGAACAGCCATGGGGATGTAAACTACAGTACAGGAAATGGAGTAGCCAAAAAACTTATCTGCATGACCCATGGACCTGAACGATGGTGGGGGGTTGCCTGAGGGAGTGGGGGGTGCTGGGTGGAGGGGGGCACAGGGGGAAAAAAGTCAGGATGACCATAATAGTTTAATCAATAAAATATAACTAATATAAGTGGAAAGAAAAGGTCATTTTATTGTAGGGTATGTTGGTTGATGAGTTTAATATTAATGGTTATTCTTTTCTGTGTAAGCTAGTCATCTAAGCATGATTTTTTCATTGTTATTTCTTAACATAATGCAGGATGAGGAAGAGCTGCTTCATGGCAAAGATGCGAAGGATTTCCTGTTGGGCTTGGATCCCATGGCTGAAGACCTCGTGGCTGTGCGACCCGCCGACTATGACAGCGCCCATGTTCGGCTGCAGAAGGAGAAAGAGCTCCTGTTCACACCCAGCAGGCTGACAGGTACTGGCCCCTGCTATTTTCCTGCTCACCTTCAAACAGGAATGCCCCCCGGAAAGACAGGGCTGGCGTCTACAGACGCCCGGTGTCCATCACAGATCCCGATTCCTCATCTGATTTCATAACCAAGAAATATCTTCAGCCTTGGCTGGTGTGGCTCAGTGCATTGAGCACCAGCCTGTGAACCATAGGGTTGCCGGTTCAATTCCCACTCAGGGCACATGCCTGGGTTGCAGACCAGGTCCTCAGTAGGGGGCGCACAAGAGGCAACCACACATTGATGTTTCTCTCTTTCTCTTTCTCCTTCCCTTCCTCCTCTATCTAAAAATAGATAAATAAAATCTTTTTTTTTTAAAGAAAAAAATATCTTCATACACACACAAACATGTAGAACATGGAAAAATCTGCAGTGAATGATCACTTACCGACAGAAGAGCACAGGAAATCGCAGGTGCCGTGGGAGCCCCTCCGTCACATCACGGAGCAGCTCTGGGCGCTCTGAGATGCAGGCTGTGAAAAGGAACGACTGTTTCATCCTCCACTCACACTCACTACTTCCAGAACAGGGCTGAGACCAGACGTGCGGGTTTCCACCTACACCAACAAATCCCCAGCACCAGCCAGGTGTGCTACAGTCAGATCCCGATCTACCCACCCGGAGTTAGAGCAGCTCCCCAGCTTGTTAGGGGCTCAGTCCCACAGGACTACCCTCTACTTTAAACCATAGCTACCAAGTAGCTCACCCAGGTTACCACATCTATACTCACCTTTGCTCCAGGTCAGGGGTTCCTATGACTCCCTCCTTCTTCCGGTTCCATAATTGGATATAACAGCACATAGAACTCAGAGAAATACTTATATTTCCTGGTTTATTATATAGTAAAGGGTATGATAGAGTTTACAGGTGAAGAGATGCCTTGGGCAAGGTGTGCAGGAAGGTTCATGGAGCTTCCACGCCCTCTCCGGGCACCCCACCCTCCCAGCAGCCCCCAGCAACCCCCAGCTGTTCACCCACCCCCAGCTGTTCAATCCAGACCTCTGCAGTTAGGATTTCTGTGAAGGTGTGTACACATGACTCATTAAATCACTGCCATTGGTGATTCATTCATTCAATCTCTAGTCCCTCTTTTTTCCCAGTCGTGGGAGTGAAGGGACAGGGTGGAACAAGCCTCAGCTGTGTCCTTCACGTGGCTGGTTCCCCTGTACCCACCCTGGGACTACTATTGGGGAGTCATCACATTAGCATATGGAAGGATGGACAGTTATCACTTTGGAGATTCTGAGGGTTTGAGCAGCTGTGTGCTGGGAAGCAGGCTGCTGAAGGTTCCTGGAGGTGGGGGAATGGCCAGGGTACCGGAGCAGACGGTTTCATGAACTCCTCATTACTGCTCCTTGCTTCCTTTCTGCCCTGGGTCTCCCCTTGCTCTTTTCTCCCCTGGAATTCCCTTTCCTGCTGACGCACCTGGGGGATGTCCGCAGTTCTAGTAGCTCACACTCAGAATGGCAGGGCCTGAGTCCCACCCGAGAGTCCCTGTTGGGTGGGGAAGGGGTCTGCAGTTACCTTCACCTGGAAGTAGGCTTTCTCTCCATTTGTCACGCTCTATCTGAGTTCCAGTTAAATGCTGGGCCAAGGATGAATTATCGTGGTGTTTTGATAGGTTCTTTTGGATCACCTATGTTCAAAGTATTGGAATTTGTTGGACGTCTCAAGTGTCCTTTTAAAGTAATAGTTGGCAAAAGTTTCCCAAGATTATAACTTTGTAATAATAATAATAATAATAATAATAGGGAATGCATTCTGTGCACTTACTTCAGCAGGTACTTTTCTAAGCATTTCGTATGTATCGACTAACGTGGCCCTGCCCCAGGGCTGGAGAGATGTTGCTTTTTGTGCGCATTACAGGTGAGGCAGCGTAGCTCAGAAACCGCACCCCTAGCACCACGCATCCTGATGCTTCCTGGGGAGGAGGAGCAGCAGCTTCAGCCAACAGGGGGCTTTGTCACTTGTGTGTTTGCTCAAAGAACTCACTGTTCGGCCTCTCTCCCCGGGGACCCCAACACCACCCAGGATGGGATGGGGGTTAGACCCCTAGACTGGCTCACACACGGCCTGAAACTTGGAGGTGGCAGGGGAGGGGGTGTCCAGGAAGAGGCTCAGGGAGGCCCGGCTGCATGGCGGCTGCTCTGAGCAGCAAACATAGCAGGGATCCAACTTCTGCTTTGCTCTGATCTCCAGGGAGCGCCCTGGGGCCTCATGGCCAAATGAGCAGGTCGCGGGGGGGGGGGGGGGGGGGGGGGGGGGGCTCACACAGACCCAGCTCCTCGTTCATGAGCTGTGCTCTTAAATAAGTTCCTCTACTCTCAGGCGCCTCCCTGAAGACAGGAGGAAATGCAGCTGTCCTGCAGATGACCCTGGGCATGCATTTTAGTTGTGAGCATCAAGGAGGCCATGTCAGTTCTGGGCCCAGGGTGCCACTAGCACGTACCAGGGGGTCCGAAGCAGCAACTTCTGTGACTGTGGCTGTTGTTCGCATCACTGTTTGAAGAATGGTTTCCAAAGCAGAGTGTGTTCATCCCAGCGAGTGAATGGAGGGGTGGAAAACAGGAAGAGGCTAGAACTGTGTTTGCCCCCCATTTTCCACGGCGGGGAGATAGGTCTCCCCAGGAGTACTGACACAAGGTGTTTTCTGTGCGTGGGTTTGGGATACAGAGTGTCCAGTGGCCACACGTGGGAAAATTTGCAGATTCAGGCATTTCACTTGGTTTAGAGTGAAATCATTATGGAAGAAAAACAGGTCTCGACTTGTAATCATTAATTCCCAAATTACACCCAGCCCTTTCTCACAGGTCCATGTAGACAGGCCCCTCCCCCTCTTTCCCCTCCAGCCCCCTCTGCCACAGCCGCAGGCCCGGTGGTCTTCCTGTCTTTCTGTCTGCAGTTTCCTTGAGGGTCAGATTTCTTCCAATTGGAAAAGAGCTGCTTTTATGGAACACGCCCTTGGACCCACAGGCCCTCTGAGGTCACTGCCGGCCTGGACGTGTATTGTAATAGGATTTTGTTCAGGCTAAAAACTTCCTTCTGTTCTTTTCACATCAGTCATGAAGCCCATTTGTTGTTAAATTTGTTAACTTTTTAAACTTTTTGATTACAGTTGACATTCACTATTACATTAGTTCCAGATGTCTTGTTGGAATGAAAAACCTACTGGTGACACACGCACCCCCACCCCCACCCCACCCCGCGGGATGAGGCCTCTGTGACCCCCCTCCCTAAACAAACCCCCGCTCCTCTGGGGCCTACTGGGCTCTCGGGCTCCCTCCCACCCACCTCGAACCTGCTGTCAAGCCACCACCCCCGGTCACCGCACCCAGCGTGCTGGGCACGTCTCTGTTCCTAAACACGCCCTGGCCTCAGGACATGCCATTCCCTGGTGCAGACACTCTGACTTGTCCAGCGCCACCTCCTTCCTGCCCAGCCTTCCGGTGCCTTTCTTCACTGCTGTTGCTCGGATTTATCCCCTCCCCCGGCCACAACATGTGCATTTTCTTTACAACACTTACCACTCTCTGGAATGAGCTCCGTCTTGGTCTCCTGGTGCTGCCTAAGGCTCCCGCCAACTCCGCAGCAAGGAGCACAGGGCGGCTGTCAGCAAAGATTCGTTCTGTGCATGAACCAAGGACTGGGTGGGGGAGGGATCGAATGAGATAATGGTCACTGACTCGAATACCAAGCATTTCGACGTCCCAAGCATTTCCTCGCACTTCCCCTCACTGAATCCCCCCAAGCACCCAGTGAAATAGATGCTATCGTCCTGTCCGTGAGAAGGAAGGAGTTCACGGGGCGCCTGCCCAGATTCCTTCTGCGGGCGGATGGTGGAGCTGTGCTCTGGTTTGAACGCCAGGCTCCCCAGTCTGCACCCTGCCACTTAGGTATCGAGTTATTTCGTCACTCCACAACATGACGTTGCAGGTAAACACAGTTGTCTTCTCCTTAGCTCTGCTTCTAGAAATTAATTTGGGAAAATGTGCATTTTCCAAGTCCAGAAACAGAAATTCCGGGGGTCGCTTTACGTCGCCAAGTGCAGTTTGAAAGGTCAGGCCAGCACTAACGTCGCCGTGTTTGTGTGTGAACTACCCAGTGCCCACGTATAAAAAGCTTCCCGAGAACGTGCAGCCCCGGTTCCCGGAGGACGAAGGCCTGTACGTCGGCGCCAGGCCGGCGGTGCCGCGCACCACGCAGAACATCGTGGAGAACAGACTGCTCACGCAGGACCCTGTAAGCACGCAGCCCTGCCCGCGACCCATGTCAGCTGTCGCCCGAGTGACGCAGAGCTCCTGTTTCCTGTGGGCAGTCACTGCGCTGTCGAACTCGTCCCCCTTGAGGGTGTCCACACAGCGGCCCCACTTTGATAGCATTGGTCCCCCGGGGGCTTACTGATCCTGAAACAGCAAAATCTCTCACTGCCCAGCCCCTGCCCTCGGGCCTGGACTTCTGCTACATCAGATGCTGGCGACCTTTCCCAGTTCACAGGGATGTTTCATGGTCCAAAGATAGACGTTCTCAATTGTTTTTCTCCCATGCTTTTTTTCTCTTTCAATTTTAATAAATAGAATATGAAATTTTTCATAATAATCATTTAAGCTTTTTCTTAAGCTTTTTTTTTTCCTGCCAGGGAGGGAGGTGAGGATTATATCTTACAGTAATCGTGGGGGCATTAGTGCAGATTCGATTTCCAAGGGAAGCAGAGACTTGAGAAAATCTTCTGGGGAAAGGGGAAGTACATGAGATCCTAACGTGAATTTCCCTGCAAGAACTAGTTCATGTGGTAAACCATCTCTGTCCACTTAGAAGAAAATGTCCTTCCCTCTGCTCGGTCCCCAGGACAGAAAGTGGTTTGGCGATGACGGCAGAATCCTAGCCCTGCCAAACCCCATCCGGCCGTTCCCCGCAAGGCCCCCAGCGCTGGCCCAGGAGAAAGGCGTGAGCGCAGAGCTTGAAACACTGTATAAAAAGGTAAACCTCCCCCCCCCATTTGTCATACTTTGCTCAGAAGTGTCCTGCTTCTTGAATAGCTTGCAGGGCTGAATTCGTAAATTCGACTTTGATTTATTTTTCAAATAATTCACTGTCTCACACACAAAGAACAAACAGCAGTGTGTTTACGAGTGCGGCCAACGTGCTCACCTAATCCCTTCTCAAACAAGGAGAGAGCTTAGCAGGTAGTGAAGGCTGAGTCAGCGTCTTTATTTGCATATGCAGGTTAGTTGACCTTATTTTTCTTCTATTCTTTCTGTCATCTTCCCTACGCTGCAGGATCGCTTCCCACTCATTGTCTCTTTGTTGTATAACTGGAGGTTTTCTGTCCTTGCAAATCTTTGTTATTGTATTTCCCCTGAGCTCTGGTACCTCGCCATCTGATCTGGGTGCTGGCACTGAACTCCTCTAGAGGGAAAACTTGGCTCTGGAACTCTCGGTCACAATTTCTTCATCTGTAAAGTGAGCGGAGTACTAGCATCTCTATCCTGGAATTGCTGTGCAGATCGGTTGAGATAACTCAGTGCTAAGCACAGAGCTCAGCAAGCGCTGCCTAGTGTTATTTTGACACTTATCTGTCTTCGTGTGCAGTTACATTGCTCTTGCACTCCTGAAGTGCTGAGCAAGTATCGCCTCCTTCAGACACCTGTGTAAATATAAATTCATTGCATTTCAACACTGATAAAGTAAAACAAAATGAGGGGATATAATGATCATTCTGTAAAGCAGGTGATGAACGGAAAAGACACAGGATCAAGTCAGAGAACCTGCGTGGGGCTGGCTGTTCTATTACCAAGCTTGTGGCTTTGGGTGGGTCCCTGTACCGCCCGGACCTGTTTTCCCTCATTGAAAAATAATAATCTTCCCTAACTTATAGGATCCCTGTGAGTATTGACATGATGTATATATACACCCATTTTTTAAATTGTGAATTTTTATAAATTTTGCTAATTATAGACAAGTGTCGACAAGTGGCTACTTTGTGCAGAAATGAGATCCTGGGAGTAGATTACAAAACAAGCATAAACCTAAGTGCCAGTCCATGAGGGATTTATCCTTGATTTAGCTCACATGACAAAGACACGTGATATAATTAATGATCGAGACAGTATCAACTTATACATCTATCTAATAATCCATTGGGCGCCGCTTCATCTATCCATCCATCCAACATACAACACAGATATAATGGAGCACTAAATTATAGGTTAAAATTAGAAAATAAAAGAATAATTACTGTGGAGAATGGGATATTGGGGCCAATTAATCTTATATGTCTCCTTGAGAAGTTCTGAACTAATTGGAAATGCACAGGATTTGGAGAGGGAGCAGATACCAGGTGCACCGAGGGTCACACTGGGTGGCAGACTGCCACCTGGAACCAAGACCAGAGAGTCCTCCTGCTCCATCTGCCGTGAGTTATGTTCCCCGTCTGACACAGCCTGAGCTGCTAGAGCGCTGCCCCATGAGCTCAGACGTGAGTGCCGAGGAGAACACAAGGCTGGAGAGCAGGCTCCAGCCAGAGGCCACTGGTTACTTTGCCCAGCAGAGGACCTGGACCAGTGGCTCTTGGGATCCCGTTGACTTGCCAATCAGACACATTCATTCTTCTTTCTCTGTACCATGGGGATGGCAGAGGGGAAGAGAAGCACAGAGGGTTCCCTTCCAGTACTTTTGAGAGGGGAGATCTTCCTACCTTGTGGGCAGAAATAAGAAAGTACAAAAAGAGAACAGTCCCGCTCAGAGGGCTGGTTGCCCAGCATCACAGAGCAAAGGAAGTTAGGGAAATGAGAAATTCAAAGGGGCTGATGTCCTTCAAGGTCATTCCTTAGAGGGTAGGTTTTGAACATGGCAAAGAATGTGTTGGAGTGCGTAACAAAGAAGCACAGGGGGGTACAATGTGAGGGAGACGGTATTACACCTATCTCTCTTTCTCCAATACAAGTTACCTGTCAAGTTTACTCTTGACTTACATATCTCAGTTTTTATTTAAAGAAAAAAATGTGGTTATGGTGTATTCCAGTGATTCAAAATACAATTCATTTCTTCCATAATTAATTTTTTATTATCTTATTTATTTACTAAATTTTACCTTTTGCTACATTCGTTCCGAGCTATCTGATGTCAAAACCCATGGTTCGTTGTGGGGTGGGGGGATTGAGCTTTGATATGAAATACAGAAGCAGAAATAGAATAGGCAGAGATGTTCCATTCACAAGTGTTAATCCATCTTCTCTCTCCCTCCCTTAAGCCCCTGAGAATGACTCAAGGTCAAAGACTGGGTCTTATTGTTCTTCTAACCCTCACACTCAGCAGGAATCCTGATGTTGCAATCCAAGTGTGAGTGAAATATCAGGAAATAGCAGAAGGAATTCCTTCTCTTCTGACCCTCTTCTCAGCTGTCTCTCCTGCACAACAGTAGCTTCCTAGGGCCTGGCTAATCCTGGCGTCCAGGTGATGGAAAATCCGTGAGCTAAGTCAGGAGGTGGGAATTTGCAGCCTTTAGTGGAGCCTTGATGAATTTATGCCTCAGAGTTTTCAGGTCTAATACTAACCAAACCCAGCAGGATTGACAGAAGCCCAGTTAGTCCCCATGGGAGTCTAGCCTGGCCCTCCAATTAGGTTTCCCTTTGGTTGAAAATACTCGACTGCTGATTCAAATGATCAACTGTGTGCCCTCCAATTAGATCACTTAAGAGTTTTATTTGGATCGGAGTTGGTACTCAGCCCTACTTCTTTGAACATTTTTCTAAATTACAGAAGGGAAAAAAGTAGTTTTTAAAAATGAAATATTCTGCTGCTCCTAAATTGAGATCCCTATTTAGAGACCATTAAAGGTAAAGAAAGGCAAAAGAGATTAGATATTGTGCAAAAAATAAATAAACCACGAATGAGAAAGAATGCAATTTAGTACCTGGTAGAAGGAACTAATCTGAGAATAAAAAAGCAGAAAGGGGACAAGATGGGTATAAGACAAACAATGTAAAATTCAGCGTGTGGAATCGTGACAGCACGGTAGGGTCAGAGTCCAAACAACCTCCCTCCCTCCCTCCCTCCCTCCTTCCTTCCCTTCCTCCTCCTTTCCCTCCTTCCCATTGTATTCTTTCTGCCTTTACCTGAAGTCTACTCAGCACAACTATGCCCTTAGTTGTGCCAAATCCTGGAAATACAGGGTCAGGGACACAAACATGGCCACAGAGAGGTTTTGTCTGTGGTGTGGGAGACTGAAATGTCAAGTGTTAAAGGTACTGCGGTCAGGGGTCAGTCTGGCATTTCTGGGGGTATATGTATAGGAGCCTACTCTTTTCAAATCTGGTTACAAATGTGGGGGCCTGGGGGTGAATCACTGAATTGAAGGAGGGCCTTTAGGAGCCAGAGACGGGGTACTGGGACCAGGGACTCAGTGCTAGCAGGTCTCCATCCATCTCTCTTTTCTCTGGGTCTCCTTGAACTCGACGGGTTTCATTCTCTTCTATTGCAGGGAGACCAGAATTCTCCAGTGGTAGGAGGCATGACCCTTCATACCCTAGGCTTAGCAACTCCAGAGGAAAAGCATCTTATTTCCCCTTTGCCCCGGGTTCACATTATTGATACCAAGGACAAACTGGTCAGTTGTAAGCTGGACACACGCCCACCTCTCCCTCATGCCCCAGAGACGTGGCCAGGAGATGGACCTTGAGAAAGGTTCCCAGGAAAAGCCAGAACAATCAATGGCTGTAGAATGTACTGCAGGCTCTGGGCTGGATTCAGACCCCGTTGCTACTGTTTTTCCAGGGAAAATATGAAAACTTATATTTGAATCCCACCAACGATTATTCTTTTTCTGTACAACTTTAATTTTTTTCTCCATTGGCATGCATCTCTGCACAAGCTGAGAGCATCAACCGATGATTCAAATGGACCACCCCAATAGCTGTGGTTTTTCCAGTTCCCACTGAAAGACTGAAGAATTAGATTGATTTCAAAATTAAAATAATATGCCCTATAAATGATATTCACTCTTGGGAGAAATTGTAGGTACTGTTTTCATGACAGTTCTCAATCCATGTACATAAACAGATATAACAAGAACACCACAGGGTCTTTCTCCCCCATAAGAAAAGTTGGGGTCCTTGAAGCAGTCTTACCCAGTGACTGCCAAGAATCCTGGAAGCTATTTTCACTTGGTGGAGCTGATTTTAAGTCAGAGACCACCAATAATTATCTGAACACAGGCTAGTGCAAATTTGGAGGAGGAGACACAAGATAAAAGTTCCCCAGGTAACATTTCAAGTAATTAAAATGATGCTGCCAACAGTCTTTACTCAGCAAAAAGAGTACAAGGTGGAACCTGAGAGCCACACCCTGAGTGACTGCCTTGCCCCAGGGTGAAAGGAAAGTCAGGGCAAGACCCAGCAAGCTCAAGCAATGTGGGAGGGATGCTGCTTGGTTTTCTGTTTGTGAGGCAGGGATTTTTTAAGTAATCCCCATAATCTGCATGATCGTAAGATACATAGTGACCACAGGCAGATTAAAGACTTCTAACATGAATGCAGGTTACAATTGGATACATTTACTAGAATAAAAGAGAAAAACGGGCCTTCCTGTTGCCATCTGAAGTGGAAGGATTTTAATGAGCAGAACCACGGCTTCCATAATGTACAAAATGTTGGTAGAATGTTATCCATGTCAGCTGGTCTTTCTGTCCCATAAATCCAAATGGAGATTCAATTCAGCATATTTCGGAGGGGACTGAGACACAGTCAGTCCTTTCCTGTTCAAGCCTCCATGTTTGTACACACATCCCAGTTTACAGGACTTTTCTTTAAACAAATAATCTGCCAATCTTCTCATTAAAGACAGACTCAGTGCTATTTTACAGGAAAAAAACTTGTTTAGTTAAAATTAATGCAAGATATACTACACTCTGTTGAAGTCTTACAGAAAATCATAAGTTCTAATTAACATTAATAGTCTACTAATCTAAAGGGAAGGCAAAGTATGAAATTAAATAGCTAAAAATAAATAAACTCATATGTTCTTTTTTGTAATGTATTTTATTGATTATGCCATTACAGTTGTCCCATTTTCCCCCTTCACTCCCCTCCACCCTGCACACCCCCTCCTGCCTACATTCCCCACCTTTAGTTCATGTCCATGTATCATACTTATAAGTTCTTTAGCTTCTATATTTCCCACACTACTCTTGCCCTCCCCCTGTCTATTTTCTCCCCACTGTCTATGCTACTTATTCTCTGTACCTTTTCCCCCCTCTCTCCTCCTCCCACTGCCCTTTTGCTAACCCTCCATGTGATCTCCATTTCTGTGGTTCCACTCCTGATCTAGCTGTCTGCTTAGTTTACTTTTGTTTTAGGTGTGGCTGTTAATAACTGTGAGTTTGCTGTTTTTTCACTGGTTCTTGAGTTCTTTCACTGTTCATCTTTTTTATCTTCTTTTTCTTAGATAAGTCCCTTTAACATTTCATATGATAAGACTTGGTGATGAAGAACTCCTTGAACTTGACCTTATCTGAGAAGCTCTTTATCTGTCCTTCCATTCTAAATGAAAGCTTTGCTGGATAGATCAATCTTGGATGTAGGTCCTTGCATTTCATTATTTGGAATATTTCTTTCTAGCCCCTTCTTGCCCATAAGGTCTCTTTTGAATGAGAACTCCTTTGTAGGTGACTATCTCCTTATCTCTTGCTGCTTCTAGAATTCTCTCCTTCATTTTAATCTTGGGTAATGTAATTATGATGTGGCTTGGTGTGTTCCTCCTTGGGTCCACCTTCTTTGGTACTCTCTGAGCTTCCTGGACTTCCTGGGAGTCTATTTCCTTTGCCAGATTGGGGAAGTTCTCCTTTATTATTTGTTCAACTAAGTTTTCCTCTTGTCGCTGTTCCTCTTCTCCTTCTGGTACCCCTGTAATTTGGATGTTGGAACATTTAGAGATGTCCTAGAGGTTCCTAAGCCTCTCCTCATTTTTTTCAATTCTTATTTCTTCATTCTTTTCTGTTTGGTTGTTTCTTTCTTCCTTCTGGTCTACACCATTGATGTGAGTCCCAGTTTTCTTCCCATCCCTATTGGTTCCCTGTGCATTTTCCTTCATGTCACTTAGTGTAGCCTTCATATGTTCCTCTAATTTGTGACTAAAATCAACCAGTTCTGTGACCATCCTGACCACCGGTGTTTTGAACTGTGTGTCTGATAGGCTGGCTATCTCTTGGTTGCTTAGAAGTATTGGCTCTGGGGCTTTGATTTGTTCTTCTGTTTGAGCCATAATTTTTTGAAAATCAAATATTCTTACCAGTACAAATCAGCCAACAACACAAGTCATGACACATTTACTGGTAAATAAAGACCCACATGTATATGCTTTGCTGTAAATGCGAATACCAGTGCTATTTTGAAGACTAATAATAACTGAAAAGCAGATCACACTGTTTAACCAGTATGAGTACATTTCTGTACATATGTACATATATGAACATACACACACACACACAATCTGGATCTCTCTTCTCTGGTCTTAGTCTGATAGGGGCCAATGTGAGAATCTTATGATCATAAGATTCTGGGGTCCTGGGGTCCCCTCTTCTGAGATCCCAGCCTCCCTCTGCAGATCCCAGGCCTTATCCTTCCCACCTTGTGTGACAAGGACCAGATCTCAGTCCTCTCTGACTCGATGGCTGCTTGAAGTCAGGCCTGCTGCTCTGCAGACAACCATCTGTCTCTGTCGGACAAATGAGGTGGCCCGTGTGAGTAAGGAGATGATGCCTGGTGATCTATAAAGTGCTAACAGAATACTTGTCCTCAGCCGCCCATTTCTGCTGAAGAAGAAACAGAGAATCAGGGCTGTGTGGTGACCTGACCTAGGCTCCAGAGCAAGTTTGAATTGGAGCCAAGGCTAGAATCCAAGGCTTCTGGCCCCACCCAGTATCTTTCCAAGATGCCATGGAAAGGGATTAAACAAAGAGATTAGTGAACATGACCCACAGTTTCTGAAGGCTAGATGCTTCAGTTCTCACTAGAGTTTGTACAACTTCCATTTACCCCTCGTAACTTATAAATAATACATTTATGTCATATAATCCTATAATATCATTTTCCGGATAACATAAGTAGCTTCCAAAAGCTCCATTCTGCAAAAAGGGAGGATTGAGTGATGTGCCTCAAAGCCCACAGACCCGATCACAGTCCATATCCACCGAAAAACAAAGACCCAAAATCAGAAAGGTCCCTCCACCTGAGGTCCCTCCCAACCTCAAAACCAGATGACCACAAAAGCAGTACTGATCGACGTGGCATATCTCAAAGGGTTTATGGAATAAAAACAGAGAGATTTGTCTGACATGCTCTACTCCCACCACCCAGGAAGGTCCCAGTGGAAACTTCCATTCCTGTTTTCCACACACTCAGCTGCCCCATCTCCCTCTTCCATTGTCACTTTGTACCTGAAGAGTATAACTGTGATCCCAGTAATGAACAGTCTGGACCAGAATCCATGCTTCTCCCATTAAAAGAATGTCAAGCTCACCAGCCACAAAACCCAAGAAACAGTATAGTCTACAGGACAAAGAGTAGGACTGAGCTGGGAGAGAGAAAAATCCAAAAGACTCTGGAAACAAGATGACAAGGGTTTCCTTTCTCTTGTCTTTCATTTTACCTTTCAAGTAGTCAGGAAAGAGCAGGCCCTAAAACCTCCAGGAAGTAGGAGACGGAGCATCATTCTCCTGGCTTGACCTTGTAGGAGGTATTTTGCATCCGACTGTCTTCCCATTGCTCTGTATTTCACTACCTACTAAGTGCTGTAACTGTGTTCCCATACACTCTGCTCTCTTTGGCAGGCGGTCAGATATGTGCACAGAAGTCAACATTTGATTGGATCTGGAGACCCTCCTGGGAATTTCCAACTGGACATTGATATTTCAGGGTTAATCTTCACTCATCATCCCTGTTTCAGTCGAGAGCATGTTTTGGCAGCCAAGCTGGCCCAATTATATGACCAGTACCTTGCAAGACGCCAGAGGAACAAGGCAAAATTTCTTTCTGATAAGGTACACTCTTCCATGCTTCTTATTGGTGGGGCTGGTTCTTCTGATGAACCCAAACTACAGAAACACCTCCAGCGCCTCTTTTATGTGGTCTTTCCTTCTAGGATGTGAGATATGCTGTCACATGTGCTTGAACATGTGCAAATTCAGTGGCACACACTGGGCTTAAAGAAAAAGATTTGTGCAAATAGCACAGTAGTCTCACCTGTCAGAAGTGGGTATTGGATGCAAGATTCTTGGCTGTGCCTTGCTTGTGGAATCTCACAGGCTGAGACTGTCCAAGGCTTAAGAATCTCTCTGTCCTTGGAGACTTTCTCACTTTTATATGTAATCTCCCATAACGTGGTACCTCAACACAGGTCAGTTGTTTCCACTGATGCTCAAAGAAATCGCTGTCTGTTTTGTACTGGTTTCCAAAGTAGTATTATCCTGTCGAATTTTCATGGGTAATTTTGATGATAGGTAACTTTAGCCTTATTCCCTGACTTTCAACTGACTGCCTCCAAAAGGAGATAACTCCATCATACCTCCTTTTATGAGTCTATTATTTCATGATCTCTTCACATCACAAGAGTACCACTGTGTGTCCAGCACCCAGAGAGATCCACTTTTAGCCTTGAAAGAAACCTTGTTCCTGGGACACGCACATAAAAGTGACATTTCCCATAACCAGCTTGATTATATGGGCCACGGAACAAGGACAGACATGCAATGTTCTTTAGTATTCCTCTTTTTTCTTCAAAAATAGAAGGAATAGCTCTTCGTCAGAGATCATTTTGGTGAAAGCCTGGGGACAGGTGGACACTTGGCTGTCCACTCCCAGGATGGGTCCTCTGGGTCATTCTGTGGGTGGGTCACTTCACTGGAGGGCACTTTACTTGCAACAGGAAGGAGAGTGACTAACTCAAAACTTGTGTCCATGTCGTTTTAAGCTCCAAGCTCTAAGAAATGCTGTTCAGACAGGCCTTGATCCAGCAAAAACTCAAAAGTCTGTTGATATAACCCCAAAAGCCATCAATGAGTATAAATCGGAAATTCGGTGAGTCAAGTCTGGAATCATAACGTATGCTTTTTTTTTTCCTGTTTGATGTGTACTTGTTGAGAGCTTTCTTTTTCCCAGAGTTTTTCTGAATGCACTGAATACATATGACATTGAGCCAAAAGAAGCAATGAGATATATCCGTCATGTTAACGCCAAATCTGAAAGCCAGCAAAAGAATTGGGGATATAGGGTATTGTAATTCATACACTCTGCTGGTGTAAATAAACAAATGTTGCTTCAGCCACCACTGCAGGGAACAGCCTGGCCATAGACAAGAAGTGTGTTGAAATGCCCATCAGCTAGAGCCCAGCATTTCCGCTCCAGACATATGCAATCCAAGGAGCCCTGTGCACCATTTACAAAACCAGAAAGTAGAAATAACCCCATAGTGATGAACACATCTGCTGGAGTCTTATGCTGAACATCTGTACCCTGGTTGAGATGACTGGATTAGATCTGCATGGATCGATATGGATAAAACAAGGTCGGATTTAAAATTCCAGGTGCAGGAGGATACTGGCTGTGTGGCACAGAAACCTACAGGACACCTGAGATGAAGCTCATCTGTCCTAGGTACACTGTATGTGCAGCCCATGTGGGCAGAAGAGGCACGTCCCAGTTAGTAAATGACAGAACCAGGATTTAAACCTGGGTGGTCTGGTTCCAACGTCTAACCACATGCTCTACTGCTCCTCAAGGGGAATGCTTCTTATTCTAGTTCACCACTTTCCTGCTTTTCTAAGGTCTTCAGAGAGTCCTGAATCTTGGCCACCCCCCCACCCGCTGATAAGCTGTCATCTTCCGCCCTGTTCCTTTTCCACAGCCACCAGTCGAATGATTAGACACGGAGCCCTCTGTGCTTCTCCATGTATCCCGACACTCAGTCATCACAAGTCCCACCCCCAGACTCAGGCCTTCCTCCTGGAGTTCAGGAGGGGCTCGTTCATGAAGCACTCCCCCCAGTTGCCTAAGACTCTCTCTTAGGCAAATCTCACATTGTATGTAGTAGTTGCTTGTCTGTCTCCTGAGCTAAGTCCCTGAGGACAGAGACGTGTGCTGTCTCCTAGATGCTTTCAAATCCCCTGGCATGACACCTGGTACTTGCCCAAGAAAAAATAAATTGTCTAGTTAATGAATGAATGACATAATAGAGTACGTTTGAGTTCTGGATTGGGCTATCATTCACAGAGAGGGCTTAAAGTAAGGCATTAGATAATTGTCAAACACCTTAAATAATGGAAATGAAAATGGAAGCATTTTCCAACAACGCCTCTTCCAGTGAGGCCGAAAATACTGTTATTCCAGGGAGCTCTGAAAACTCACCAAGGCATGCAGTAGGTAACATGCTTTGTCTGCCGAAAGGAAAGCCTTGAATGTACGTGTTGTTAACTGGGACAGCAACATACCCTGCTATGTTTACAATAATTTAGTCCGTGAGAACTGCGTTTACTGGCCCTTTATTTTTGTAGTGTCGATGGTGGCCATTTAGGGGTACTTTGTATTAACAATGATTCTTAAAGGTAATTTAGCTAAGTTGAAGTCAGATTCACCTAATGAAAACAAATTCAAATAATCTCTCAAAATAGAGCAGCCTCCTATTGTCTTCAAATTTGCATTCATATTTCCGGTTTCCTAGTGCTTAAGAAATATTGTAGCTCTTAAATTAATTATACAATCACTGTAGCACTCTTCATTTTTTTAAATGGGCAAACACACCTAAATAACTTTTGAATATTTATATATACACCCATGTATCATATCTTCTAGGCAAACAAGAAAACTCCGTGACGCTGAACAAGAAAAAGATCGAACATTGCTTAAGACCATCATCAAAGTTTGGAAAGAAATGAAGTCCCTTCGAGAGTTCCAGAGGTTTACGAATACACCCTTGAAACTTGTTTTGAGAAAGTAGGCTTTTTTCAAACATTATTTTATTGGGTTATATCGTGCATAGAGAAAAATGTATAAAACATAAGATAGTTTAAAAAATAATTACAAAAAATACTTACAAATGAATGCCTATGAAGCCACTTCCCAGGTTAAGAAATAGAGCCTTCCCAGTACCTGGCAGCCCCCATGTTCCTACCCCAACGACACCCCCTCACCAGGGAAGTGACCGTTTCCTGGACTTTTACGATCAGCATTTCCTGGCTTTTATTTATACATTTGTCATCCATGTATAACCCCCAGAAACATACACTCTTTGGCTTTCCTGTAAATAGAAGTATATTGTGTATTCCTTAGTGAATACACACTCCTGTTTTTTCTTTAATAGTATGTGAGATTCATCTACTTTATGGAGCAGAGCTGTAGTTTATTTGCTCTATAATGCTTCCTTACATAAATATTAGAAAATGCATCCATTTTTACTGTTGGTGGACATTTGAGTAGATTCCATTTTCCAACTGTTACACACAGCACTTCTGTAGACATTTTGGTGCGCCTGTCTTTCAGGGTGTACGTGCCCACGTTTTCCAGAAGGATACCTGGAAGTGAAATGGCTGCGTCTCCAGGGAGGCGCTTTGCCAGAGGTTGGCACGCTGCATCCTAATGTCTTTCCAGGGTGGCCGAGCCGGTGTGCACTCTGACCGGGGAGACGTAGGCCCGTGTCGCCCGCATCACCCGGTCTTGTCAAACATGAACGTGGTGCCAGTCTGCGGGTGGCATCTCCTAATTTTTATTCCCCATATGTGGACTGGTCGTCTTCATTTCCTCTCTTATGAAGTGTCTGTTCAAGGCTTGTGTCGCTTTTTGAACTGGAGTGTTTGTATCTTTTCCATAATGTGCAGGAGTTTGGCACATACTCTGTCCACGGGACCTAGGCAGATGGTGTGGGCTGCATGCAGTGGCTTCTCCCATCTGAACTTGTCTTTGTACTCTCATGTTGCTGCTTTTTGATGAGTAGAAATTCTCCATTTTAAAAAGAATATAGTGCTCTTTTCTTTTATGACTGGTGATTTTGTACCTGCTGTGGAAGCTCCCCCCACATTGTATACATAGTCTACACTGTCTACACTATCTATTGCCTCCTACAATCCTTACAGCTTTACCTTTCACATCCATCTCTGAGCCGCTTAGAATTAAGCTGGGCACAGTGTGGAGAAAGAGCACTTTCATAGCATTTATCCTAATTATGCCTCCGTCACAAGGCATGGACACGTGATTAAGAGCATCGTGATCTCAGCAAAACCGTGTTCTGGTACCAACTCAAGTATGTTTCTGTCAGTGTTGGTCCCTTCCTGGTTGTTTCTTCTGAGTACCTGTGGTGCTGTGCGCCAACATCAAGAAGTGTGGGCAAGTAGAAGATGCTTTGCTTTGAAAACGGCCATGCTCTAGCCAGAGAGAGCTGCAGATTGTGATTTGGGGGGTTGTGATCATCATAAGGCTGAGAAAACTCGCTACGGTGTCCAGGACAAATGTAAGTCTGTGCTGTGTGAGGTCAGGGACCTTGTCGCCATTAGATACGTGGTTCCCAACAGAGCACCTGGCACTTCCTGTCTGCTGATTTAATGTTAGTTGACGGAAAACAAATTCAAATGCTTTCTCCCCCAGAAACCGTGGATGCTGCCCAGAAATTCCAGTATTCCCACTTGTAAATTCCATGTCCCAGGCTACCGCCAACTTCAAACCAAAATATAAATATTTACGATTGCTTTTCTTTTCCTTCCTTCCTTCCAAGCTTAGGATAAAGAGAAATGTATAGGAAGTTTACTCTTCAGGGTCACGTCCAGGCTGCAGACTTTCTTCCTGTCACACTCGAGACCCTTTCCCCTAGTGAGTGCCGTTCCCTAAATTTGCCCGGAGTGCCCTTCCTTCACATTCTTGGTTCATCTAGCCCCCTCAAGATACGGCGTGATTTTTTTTTCCTGGACAAGTATCAGAATTCCTGCCAGCTTATTCATGTTTCTGGATAACAAGGAGCAAAACGAATGCTTTCTTGCGTATCAGAGATGGAACTAAATTTCTGAGGCTGATTTCCCCAATGTTTATAAATGTCAGGCACCACCGTGCTTCCAAAGTGATTTCGGAGAGAGAACCCTAGCAATCTGTAAGCCTCTGTGCCTCGAGGGGACTGCCAAATGGTAAACCACCAGGCCACACGTGTGCAGAGCAAACATTTGTCAGCTCTGGGCTCTTGACTAAGTTTGTCTCAAACGGATGAGGGACTTGCAGAGGCCAGACCTCTCCGACCCGACCTGACCACGTGAGGAGACAAGCACAGGCGATGAGTGGCAGCAGCTCCGAGTGCTGGGGGGATGTGCTGGGTGCGATGTGTTGAGAGGCATCCCCCCCTGCCCCCCCGCAGAGAGTCACACTGCCCGTGAACATATAAAGGGCTCTGCAAAGATGAGCAAGGGACCTCTCCCGCTTGTGTCACCTCAGGTTGACTTGGCCCCGGCACCTTTTTTGTAGGGCATCTCACAGAACTGTTGTTCTGACAGAGCACATCTCGGGAAACATGGCTTTGTGTCGAGCCGAGGTCCTGGTGAGGTGTCAGCAGGTTCATCAAAGAAAAACTCAAATGGTCAGTCCAAAGTCAAAAAGTGGTTTTAGGGACTGGTAGCAACATGGTGGAGTGGGTCCTCAGAGACCTGAAGAGTAAAACGACCACAGTGAAATTCCTACCACTGTGGGTGGAGAATTTACGGGCACTGTGTCAGTACGCAACTTGGGTCGTTTAACTCAGAGTGGCATTGTCACTTAGTGGTGGAGTTCTCCGGTAAGTCAGTTAGCATCTCTGAGCCTCAGTCTCCTCATGTATAAAAGGCAGATAAGTCTCTGCATCGTGGGTTGAGAGCTAACACGTACAGAGTTTTTAGCAAAGGACCTGCTGAAAAGCAAACCCAGGACAGGCATTTGCTGTTGTTATTACTCATTACTTAACTTCAAGAAGTAACCGAGGTACCATAAATTATTTTAAAGGGAGAAAGTGGACCAGAAAGCTGACGAAGAAGCATATGAAGCAGAAATTCAAGCTGAAGTAAGTGAATTGTTGGAAGAACTCTCCGAGGAGCACGAGCAGAAGATGGAGGAGTACAGAACTGCCTATGAGCAGTGGAAAGCCTGGAAGAAAGCCCAGGTTTGCACACAGTGGCGTAGCCCTGAACTGGGCTGACCGTGGGGGTGGGTGCCTGGAGGGCACCCAGTGCGACAGAAGGAGGGAAACCGGGCAAGCAGACGGGGTCCCCTGCCGGCTCTGCTCTTCTGCTCTGTCTCCCTCCCTGCCCCCTGGCTAAGGGACAAGAGAATGAGTGGGTAGACTGGCTAAGAAATGTACTTCTGTGAAAAGCCACGGAGCTAGCTGAAAGGAGAGCCAATCTTTTTCCGTAGATAGCTCTGTGCTATCACCCTGTGGCTGTCTGAGTGAAGAAACAAGGAATTGCTGGAGCGTTTTACATGAGTTACTGAGTGTGGGGCACTGAGGCTTCCTGGCCTCCCTCAGAAACGACATCGCTTTGTGCACATGGCCTACAAAACTGCATCTAGGGTCCAGTAAGGACTAGACAAGGGTGACCTGCAATGCCAGCTGTGCTCACAGCCTTCCTTTGGTTTTTTTAAGATGTGTCCTTGGCTCGAGAACCTAAGTTCATGATCAAATGAAGAGCTTGTGTTTTTAAGGGCCAGGCACTGTGAAAAGTGCTTTGCGGGCATTACCTCACTTCATCAGCCCTGGAAGGAGTTTCCTAGGAGTTACGAATGAAGTTGCCTCATTTTGTAGCTGAGAAAGCGGAGGCACGGGGAGGTCGGGTGGCTCAGGAAGCTGTCTGAGCGCGGTCAGCCGGCTGCGGTGGAGCTGGGTGTGCATCCCGGTCTGATTCTGAAGACTGTGCTCTTCAATGAAGTGACAGCATTTCCGTTTGATATAAGGTTGCCTCTTACCCAACAGAGGGCCAAGAAAAAGAAAAAGAAACACGCCGCCGAGGAACATCCAGATGAGGACCTGGAGGAGCCATTTCCTGGCGAGGGTCCGGTGAAGCCCATCCCTCCGGAGCCGGCCAGCCGGGCGGTGCTGGAGCAGCAGGTGCGGGAGAGAGCAGCCCGGGGCAGGAGGAGGCCTGGGGAGCCCACGCTGGTCCCAGAGCTGAGCCTGGCGGGGAACGTGACGCCCAATGACCAGTGTCCCAGGTGAGGTTGACGTGCGACACCCAGGCTCACACAGTGCACGTGCGCACACGCCCCCACACGCTGTGTAGAGTGCGCATGTCCTGCCCGACACCATGCAACCAGGAGCTTCATTCACCCTCTGTAAATGTATATTTGGTTGAACCACATGTAATTGCTGACATTTGTCCGTATTTTGGTGATTCCACGTGGTTCACCTTCCTAATTAATGAATGCATCTCTGCTGGCTTCCCAGGAGCCCCTACGTAAAGCTGACTGTAGGGGGCGCGCTTCACAGTTTCTGTGCACGTGGTTTTGATTTGGAGCCTTTATCTCGAACCTCAGTGTGTGTTTTCTGTCCACTGTTAGTACATCCCCACCCTCCCTGGCACAGACTCCCAGGTCTCCCCTCAGCCCTTGATTTCAGCTTGTAGAGCTTCCCAAAGGAACTATTCAGCTCCGCCATCTGAAGCCCACCCTCCAGACCCAATAGAAACACATTTCTAGTCGTTAGTATGTGACGCCAGACACAGAAACAATCAGAAGCTTCACTTTATGTATATAAATCTACACATGCAATAAACTCCTAAACACACAGGTATATATTCATTTTCTCTTAAAAGTTCCATTTAATTTAAAATTTTGAAATTTCCTATGTACTTCTTCGTGTCTTGGAGACACGGTTCTCCGAGTGTCGCCCCGGAACCAGCAGCATCAACATCACTGGAGAACTTGCTATAAATGCAAATTTTGGGGTCCCACTGAGACCAGCTAAAGCAGGAACTCCGGGTCAGGGCCCAGAGAACTGTGTTTTCACAGGGTTCCTGGTGATTCTGACGCATGTTAGAACATATTGTAATCTCAGAAAGGGAATCCACTAAAATCATCAGCACCACCAGATCTGACCTAAATTCTCCAGTAAACACAGACCTGTCAGGACCAGAAGAAATTGTCAATATGCCACCATAGGAGGTGAGAATTCAGTCAAGTCAGTTGTCTTCAGAAATAATTAGGAGGCAGTGGTTAATTGGGTTATCATTATCTGGTTTCCTACAACCTCCTTAGTTTCAAACTTCTGCTACTATATTAATAGTTTATTTTTACATTGTAGCTTCTCATGCATTTTCGTGTATTGTCTCAACTTCATAGCATTCAAACATACATGAATTATTCCCCAACACCAAATTAGCTATCTTGAAGCCATAAATAGTAGGCTACATAATTTTGTAATGAACATTTAAACTATGTCATGACACAGCATATTTTTTCCCAGTTTCATTGAGAAACAATTGGCGTACATCACTGTATAAGGGTAAGGCACACAGCATAATGGTTTCATTTCCATATGTGGCAAAATGATGACCGCAAGAGGTGCAGCTAACACCCGTCATCTTGTGCAGATACAGTAAAAAGGAAAGAAAGAAGAAAAAGGAAAAACATTCTCCTTGTGTTAAGACCTCTTAGAACTGAGTCTCTTACCAACACCCCTATATCTCAGCTGCACACTGCACGTTTCATACAGGAGAAATTTGGGGTTGGTTTGACCATCCTTCATGCTGAGTCCCATTTTTAAGGAGAATGTCTCACTCTGCAGGGTGGAGGTCTTACGAAGGGAAGACGTCAAGAGGCGCTCGGTGTACTTAAAGGTGCTCTTCAATGACAAGGAGGTGTCCAGGACCGAAGTTCGGCCACTCGGGGCAGACTTCCGAGTTCACTTCGGACAGATTTTCAATTTGCAAATAGTCAACTGGCCGGAGAGTCTGACACTGCAGGTACACGATTTAATTATAGTCGCCGTCCCAAGAATATTTGGGCCATCGCTGGTGCGAGGTGGTTTGAAATCTCCCGTGGGCTAGGCTGGCATCCTGATAGATTCTCAAGGGCGACAGAAGGTCAGCCTACTCCGGACATGTCTGGTCATAAGGTCTTGGTAGAAGGAGGTCTGCTCCCAATATTCGCCTCCTCACAATGGTGACTGAGTGACCACAGCAGTGCTCAAAGGTGTGCCTAGAGAAGAGTGGGGGCTGAGGGAGGTGGAGCAGGGAGGATCTCGGCCCATTCATCAGGGAGGACATCAGCCTCACCCTGTACCAGGACCCCAGCATAATGTACCAGAGAAATCCATTATGCTACCACCAGAGGTGCCTAAGGGGGGGTAGGAGGGAGTTACAGGTGTTAGGATTCCCCTCAAATACTAAATCTCCCTACTAGCTTAAATCGCACCATTAGCAATATATTTATTTCTGTTTTAGTTTCCCAGGGCCACCAATTTGGTGGCTTAAAACAACCAATATTTACTCGCACAGTCCCGCACACCCTGCTCTCTGAAAGCCAGGTGCCAGCCAGGCCAGGCTTCCTCTGGAAGCTCTCCAGCAGAACCCTTCCTGCCTCCTCCAGCTTCTGGTGGCTCTGGGAGTTCCTTGGCTTATGATGAAATAGCTCTAGTTTTCACATGACCTTCTCTGTACCTCTGTGTGTTCTTTCTGTGTCTTGCGGAGATGCTTTTGTTGGACTTCATGGGTGCCTTATTCTAATGGGAATTCATGTTGATCCTTAACTAATCCCATCTGCAATAACGCTATTGCCAGACGAGGCCACATTCTGAGGTTCCAGGCGGAGAACCATTTTCAGCGGGCACTGTTCGACCCACAGCCGTGTTTCAGGCTTTCCCGGTGAATCCTCTCTCCCAGCACTGTCAGAATTCTTTCTCATGATGCTAACAGGGCTGTTACTAGGGTTGCATGTATGCAACACGTGTGCCTTTGTTTGCCATCCGCCATCCACATGGGATCACTCATCTTTATTTGCCACTAATGCAGAAATTTCTCATTCCCACCCAGCACCCTTGCCAGAAATGACTACTCCATCGTGTCCTGGGTATAACTTCAGAATCCTTCTCAACACCACAGTCCTGGCAGGCATGACCCGTCGACTGCAATTAACATTAAGTCTGGAGGTACAATTGCAGCCGTATACTTATTAAAATATTTAAATATTTCTATACCAAATGGTAGATAGCTCCTGACCTTATCCCCCCAGATGCCATCCTGGCCACACAGACCTTCCTTTTAAGACCCACGGACCTTCCCACAATGGACCAGTTCAAATCTTGTCTGAATAAGGCTAATGCCTCCAGGATACTGTTCCTATGTGTGGCTGAAATTTCTTCTGATTGGTTAGCTCTTGGCCATGGGTGTTGTTCAGCATTTTGAATACCAACCCCTGCCTAGACTCCTTGATAGTTAAAAACCTTCTAGAACCCGTAGAAGTTTAAGACAACTAAGCTAGGGAGTCTTTTCAACAGTGGGAAGGAAGCATATTAGACATGCTCAGGATGCAGAGGGGTGCCACAGAGTCGGTGCTGGGCACCAGTGTCAATCACCGTACATTAGGACTGTCTCGGAGACTGGGGAGAGTTTGTCCCATGCTTGGCATTCATGGCCTGGGGCTGGTGAGGGGTAGGGTGGAAATCCTTGTTTATAGAGCTCCGAGCATCAAGACTCAAGCCAGATGCCTTGGTTGTACAGGTAACCACACTGATATCTGTACATTGAAAAATCTTTTCTTTGAAATTTTAGAACTGGGCTCAGTCCAGTCACTCATATAATCTTAAAAACCCATCTGATTTTTAAGAAAATGTCTGTGTATTCTGGAACCTGAAGTATAGGACTTCATTTGCTGCTAAACTTACCAATATGCATAAGAGGAAAAAGGAAGAACATTTTGTTAAAGTAAAGGATGGTATCAGAGAGGGGATTGAATTTGGGCATTTCATGAAACTGACTTTTCCTGAGAACCGAAACTACCTTCCCAAATATCGTTTGTGAGAAAATCTTTATACATTTCTACTTGTTCCCCCCGGTTGCCACGCTGCATGGAGGCAGAGTGTGAAATGGGGTGACTGCACCTGAAGGTGAGGGTGAAGAGCCACCTGATTCTGCACCAGGAAGGTGCTGGGCTGCCTCGGGCAGATGAGGGGGGGCAGACACAGTGCCGATGCCCCGCCCTAAGCTCTCAGGTCCAGCGGGGCTCCCCCTCCTCCGTCCTCCTAGCAAAGCCATGTCTGAGGGGTCCGGGTCCTACTGACTAGCTTTGACCTCATCGCCACTCCCTGGAAGATCAGCATTATTTGAGTCACTGTAACTATGACACACCATGGGTCAAAAGGCATGACCCTGTTTCGGATAGGTTGACATGAGAGAAAGCTGGTGTTCTCTGTACCATTAAGCCCTGATTAAGAGCGCCCCTTCTTGGCCAGGGATTCCCTGCAGTGAGGAGCTGGGGACAGTGTCTGAATGGTGGGGGGCCCTGGAACCTCTCTGTTCCCAAAGCCCTGGAGGGACGGTTGTATTCTGCTGGCTCTGAAGCCCCTCCCCTTCATTCTTCCACGTGGACCCTCCTGCCCTGGCCCTGAATACAGGCACTTAACCTTCAGTGTCAAGTAAGACTGGTACTGCGCGTGGAAAATTATCTGCCTGAGTAATAACACTTGATGGAGAAAGCAAACAAACACAACCTCCAGGTGACACTTTGCTGTCACCTGCCTTTACTAAAGAGGGGGCCCCTGTATGAGTCTCTCCCACTCTTCATCCACAGCCGAGCAAAGATCTGTCATTCAGAGTTTGCTCTCGGATTTGAGATCCGTCCTTAACGTGTCCTCCCGTTGCTCCCTGCAGAGGCAGAGCTGATGTGAGAAGAGCAAGATTAACTTGAGAAGAGCAGATAGACAGCTAGCGTGAGGTGAGAGAGAGCCGCAGATAAGAGCGAGAAAGAAGGAGAAGTCCCACTGGACAGAGGACGAAAGGCAGGAGGGAAGGCGCCCCTGCCGGCAGGTACCTGCCCAGCGGGCCCGTGTGGACCGGACCACCTGGGCAGTGTCCTGGGCGGTTCTGAGTTTTCTGGAAGGAGCGGCCTCCTCCACCTTCCACTAATTCACCAATATTTTATGGCATGTGGTATTTTAAAGTATAAGAGAAGCCTCCTAGACTATGTCCTGTGTACTGTTTTGAATATTAATTGGTGGACATTACAGTGAAAATAGTTTATTAAAGTAGTGTGAAAGAGTAATTCATTAAAATATTACAAAGTGAATTTTTAAAATAAACAAGTAAAATTTTATTTTGTAATACCAAAAATATATCTGGAGACAACTAGCTTAGCCCTACCTGAAGAGCTGAATTATATAAACTTCTTTTAAAACTTACAAATGAAAGGAGTCTTGGTTAAGTTCTTAAGCTTTCTACGAAGATGTAGAAACCGATCAGCTCCCATGGCAGGACGGTGCCTGGCATAATTTCTCATGACTGCATCACAGTTACAGGTGAAATTAATTTAGGGGATGTCAAAGTCCAACTCTCTAGGAATAGTACTATGCCATTTGAAAATTTTACATGTAATTGCAAGTTTTTAATTAGGGAAGGTTCCAGAATTATTGGCAACTTTAAGAGGGTAAGAAAAATCACCTTAAATGCAGCTGTTTATGCCAATATTATCAAATTCCTAACTTTAGAGCCTAATTATTTCAGAAAAAGTTCTGAGATTCTCAAAACTATAACGCATCAACTGGCAAGTCAACAGGCATGAATGTTTGCTCTTTCTTGCTTCGAGCCAACTGAGTGACCAACACTGCGCCAGGTGTGTCGGGGAAAACTAGAAGCCGTGTATAGAAAAGGGGGCCACAAAGCCCTCTCTCTGACGCCTTTAAACCCAGTGAGAGGGTAAGACAGGGAGAACTACAAAAACATAACACTCAGCTGTGTGCGAGAGTGTAGGACCCTGGAAGGGACAGTGCGGACTGCGATGTGTGGTTTCTTGTGTGTTTGAAACCACGAGGCTCAGTGCATCCTGGCCAGGCCGAAGACAACGACGCCAGAGCAGTCCTTCAAACAAAGATCGGTCCAGCACGAAAAGCCAGGAGTGAAGGGCTGGACCCGGCCTGGCAGTGCAGATGGGAGGAAGGGATTGACTAGAGCAACACTGGAGCCTGGAAAGGAGGACGTGACAGAACTCAGTGACAGTTTGACTTAAGAGAGTGACAAGCAGGAGAGTCAAAAGTTGGCCCCAAGGAGAAGGTGAGATTAGACTTTGGGGAGCAGGGAATTTGGACAGGACCTTCCAGAGAGGCCTTGAAATCTCGGCATTGAGGTCTTTCCCAGATAAATGCTAAGCCTTTCACAGAAAAGAAATTTGATTTAGAAACAGGAGCTCGTGATGATTACCTCCATTTCTTCGTTTATCGCTCACGTCTATGACGCCGCCATCCCAGGTTCACCTCCCCGCCTCCCCCACACTGCGTAACACGGCTGCGTGCTTTCCCAGTTCTTAAATAATTGTTCTTCCGGATGAATCAGTCCCGCTGAACCTTCGTTTTCCTGGCATGTGGGTTCAGGCAGGGAAAGTTTCTTTTTAACCAAGTTGGCTCTTCCTTGAGTTTCCCTACCCAGGGCCTTCCCCGATTTCTCTGGCTGGAGGGTGGAACTGCAGTGTTGGAACAAGAAAATCAGCCCTGTTCGGAGCAGCCCTGTTCCTATCGGTCCTTTGTGGACATAAAGGCAGGACACATACTTTTTCCCACATACACCTTGTCTGTGCACTTAATTGGATGAGTCAGACTGTGGAGAGCTGTCCCTCAGGGCCAAGGGGATTAGACATCAGGAGCCCCAGAGTGTGCAGAGCAGAGGACGCAGGTGGTCAAGAGCAGGCGTGGGGCTGTGGCTGCTGTCGGGAAACAGATCGTCCGGGGCAAGGCGGAGACAGGTGCCGTCATCTAAACGGGAGAAGTGAGGGCTTGGAGTGGACAGGTGCTGTGAAAACAGGGGAAATCTTTAGGAAATAACATTTCCCAAATGTCTACTTCAGAACCACGTTCTTTACATGTGCTGTCTCGCGTTATCCTGCTGAAAACCACGAGTACCTTTATTCTCCCAATTTTAAAGACAGGAAAATTGAGCTGCTGAGATACAGAGTAACTTAACGGGAAGCAAGTTAATGGCAGAGAAAAATTCCATCCCTGTGCTGTTGGAATTTCAGGCTCCTTTCACCCTGGCGACTGGATATAATGGCGAAGAAGAGCAAAGTCCAAAATTTGACAAAGCTCTGCCCTCGGAGGACTGATTACTGAGGGAAAGTCCTGGAAAACAAGCGTGGGCATCACTGTGCATTGAGTGGTGTTGGTGTTTAATAACATCAGGTGTAAGATAACAGTTGCTGGATGATTACGATATGCCAGGCACCGCTTTTTGTATAGGAACTCACTGAATCTTTACAGAGTCCCTGTAGCTGTGGTATTGTCCCTGGTATACTGCAATGCGGAGAACTTAAGTGACTTGCTGAGGTCACACAGCCACAAAGTGGCAGAGACACCTGTCCTCTCATCTGCCTCACCCGGCCGCAACCACCCGCACTTTGTACATCCAGCCCAAAACGTGTTTTCTGTTGAACAAGCGCACCGTGCAAAGCACAGCGGGAAACAGGAAGATGAACTGGATGTTCGATGTGGTCCTGTCATGGCCACTAGACTACAGTGGGGGACTGACCAGAGGACCTGGGAATGTCAGTCCAGGCCCTCTGCCCATTTTTTAAGTGGGTTGTTTGTTTCTATGGTGTTCAGTTGCATGAGTTTCGTACACGTTTTGGATTTCAACCCCTTATAGGCTCTAACGTTTGCGAGTATCTTCCCTTTCACTAGGCGCTCTATTGCCTTTTTTATGTGACTGCTTCCCTTCCTCAACTTCAGGTCTATGAGACAGTTGGACACAGCGGGACCACCTTGCTCGCAGAAGTGTTCCTGCCTATTCCTGAAAGTACCGTGGTCAGTGGGAGGGCTCCCACCGAAGAAGTGGAGTTTAGCAGTAACCAGCACGTGACCCTGGACCACGAGGGGGTCGGAAGTGGTACGTATGGGCTCCCAATTATCCTCGATGGCTCTCAGTGTCACTGTCAGATTGGACCATGTCTTTTTTTTTTCACTTCTTAGTCAACCAGATAATTCTAAAATCGCTGTCAGAAATTCAAATAGAAACCATAATTTTGCAAAGTTAATTTGTATACACTACTGATGGCCAGTAAAGTCATATAATTTTGCAAGTATAAAGTAGTTTGGCAGCGTGAATTAAGGACAGCTAGGATGCCTTCGATACCTTAATTCTACTTCTAAAGAATCTTTCCTCAGAAAATAATCTGAAATGAGGACAAAGTTTTGTGCATAAAAGTGCATGGTATTATTTTAAAGCTGAAAAGTTTGAAATAACTTGAATAATTGTAACAGGGAGAGCGTTAATTAATATTCCCTCTTATCTTCGTCCACAATTCTGGTCAGGTGAGTGATGGATCATCTCACTCTTCCCACTCTGTGTCTCGTACTTGGTATCTTTTTATTCCGCTGCTGCTGCACTCTGTGAGATTTCTCTGCATCTCTCTCCCGAGTCATGAATTCACTCTTTGGCTCAGCCTAAGCAATGCCACTCATCCCTGTGTCTCTCATTTCAATTATTGTGTTATATTCACCTCTAGATATTCTGTTTAGTTCTTTTCCGATCAGTCTGGTCAGCTCTGATAATTTTTTGTCCTTTTCTAAGACTCGGTCATTTTTTTATTCATTCATTACTCTATTTTTAAAACCTATTAAAGATTTTTGAAATATTCTGTATGTGAACATTCTAATACCTACCTGCTCATTGATTGGTCCGATTCTGTCACCTTTGTTCACATGGTGGCTTGTCTCCTCGTGGGTCTGGAGATCTTTTGTGGTGAGGTCATACCTGGGGATCTGCAAGGATCCTTCCAGGCCCAAATTCAATCACTAGTCTAAAAGTCAGAGGACCTGGGCCTTCGTCCCAGCTCTGATACTGACGAGCTGTGTGCCCCTGGTAGTCGTGTAACCTCTCTGACTACCATCTTCCTCATTCATAAAATAGATCTAGTACCACCTCCTTTAGAGCCCTATCGGGTTATTTTGAAGATCAAGATGGGATGAGTAGGAAAAATCTTTGAAGAACACAAAGATGCTCTCACAGTGTGATAGCAGTATAGATTTGTGTTAATAACGTCAACTGGAAATGCAGAATGTGGAGTTGCTATATGTAGTGCTTGAAAACCTTTTCTTCCTCTAGTAAATCAAACGTGCTGCCCAAAGAGTTTTTATCACGCATTTTCATTCCGTGGGGGCCAAATCACTGAGGCTTTACTGCTGCCTCACAGCCCACCCACAGCAAACACTTCCTGAGTGGTCTCTGTCTGCTGGGCACTACGTGCCCGGCCAGCAGGGCCTCGCTCATCCCACTGTTCTTCCCTGCGGGAACATCCACCTCAGGGCCCTTCCACGGCTCCTTCCATGAAGCACTGCTCTTTCCCAAGATGTCACCGTCTCACTTGCTCACTTTCTTCAGGCCTTCATTTAAAAGTCCTGCCCTCACTGGCGTGGCTCCGTGGGCTGGGCATTGTCCCACAAAGCTAAGGGTCACCAGTTCAGTATCCGGTCAGGGCACATGACTGGGCTGCAGGTTCAGTCCTGGTAGGGACGCGAGAAGTAGGGATGCATGCGAGAGGGAACCTGTCCATGTTTCTTTCTCTCCCTCTGTTTGTCCCTCCATTCTCCTCTCTCTAAGACATAAAGAAAATCTTCAAAAAAAAAAATTAAGTCCATCTCTGGATTCTCCGCTGGCCACTCCCTCTGAAAGTTCAACCCCTTCCCACACCCCAAAACACATTTTCTGTATACTTTCCCTAATTTATGTTTCTCTTTTACACCTACCACTCTGTAACATACCACGGATTGCATTTAACTTACTAATGCTATTTACTGCCCATATTTCCTACTGAAACATAAACTCCGTGATATCAGGGCTTCTTACCAGTTGGGCTTCTTGACTGCCCTCGTCAGTGCCTGGAGTAGCGCCCGGCCCGACGCAGGAGCACAGAAGCGCCTGCTGAGTGAGTGCCCAAAGGTGTCCACAACAGTCTCCTCCTTCACAGGAGATGCTGGTATCATCCTTATTGTATACACTAAGAAACTGAGGCTGAGGCCTTTGTGGTCACACAGCTGTAAAGTGTCAAAGCCACAGCACGCACGCGGATGGTCCCACTGCAGGCACGTCATCCACCCTGACGGCCACGGTGTTGTCAGAGCAGAGCCAACCAGCGGTTCTGAGTGTCATCGCCCGCAGAACTCAGTGCTGCTGAATGATGTGCTCCCCGCCCCGCCCACCCCCATGCACATGTCCCCCTGTGTGCTGTCTACTCTGCCAGGGGCTCGCTCCCTCTTTCTAAGCAACGCCCTGTTTGACGTGCTCTTTCCCAAGGTGTGCCTGTCTCGTTTGAAGCCGACGGCAGTAACCAGCTGATTCTGATGACCTCGGGGAAAGTGTCCAACAGCGTGGCATGGGCCGTTGGAGAAAATGGGATACCTTTAGTCCCTCCACTGTCACAGCAGAACATTGGATTTAGGAGGTAATGCGTGGCTGGAAGCAACTGATGAGCAACGTTGTCCCCAGCGTTAATAACACCTGCTGGCTGGGAAACGGCTTACAAATCGCATGCATCCCTTCCACTGCCCTGTGCATTGTTTTTTTTGGGGGGGGAGGTTTGTTCTTAAGGTAAAAATTAAGATATTAATGGCCTGTCAAGTATTCAGTATTTACAGGGGCAGAAACAGTGAGAAGTGCTTTCTCTTATTTAATCTTGACAAAAATTCTGAGAAGTCCTTTTCCTGTTTACAGATGGGGCAGTAAGCAGCATATCGCTGTAAAGGTCCATTGCTGCTGATGAGTAGTGTCGAAACTTCTGGTTCTGTGAAACCATCCCCCTATGCCCAGTCCCCTTCTGTGATTGCTGGAGTCTTAGCTTTCTACTCACAACAGAAGACAGAGACCCCTACGCAGGCCCCCACTCCTGTGGGCAATGCCTGTCCAAGCAGCCTGGATGGTCGGAGCCATGTGTCCTGGGTTTGAGTCTTGTCTCTCATCCTTCAATAGATTTGTTTCAAATGCATCATTTTACCATCCTAGGCCTCCACTGCCTCATCTATAAAATAAAAGGGCATATTCTGATCTTTGAGAAGCCACTTTCCCAGGTACAGACTGTCATTTGCAACATGCAGAAAAGTAGAACAGGCTTGGTTTTTCCCCTCGTAGGCTCCCTCCATCCCGATACCAACCTGTGTTCACATGATAAAAACCAGGGACGAGACTGGCCGCCACGTCAGTGGAGGCTTGCTCCTGCCTCCAGCATGAGCACTTGGCATGCATTGCGCTGAGTTCACTCCAGGGAAATTCTTGGGGCTTAAAGCTCCAAGTCAGCAGGGCTAACAGGGAATGCAGCACTGTCAATAATGCCACCGCTCAACTGTGCTGACAACCCCGCGTCCCCAGAACTCGGCGTGCCCAGAGTCGGTGCTTGTGCTAGTTTTGTGTTTATTTTTGTCCCTCTCACTTTTTTTTGGTTTTGCCTCAGTTACAAGGGGTTCCCCAGTTGCCTGAATGTGAGCCCTCGGGGTACCCTGCACCAGGTTCCAAGGCTTCTTTTCACTGTGACTCGGGCCTGGGTCCCGGGACTCGGGGTCACTTGAATGCTCTGGACAGTTGTGGGAACAATCACATCTCCAGTCCTTCCCCTTCTTTTACTCTCTTCGTTTTATTGAGATGTAATTGACATATGACATTGTGTGACCTTAAGGTGTATAACATCGTGATCTGACATATGTACACACTGTCAAATGATCACCACATTAACTCTAGTTAACAGCCACCACCACCCACAGTTACAAACCTTTTTCCTTGTGATGAGAACCCGTAGATGAGACTGCCCATTGTCTGAGCAACTTGCAAATATTCAATACGGCATTGTTAACTGTAGTCACTGTCACTGATCAATCCCCGGGACTTACTTACAACTGGAAATTTGTCATTTTTGATCCCCTTTACTCCACCCCCTGTGTCTGGCACAACCACCATTTTGTTCTCTGTTTCTATACATTTGTGGGGGGTTTAAATATTCCACAGTATTTATCTTTCTCTGCCTGCCTGACTTATTTCACTTAGCATAATGCCCTCAAGTTTCATCCGTGCCGTCACAAATGGCAGGACTTCATTTCTGTGGCTGAATAGTGTTCCTTTGTGTGTATACACCACACTTTCTTTATCCATTCATCTACCGATGGACACTTAGATTGTTTCCAAACTTTGGCCATTGTAAATAACACTGCAGTGCCAATGGCGGTGCAGACGCCTCTTTGGGATAGCAGTTCTGTTTCCTGCATGTACGTGCCCGGAAGTGGGATTGCTGGATCACACGGAAATTCTCCTTGTCGTTTCTTGAAGATCCTCCACACTGTTTCCTCCAGCGGCTGCACCAGTTTACATTCCCAAAACTCATCATCTGTTCTCTTTTCAGTAATAAGCATCCTAACAGGTGTGAGGTGATATCTCTTTGTAGTTTTGATTTGCATTTCTCCGATAATGAGTTCTGTTGTGCATTTTTTCATGTACCTGTCAGCCGTGTGAATATCTTCTTTCAAAAATGTCTACTAAGTTCCTTTGTCCATTTTTTACTTATTTGGTTTTTCTTTTCTTTTTTTGCTATTAAGTTATGTAAGTTGCTTATATATTTTGGATATTAACTCCTTATCAGGTGTGTGGTTTGCAAATATTTTCTGCCACCATTCTTACTTATTCACTGTCCTTATAACATATTGAATAGCAATCTTCAAGTAAAAAAATTGGCTGAAGTCCATTATCAGATGTTCTGCTGTGGAGAATAGTGGCTTCATTGAACGAGTTGTCTCTGGGATTTTGTGATCCTGACGCAAACTGCTCTGTGGTCACCTCCATCTCCTGGAATGAATTTTTTTTCCAGTGCTTTGAAAAGAGCAGATGCCATCTCATCCATTGGCGCCTCGGGACTGACGGACATGAAAAAGTTGGCCAAGTGGGCAGCAGAATCCAAGCTCGATCCAAATGATCCCAGCAACGCCCCCCTGATGCAGCTGATCTCGGTAACGTGCGGCAGGGGAATGTGCACACACTCTTTCTCGCCCTGGTGTGATGACAGGAATGACAATGGCTCAGCCCTTTGCACACATTTTCTTTCATCCTGTACTCTGTGCCGTAGTGCTTAATAGCATGAGTGCTGAGTGACTGGCCGGTTTAAATGCCAGCTTGGCACCTACCTGGCTGTGTGAGCGAGGTAGGCGCTCATGGGTCTAAGCCCTGAGACACCCTCCCAGTGCTGCTGTTGCCAGTGAAATGGGTTCTTGCAGTGTTGCAAGAAAGGAATTTCAAAAGGCACATGTGTGGGAGAACCTCATTTTATATTGTTGTTCAAACACAGTTGTCTCCATTTTCCCATCACCACCTTCCCCTGCCCCACCCACCCCCACCTCCCACCCTCACTCCCATCCCCAATTGGCTTTGTCCATGGGTCCTTGATACATGGTCCTTGACGACCCCTTTCCCTCCTTCCCCCCATTATCTCCCTCCCACCTCCCCTGTGGTCACTGTCAGTTCTTTATTTCAATGTCTCTGGTTCTGTTTTGCTTGCTTGCCTGTTTGTTTTGTTGATTAGGTTCCACTTATAGGCAAGATCAGAAGTGATACTTTTTATAGTTACTGAATGGCTATATTAACATCTTCCTTGTTACTATTACATTTTAATGTACTTTGTCTTTAAATGAAATGCAGGACATTTCGGGTTTCTCAATCTAAAACAGTTAAGCCTCCATTCCCAAAAGCTCAGGGCTGGCTTTCTCTGGATAAAATCTGCCCATTGTCTAGAGTTTTGTATTTTCCGTTTTTTATAGGTTGCTACCAGTGGTGAGTCCTATGTCCCTGATTTCTTTCGACTGGAACAGCTGCAGCAGGAATTTAACTTCGTGTCAGATGAGGAATTAAATAGATCCAAACGATTCAGGCTTCTGCATCTTAGAAGCCAGGAGGTGCCAGAATTCCGAAATTATAAGCAAATTCCAGCATATGACCGAGAAATCATGGAAAAGGTATTCCAGGTAAGAAATGGCTGTGGTAAAACACCACTGTGCCACTTGGTCAGCTTTTTAATGTAAATTTTGTTGATATATTTTCAATAGCAATGCTAGTTTCTCTTTTGCAGCACTTTACATAACCTTTTCACTATATTTCTTATATTCAGTGTTAAAAAACCTCTTATCTCAATACAGTGAAAGACATCAACTAAGAAAAATTAGGATGGTAGGGTTGAGAAATATCTTAGGTGTTAAATATGGCAAATTAGCCTGCCTTAGTCAAGAGTTCAGCGCCATTTTAATCCAGTAAAATAAGCACACGGTCAGTAGTGAGCACCATGGGAAACTGAGGGGTAGGATTTGAGCCGCCTCAGGGTGGGAGCAGGAGAAAGGAAGCAAGGAACAGGCTGGTGTCCTGGGCAAGGGCAGCAGGATGCAGAGTCTGGTGGGCCGGGAGCCATCTGAGGGCCGTTGGGGGCAGGACCTCTGAAGGCTTTCAGAGGCTAGGCCTGGGTAGGTGGGGCAGGCCAGCGGGTCCAGACAGGTGAGTCTGCATTTGATGAGGTAAGTGAGGAGCCATTAGAAATTAGTACCCGTATGACTTCTCCTGCAGAAGCCGTTCTTGGAGAATGTTTCCCGTTGCTTGGTGCTTCTCTGCATGGTTTGGACTTGTGATTGTTATAAACTCTCGATCTGAACTAACGCAGGCACCGAGGGGAGTTCACTGAATGATGAAACCCCGAAATGGGATCAAATAGCTAAAGCCGTGTGAATGTCAGGCGCCCATCTGTGCCTCCGTGACGCCCGGCTGCAGGGCCCAAATGTACCCAGGACCTTTCACACCCTGTCTGGGCTTCCCTTGCTATGGTTGCTTCACTTCCCCCCACTATGAACAGATTTCTCTACTTGGCCACATGGTCCCCCCATTATCCAAGTTCACATCCAGTAGTTTCAGCCAGAAGGGAGAGGTGTGTCCATTTTTTTTTTTAAATTTATCTTACAGAGATGGGGCAGAGGGACATCCATTTGTTTTTCCACTTAGTCATACATTCACTGGTTGCTTCCTGTGCGGGTTCTGACTGGGGATCAAACAATCAAGCCTGGCGTGTCAGAATGACCCGCAACCAACTGAGCTACTGGCCAGGGCACAAAGCTGTGTCCTTCTGTCTCAAGTTCAAAAACCTTGAGTCACCCTGAGCATTCAGCGTGACCAGGAGAGGATTGAAAGAGAAGACGGCAGTTCCCTGGGGCCCATGGGGGATTTTACTGATGGAAAAAGAGAGGAGAATGTGGCGGCCTACGCAGACAAATCCACAGCACCCATGACCTTCCTCCAAGTTGGTGACCAAGTCAGCTGCACCAAGATGCCATGTTCTATTTTGTAATTGCTTTACTTAAAATAGGAAAAGGCAAAAGTTAAGCAGAGGCTTCAGCTAAGTTGCCGGGTGAGCTTGGCATCTTGAACCACAGCGACTGTTACCTGTGTGGCCTCGGTTTCTTCCCTCATGAACGTTGCAAAGTGTAGTTCCAGGTTTCTCTTCCACCTATAAGGCATCCGCCAACTGACTCTGAATCCTGGATTCTGCGTCCCAGACCAGTTCTGAACCGAACGTTCACAGGAAGGTGGAAGAAACATTAAGAGCCATAATTCATGAACGTAAACCCAAGGGATAAATTCCCTAATCTCCAGAAGGGCACAAGAGAGTACTAATACTTTAAAATCATAAAATTATTCCTTTTTAATTTTTAGGACTATGAGAAACGGTTACGAGACCGAAATGTGATTGAGACCAAGGACCACATAGATGGCCATCGGGCCGTAGTGGCCAAGTACCTCCAGCAGGTAAAAAAATCATTTTTAACAGCCCTGATGGGGGAAAATGGCCTGCCCCCTGGGGTGGTAGGTGGGAGGTCTCTTCTTTCAAATAGCTGTGGGACACTTAACCCCCGAAGGCTTCTTTTCTCAGAATTAGAGACGTGAAATGGATGAACAGTTCTCTTCGTCTTTTGAACACGTGAAAACATTAGGATGTATCTCAGCTTCCTGTCAGTGGTTCTCTTAAGTGGGCTGTAGCGACGAAGTACTCAATATTTGAATGTCTGCATCATACTTCGTAATAGAATAGAAGTTTTATGAGTGACATACTAACTGCCCTATTCACTAGAAAGTTGAAACATCTTTTGGTCCTCTCTCTCTCCTTCCCTCCCTCCCTTCCGTCCATTCTTTAATAAATTTAACTTATAAGAAATGCTACAGTGACGACGATACCTTTTTCCCATAAAGTTGATTTGCCCTCTGTCACACATATTAAAAAAATAACAATTTATGACATTTAAGAGGTTGTCTATTTAAAGGAGAATTAGGAAATAAACCAATCTGAATAGAGAAAGAACTTAAGAAGCACTTCTGCACCCCCTGTGCTTCGAGGCTGGCCCTATTTTTCATTCGTTCATCTGTTCAGCAAGCTCTTATCTCCTGCGGGTCAGGAGCTTGCCCAGGTCCTGAGAATGGAGCGATGAGCAGAACTGAGACCCCTCCACCGTAGGTGCTCTCACCAGTGAGCAAAACTCAGTGATGGACAGTAGGAAGTGGCCAGTGCTGCGGGGAAAAGGGAAGGTGGCCGCTGGGGGCTGGGCGGACGTGACACGGGGTGAAGATGTGGAGGAGAAGTTTAGGGAATGAACGCCGAAGACCACGACACAGGGACACTTTACCTGACACTTCTTTCTTTCCCCAGGTTAGAGAATCAGTGTTAAATCGCTTCCTAATTGCAAAACGCCATTTTCTCCTTACGGATTTGATCGTCGAAGAAGAAGTTCCCAATATCAGGTAAAAACAAACCTTTTGTTTCATCTACAAATGATTTTCATTGCATCACAGTAAAACCTTCGCGTGACTGTAAGATGTCTGTCCCTGTTTGGGGCGCGCTGGGTCCACGAACAGTGCGGGGAACTGGTGAAACTCGATGCGTGCCCGATGAGGGCAGTAGGAGAGGGGACTCGGTGAGAACACGCTGCCCTGCCCGAGGCCCTCTCCGTCCCTCGCCAGCCCCCTGCCGCGCCCACTCCGCTCCGGCAGCCTTCGCCCTTTCCTGTTGCCATCGGAGTCCGACAGCCTCTCCCTCCCGCACTCGCTCCTCCCGCTTCCCTCATCTCCCAGTGCTGGCCTTTCGCCTACTCTCCCATCGCGGTGGCTGAGAACCACGGGGCCCACGAAGGTCTGGGTGGAGGGGGAGGCCTGGTCCCAGAACCACAGCTGGGAGGGGGCAGAGCTGCTGTGTTTGGTGAAGCTCAAGGGCAGCTGGGGAGAAACGGTTATTCACCTAGACGTTGGAAATTGGCCATATCTGCTTGATTGTTTTCCTCTCATTTAGAAAAATCTTCAAATTCTGTTGACTGCCGGGGGGGGGGCGCAATTCAGAAAAGGTGGGGGATAACTTTCCTCACAGGTGGTCTTGTGCAGTCCGTTAATCTCATGACCCCTTCTGGGACTGAATCTCTCGGTCTCCCCTAAAAAGGTTATTTCTTAGGCGTGTATTTCCTCTCCACCAACAAGTCGGGAAGGAGACAAAGCACCGTGCTGTCTTCAGCAGCCCCTGACTTTGACTTTGTCTCCATCCATGTACATAAGAGAGGCTATGCCCGTAAATTCACACAACACCTTCTCCCTAGTCCAGGCCCAGAGTCCGGGCATCGAATGCTTGATTCCATCGTGAAAATTACACGTAGAATCGATGGTGATTTTTCATGCTGTTTTCCCATTTCTTTTCTTTCTTTTTCTTTTTTTCTGCTTTACTTTCTGCATTAAGTTCTGAAGGCTCAGGGTATGTTCTTTCTTCTTTTCATTTTGATTTGTTCTTGGCTTTAAACTAATATGTTTGTGTATTTAATGTCCCAGCCCTACGATGTTCCCATGTGAAGTCTTTGAGGGGAGCCCCGTCTGGGGGAGGGAGGCAGTATTTTCGGGGGGAGAGTGTCACATGAGGACCCCCTGGAGAGGTGCCTCTCTCAGGTCCCAAGCTTGGCCCGGTAGGTGTGCTGGTAGAATGCTGAGGAAGATGGGCTGTCATTTGTGATAACATGGTTGGACAGAGGGGGCATCAGGCTGAGTGAAATCAGACAAAGATAAACACCACACGATTTCACGTACATGTGGAATCTAAAGAGCCAGATTCTTGAGAACGGAGAGTAGAATGGGAGCTGTGAGAGGCCAGAAAGCGGGAGAGCGGGGGAGGTATGATTTAATGGTACGGATTTGTGACTAGTAGGTAAATAAGCCCCGGAGATCTAATGCAAGCAGAGTGATTATGGTCAACAACACTGTATAATAAACCTGAAAGGTACTAAAAGCCTAGACCTTAAATATTGTCGCCACACAAAGGAAATGATAATTATTTGACATGATAGAAGTGTCAGCTAATGTCATGGCGAGAATCATAATCTATGAATACATCAGACCAATGTGTTGTGGTCTTAAACTAATACAATGTTATATTCAATTATATCTCCATGAAAATTAATTTAAAGTGATAAAATAATAACATGCAGATAATCACACGCACAAACAGAGATTAGCAAAAATGTACAGTAATGGCAGTCTTCTCACACTTCGTTTGGGAGAGAAGAATTCGCCTTCACAGTTCTACATGATGTTACGTGCAGTGGCCTCATTCCTGTTTTGAGTGAGTTGAGAAATGAATGTGTATAAATACCAGAAAAGAAAAACGAGACTGGCAGTGAAGTCGGGTGACCTGAGATTGGACCCCAGTTCCCCATCCCCTGTTTAGGAGCCTTCAGCAAATTGTATCACTGCTCACAGCCTCCAGTTTCTTCATCTAGAAAAATGGGGTAAAGCTCATGCCTGTGAGGATTAGAAATTGTTACATGCGAGGCACTCAGCACTCTGCTTGATGCACGAAGGTGCTGATGAACGCTCACTGTTCCGTGCTCTGTGGGACTGAAGTCCCTGGGGAGGAATGGAAACAGCAGCCTCCCTGCTGGCGGGTGCCGCTTGGACAGAGGGCTCCAGCTGAGCTCACGGAGAAGCAGAGCAACGGAGAAGGGCACACTGCAGCCTGCGGCCAGCTCTGCACAGCTGGCTTTGTTCTGTGCTGTTTGGCATAGTCAGTCATGTCAGCTTCCAGGTGCAGAGTCACATCTGTGTTTCTGCTTAGTCTCTGGGCCAGAATTTAATTATTTACTCCAAGGCCTTTCTCCCGTGAGTCACTGACTGCGTTGCTTTCGTCTTCCAGGAAGTGTTTATCTGACATGATCAGGGTGAGAAGTAGGAAGACACGAGATCCTCCTGCTCCTCCTCCCCTGCCCTTCCTCCTGATTCCGCCTCTTCCTCTCCTTCCTCTTCCTCCAGCATTCTCACCAACATCGTCATCATTGACGTCATCCCAACATTTCCATTCCACATCTACTAAGTGCTAGGCCAGTGCCAGGTGCTTGCATGCACCTCCTCACTTAGTCCTCTCAACAACCCAAGGGGGAGCTACGGGCCCCATTTTACAGATGACAAAACAGAGGCTTAGAAAGGTGAAATCATTTGCTTAAGATCAGAGAGCAGAGGCAGGATTCACACCCAGTCTTAGATCTAGTGCCAGAGAGTGAGGTGTCCCAGGAAAGGCCTGGAAAGGCAGTAAACATCAACTGCAGGCCACGGAGCAGGGGAGAAAGTGCTCCAGGGGCTCAGGAGAGGGCGCCCCTTCTAGCTGATGTGCCTGGGCCTCGGGAAGGGGAGGCCCTGCCCTGCAGGTAGGGAAAACTGCAACCGAATGGGCAGTGAGGAGGAAGGTGGGGGGAGGCACTCCCTGTGTGGCACCGGCAAAGGCAGCGAGGAGGAGAGACGGGGCCGTGGTTGGAGGGGCTGCGGGGCGAGCATGGCAGAGAGCGAGGCGGAGATGCTGGGAGCAGCCAGAGCACCCTTTTCTTTCTCTGATCAGTAGCAGCGGCTAAAATAAATTATAATAACCCATGCAGTAGGATGGCTCCCGTCTTAGGAAAATTTCTTGATGATTTCTACCCTCTTTGAAATAAAGGCAGAGTTTTGGGGGGGGCCTGTGAGGGAGCGTGGGGCAGAGCTCGAGTGGTCGCGTGACTTTCCAGATCTTTCTTCTCCTCAGAGTCCTAATCCTCTTCTGTAATCGTTAGCATTCTCGGCCTAAGCCTTTTCAAGCTGGCGGAACAAAAGCGACCACTGAGGCCGCGGAGAAAAGGCCGGAAGAAGGTGACCGCCCAAAACCTGTCCGACGGAGACATAAAGCTGCTGGTGAACATCATCCGAGCTTACGACATCCCGGTGCGGAGGCCGGCAGCAGGGTGAGAGCCCTCCCCACGGCCCTGGGGGGGGCTGTGCGATCCCTGCCCCGTGGTCACGTCTTTGTAGAGTCCACTCCGGTTTGCAACAGAGTTGTGCTGTGGGGGCGGGGCGGGCTTGCCGAAGCCAAATCCCACTGGTTGTGAATAATAGAACCAACTCAGTCAGCTTAGGCTGCACAAGGGGTCAGGGGCACTGTCTCGTGGAACTCGGGACAAGGGGTACGCTGAGCTACAGGGCAGATTGTAAAGATTAACGTGGTTCTCCTGAGGCCCCGTCATCTCGAGTGCTTCCCTCCGTGGATTTGCTTCCTTCTTGCGTGTGATGGAAGTAGTTTGTCCAGCCAGGGTACCACCCACCAAGCTTCAGCTTCTCCAGGGAGGATCTGGGGGTCCTGACAAGGGTCAGGTGTTCATCCGTGGTCTAACCACCCACAGCCAGAGCAACAGGGTCACCAGCCCGGGACGGTGGGCAACAGATCCCAGGGACGTGCGTGTGAGCTGAGCAGAAACCCAGGAGGTGCCTGCCCTGGGCTCTGGGACACACTTGCTACAGGCGTAAAGCCGTGGTTTCTCTCTTAGCTGCTCAGAGAAGTGTTATGCCTGTGACATTTCTGCACTGGGGGCGCTGGGGGCACTGGGGACCCTCAGCCACAGACGAGGGAGTTGAGTTACTTATCCCCTTGGAGGATGAGAGATGGAAGAACCCAGAATGAAAACAACTTTGGCTGGTGTCCTTGCCAGTGTAATGAGGGAAGCTGTCGCTCATTGTACATTCACCATGTTCTAGGCACCACGCGGGGCACCTTCACATATATTATTTCATCAACTTCTCACTGCTGTCACCAACTCCATGTCACTAAAGGGAAAACGCAAATAAAGGGACTGTAAGTGGCTTGTCCAAGGGCACCAGCCCTGGATGAGTGCCATGCCGGCCTTGGCACCTTCTCTCCTCCCCAAGTTCTTCCCATAAATTTACTTTCCCTTCCTTCCGCCCCTTTATTTTTCCTTTTTTTAAAAGCTAATTCTCTCACCCAGCACAGAACACCTGATCATCACCAGCTGCTCCCAATTTTACTGCTTGCACATGTCAGTTTAAGCTCTGCAGTCTGTGCCGTAGCGTTGCTTCCTGGGGCCGGAGCCCGGCCCTCTCACCTTGATTGATTGTGGGGGGAAAAGCTGTCTGTTTGTTTGTTTGTTTTGATATATAGGTGTTTGTCTTATTTGTGGTCTCTTTTGATTTTTTAAGTGTTGAACAGTTTAGTTGAACTAGTCACCAGGAAGCACAGTGGACCGTATGGCACACGTTTTGGTGTCGAGTCACCGAGGCGGCCCACGCACCAGCCCCTGAACCGAGCTAGCCCGCATCTTAGTCCTCTACCCTTGCATCCAACCAAACGGAATTTTCCAACTCCCCCTCTGTACCCTTATGGCCCCTGCTCGTCCCTCGAGTCTGACAAGCCTCCCACTATTTTGCGATGATTGTGACACGTCTGCCTCCTGCTCTGGTCTGACCTGAAGAGCCCTCACTTGTCTCGGCAGCTCCGGTGTCTAGCACGGGGCCTAAAGTGCAGAAGGCATTTACCAAATATTTGTGTAACAATGTTATTGACGCTGCTCCAGAGAAAAGGGGGTCTTCTCTGGTAGCTGTTACATTAAAAAATTCCACTGTTACTGTCTTATCGCTTATCTGAAATGCTTACTTGTGAAAAGGTAAGACAATCTGACGGAAATAGACAACTTACAGTTCGGCAATGAGTGCAGCATATTTGGTGAACCATGAAGTTCAGACAAAATACCTAGGAGAGTTGTTAGGAGGAGGGGAAGGGGCCTGGGAGAGGCTGTCCGGACATGACCTTCATTCCTTCCTCCAGGAAGAGCAGCTCTTTAAAAGAGAAAGAGGACAAGACCCCTGGATCCTGGCTCTAGCAAGGAATCTCCGATCCCTCCCTTTCCCAGAGAGGGCTGGGGGTCCCGGAAAGATGTTTACCTGGGGATTGTAGCTTAAGGTTCCTGGACAAGGCCGGTTCAGAGAAAATACAGCAGGAGAGGAGTTAAACGGGGACGTTCAGGGTTCTGCCACCTGAGAGGGATGGGGCTCCTTTATGGGTACCCTCTGAGAGAGGAGAGAGAAAAGGACTCTATCCTCTGTCCTTAGCCATCTGGAGGTGACCAGAGCGTACTGAAGCCTACTGAAGTGTCAACAAGCTTCAACAGAATGTCTGTCACCTTTGCCACCAGAGCCACACACCTTTGAAAAAACCTCTTCTCAGTATGTAATTAGACTTCCCTGTCATTGATGTTTCTGAACATTTTCCCTCCCAGCAAATTCCAGCAGCCGTCAAGGTCTTCAAGGACTTTCAGCGAGAAGCGGGCTGCTTCCCCGCCCACACACAGCCCAGCCCACAGCGCCCACGACCCACTAGGCCAGGTGAGGCACCCGAAGGGGGGGTCTCCGCTCAGACTTCACCCCTCCCGCTTTCAAGAATTGCCTGGAAGCTGCCTGGTCTGTTTCCTGCTTCATTTTCTGGAAGCGTACTATTTAATAAACACATTCTACCTCTAGTTAGAGCAAAATAATTCAACTAAGTGTTCTGGTCTCTTACAACTTGCTTTTTGATTTTAAGGTTTTAGTACGTCCTTTTGTAGAGGTTTCTTTTCAACGGACAATCTGCCATACCACGACGGCGGAAGGGCCAAACCCCAGCTGGAATGAAGAGCTCGAACTTCCATTTAGGTGAGCGTGTGTTCCTGGGTAATGTACTACAGGGTAGTTGAAGAAATGTGCAGGAATCGTAGGCTCCCAGGGAACCGGCTAAGGCGAGGGTTTGTGTGGCCGGTGAGCTCAAACAAGGAGCCCTGATGCCACGGCCCGCACTCTGCCTCCTGCGCGGCCCTGAGTCCAGTCAAGAACGCAGGAGGGAAATGTCCAGCTTTCGAACCTCGGGTGCCCTGTGGGGACGCTGCACTCCTCTCCGGGCTCTGGCTGTTTACAGCCCGAGTTCCCGGGCCCTTCCCCCATGGCCTCTGCATTGCTTTTCCTCTCTTCCTTGTCTCCCCAACTCTGGAAGCTTTAGGTAAATTTGAATTCCCTTGTTCTCATAAATTATGCCTTACTGGAAATACAGAAGCATTTAAAAAAGAAGGAAATCTTATTCTCCGTGACAGCATGGATAGACCTGGAGAGTATTATGCTAAGTGAAACCAGCCAATCATTTGTGATTTCACTTATATGTGAAATCTTATGGACAAAATAAACTAACAAACAAAACAGGAACAGACTCAGATACAGGGAACAGACAGCTGTCAGAGGGGAGAGGAGTCAGGGAGCTGGGTGATAAGAAGGAAGTGATTAAGTAAAGAAAAAACATACAGATAACAGTACAAGAGGAAAAGGCGGGGGGAGGAGGAAGTGGGCAAATGGGGGAATAAATGGGGCAGAAAGACTTGACTTTGGGTGGTGAGCGCATGATGCAACATGCAGATGATGTGTTATAGAGTTGTGCTCTTGAAACCTATATGGTTTTATTAGCCAATGTCACCTCAGTAAATTCAATAAAGCATATAGATATATAAAAAATTTTAATATGACTTTAGATATTTAAGATTCATTGTCTCAGACCTTGAAGCAACCTTACAAATGATCTGGTCCAATGCTCTATTTTGTCAAAATACAAAAACAAAACAAAACAACACTAAAACCCAAATATAGAAGGTGACTTTTTAAATGTGAATAGTAAATCAGAAACAGTAACAATCAGAACTAGTTAAGGCATAAGAAAGGGGCAGATGCCACTGTTATACATGTTACAAGCAGGAAGAATGAGAAAACAGAGGCAGGTGCTCCATGAATCCCTGCCCGGCCCAGTCTCTCGCTCTCCCACGGAGCGGCCTGCTTCGACCGGGGCCTTGCCGGACTCCGAGCAGGTTGTGCTGCGGGAGACGAACCTCTGCCCTGCGGTGCTCACTCAGCTGTGGGGAAAGTGGGCGGGGCCAGGAGCATTCAACCAGCCAGGTAGCAATACAATAGGTGTAGACTGGAGAAGGGCCCTCTGGAGAAGCTGGCTCTGGAGCCCGGCTGACTGCGAGGCCCGAGTACTAACACCAGGGGCCGCTGGAGACCCTGTCTGCAGCTGACTCCATGGGGCGGAGGGTGGGAAGTGGGCGTAAGACTAACCAGGACAAGCCAGCAGACGGAGGTTTTAGTGCCCTTTCTACTTGGGTGTGGACACTATGTTATGAGGGGAACCCCTAGAAACTGGAATTTACTTATAAAAAATTGTGTATTTATTCTTCCATGTTTAAACTTCAGTCACCTTCAAAATTCTGTCCATCTGATGTAATACACCTATCAAAACTTTTTTCCCACTGCTCAGAACAGTGCTTGAACTCGTCAAGTTTGATGTCTTTTAGTGCTTCTGCCATTTTTTTATTTCACCTCTTCATCGGCAGAACGTTTCTCTCTGAGGACTTTTCTCATCCAGGGAAATAAAGAAGTCACTCGGGGCAGGATCAGGTGAATAGGCAGGTTGGAGCACAGGGGTCATGCCATTTCTGATCAAACACCGCTGGACACTCAGCACCACAGCAGTGTGGGCGAGTATACTCGCAACTCACCCATCACGACATGGGCAGACGTGTTGAAAGTTTCCAAAAAATTCAGTGAAGCTGAATGCAGCCTCTCATGACCCCAGCTGGTACAGATGGGTTCCTAAAACACGCACCTAGCGGGGAGCCTGTCTGACAAGGGGCCCGCCCTCCAGAAGATGATTCTGGTTTGGGGTTTCCCCGTAAAACAACGCCCATCCCTGTGTAAGATAAACCCCTGAACTGGAGCACTGCTTTAACCTGCATCTGTGCTCCCGCTTGAGTGTTTTTTTCAAACTGGAACATCTGAGTGCTCGTTATGTCTCCTTTCCCATTCTCACGGCCCCTGGGCCCCGTGTGCCACTCCCAGGGCCCCGAACGGGGACTACAGCATGGCGAGTCTGCAGTCGGTGAAAGATGACGTGTTCATTAATGTTTTCGACGAAGTCCTATATGATACCTCGGAGGTGAGTTCGCGGTTCGAGGAGGGAGTCTGCCCTCATTCTCGCAGCCCCTCTGCACCTCTCCACGCCTCTCGTGTTGTAGATTTCTGAGACCCGAGGTGTACCAGTGGGGAAAGGGAGGAGGGAGAATGGAAAACGCGAAGTAGCGTTTTTATTTTCAGTTGAGTGTCGCTGTGTTCCAGGAGTTGTATCGGGTGTTTTCACACACCTTTTCTTATTTAATCCTAAAATAACGCTGTGAGGCAGATTGGTAAGTATCCAATGTAATGATGAGGAAACTGAGGTTCAGGCTTTCCGTGGGCCCCAAAACCATGAAGCATCTGAGCCAGAATGTGACTTTGGTCTGTCTAACCTAAGCCCCCGCGCTTGCAGCCCCGTCCCTGCCGTTTTCTGCCACCAAATCTGCCCCGTGACTGTCTGGAGCTCTTAAACAGTCCTTCTACCCACCTCTCCTTTAGGATGACCGGGAGAGAGGGAGCGGAACCCACACTCGAATTGAGAGGCACTGGTTGGGATGTGTGAAAATCCCATTTAGCACCATCTATTTCCAGGCAAGGGTAAGCACCTGACGTGGGACTCCGTGGGAAGAGGGCCCTGCCCCATCCGTTCTCCCGGCCAGGCTTTCCTTGTGGGTGTGTTGCCGCCAACGCTGAGCCGCTGATTCTCTGTCGTCTCTGCACCACTTACTAAACATCCGTCTTCCTAGAGTTAGTTGTTAATGTGTGACTGTCCCAGTGTGAGAATTTCTTAAACATTTAATCAGAAGTGAAGAAGGTGGAACAAAGTGGAAACTTGTCAAAGGGACAGAGCGGAATGGACAGGTGCCCAAACGCCACTGGAACAAAGTGGGACAGTGGACGGCCATGTAACCCAGTGCGTTTCCTGAATGTTTCTACAGTCCTTGCTGTTTCCAAAGTGACCTGTGGTTAGCAGAGACTCGCTCACCTAAGACAGCCTTCTTCAGAATTTAGCAATTTTTCTAAAGGGACCCATTAGCCTAACTACACCTGAATGACATACTGCCTCCAAGCCAGGACAGTTGAAGATTCAGAAATGGCTTTCACACCCCGGGACTCAGTCCCTGGCAATGAGCGGCTCTGAGCCATAAGAGCGTGGCTGTCCTCGCACAGCTGAGGAGCATCGGCGTAATTCCACGTGCGGTGAGCGCACAGCGCAGCACTGCCTGGGCCGCAGAGTCTCCAGCAAGGCCAAGGCCAAAGGCAACTCTGAGAGGACGGACTGGTTGGAATCTCAAAGACGGCTGGGAACCGTCATCCTCCCTAGACCAAGGGATAGTCGCTACGGGGATGCGCTTGCCAAAGAACTCACATTGCCCTCTTTGAATACATTTTAAATGAAAACTTTAAGCGGCAAAAAAAAAGCCCTTTCTGTGAGGGCTTTGGGAAGCGGGGCTAGAAAGAGGGGCAGGCTTCGAATGCCAGGCTGGGCGGTCTCCACTGAACTCATCAGCAGTGAGGAGTTGCCTTTGAACTTATGTTGGAAAACGACCGGATGTTTACCAAGTCGTCTTTTCTCCACAGATTGACGGAACGTTTAAAATAGACATTCCCCCTGTTCTCCTGGGCTACAGTAAGGAGCGAAGTGTGGTCATTGAGCGGGGTTTTGACCCCGTCCGAAGCCTAAGCGAAGGCTCCTACATCACCCTGTTCATCACCATCGAGCCTCAGCTGGTTCCCGGGGAGCCGGTTCGAGAAAAGGTGAGTCTGTCTACACTGTGGAACCCCGTCTGGTGCTGGTGAAACACGACAAACACCGCCAGGCCACGCTGTTGTGAACCCGGAGCTCACAGCCCCAGCGGAGGTCTCCCTTCTCCCACGGCCACTCAGCAGTCCCTCGGTTCGGACGGGATGGAGGGGAGAGCTGCGGTGAGGTCTGTGTGTCCACGGCCCCAGGGACCACGTCAGTCAGCGAGGTCGACTTTTAGGGAAAATGATATGAATATAAATATGGTCCCCGTTCAGGAGAATTTTCTCTGGGGAAGGAGATGAAATATGACTGAGCAGAAAGGCAGATTACTCTCAATCTGGATGTCCACTGGCAAACACGCTGGCGTACGTTTGCTCGGCGGACCGCACATCCTGGCTGTGCAGTGTATTGAATTGATTCAAGAGGATTATAATGCTAGATGACCTTCAGGGGTCACCTTAGTTCATCTCGGTGCCCTCAGACAGACACAGACATGTGCACAAGTGTTCTACTTTTAAACATAACTCCCATGAGCTGGCAACTGTGTCCCCCCTTTCCTAGTCAGGGGGCACCCCGTTCACGTAACACGCTGGTGCAGCACTGAGGCCACCACCCTCATTGGATGGGGGAGAAAATGCTGGCCGTGACCTCTCATGATGATGAACTGATGCAGTGATAGCCACCCCCCCCAACCTAGACTGAGGCCTCACTCCGTCCCCAGCTCTGTCGGCATCTGACACACGTTCTCCCCTTCGATACTCCCCGCTGTCTTGTCAGATGAGTCTCCAGCCCAGAGATGAGGAAATGAGGCCCCACGTTTGCCCCACGACTGCCAGGCAGTCAATGGCACAGCTAACAAATATCTGCCTCACTCCACGTCTTGCACGTTCAACAGATATTCACTGGGCCTCTTCTGTGGCACAGGTGCCTCTCAGATACTGCGGTGCAAGAGCCCAGAAAAGCAAAAAAAAATTCCTTGGCGTTTACAGTCATGTGTAAGCCCAAGTTGTTGACTGCAAAGCTATACTGCGTAAACTATTGTGCTGACTCTGTCCAGTATAATTAGATTCAGATGGAGATTCACGGGTACGTTCCTCTCTGTGTATTACAGTTTGGTTCAGTATTACAGTTTGGGTACAGAGGATATACAGCATTATTGGAAAAACATACCTACCGAAATTCAAATGAATCTTATATGCTGGTTTCTGTCACTAACTTGATGGCAAATATGTTCTCTAGAAAGCATGCTAGAATATATGCATTTTGAAATATTTCAGAAAAGGAAACATTCAGAATGTTTTCCTTCCTGTGTAAACTCGGGAGAAAGCCAACAGGCATGTTTACACGGAAGAATGCTCCCCGACAACAGGATTTCACAATTTCTGGGTATTCTTAGGAGAAAGCAGTCAACTAGTGCGCCACCTGCAGGCGGGCTCCCAGGCCCCGTGAAAGCTGTTTGTCCGCGACCGCGGCTGAACGGAGAAACCAGACTCCCCGTGTCTCGCCCTCTTCAGGGGCACTGACCTCCTATCACAGAAAGTTCCGGAGGCCTCCGGGGCTCTGAAACATAGTTTCCCAGGCCTTGCAGCCTCCCCTCCTTGAAGCAGGTAACCAGGCTCTCCGCTGTGGCCCCTGGTGGCATTTCACGGCCCGGGTGTGGCTGTGGGAAGCGTTTCTCTCAGACCTTTAAAAAAAAGGCCTCGGACACCCCGTGGAGGCCAGACGCGGGATGCGTCTTGATAGGGAAGGCACTTTGACCCCTAGCACCCTGCGGTCCCAGCACTCAGAGGCGGAAACGTTTCTCGGGGCTCCCCTGCAGATTATTCGGGGAAGAGCAGCTCCACTTACAGCAACCTCCAGGATTAGCAAATTAGCCTCCCTCCCGCCCCCACCATCCTCTGTGGCACCATTCCACGTGAGTTTTATTAAAGGTGTTTGTTTACCCAAGGAATTTTCTTAGAAATCAGTGGCAAAGCCTGAACTCTTATTCTTACAACCCTACTTTACACTGTCTTGGTTTTTTAAAAAAAAAGGTTTTGAAAACGGGTTCTTTCTGTTGAAGTTTTTCTCTTCTTTCTTGCCTCTGAGAGATGAGTGAGATGCTTAAAAAGGTACACGTGCCTGCACTCTTCACGTGTTGACCATTCGTCCGTCGGCACTTACCAGGCTCATGTAGCTGCGTCCATCCTCTGCCACCTTATGGAACGTACTGGGTCCTAATGTGTGTGCGTGTGTCCCCTTGGCAATGAACCGCAGACGTCTGTGGTTCCAGGAGGCCGCGCAGCACTGTCTTTGGCCCACTTCATTATGTCAGAGGGATTCTCATTTAGCTTGGGCTCTGGGAAGCCGTAGGTCTGAATATCCCACCCACAGGCTGGGAGCCACCTTCTGTGTTTTCAAGTCCATTAATGCTCACGGGCAGCTACTTACAGTGTGTCTGTGACAATTATTTCTGTTCAGCTGAGCTGTCAATCTTGGAATTCAAAGCAGGGATAAACCCATGAAGCTTCCTGTAAGGATTTATATTAACCTGGAGGTTAAAGAATTAACCCAGTTAACAATCCTCCAAACTTCACGTTGAGTCAAATGCATTTGTCGGGTTCACCTTAATTTGTTTCGTGATGAATGGCCCAAATTCACTTAGCATGGAGCTGTTGTCTGGCTCTACTTAGGTTACCCGCACAGCACACGACTCCTTACATTACTGTTTCATGCCATGAAATGGCACCCCAGTGGCCTAAATAAGGTATTAATGACCACTGATACTTACACACCCGGTGCAAAAAAGAACAAAGCATGGGTCAAGCATGGGCTCTGCTTTCAAAAAGCACTAGTTTCAGAGTCGAAATACAGTACAGAACATCCAGGTCCAAGGGGCAGAAAAGGGTCCGCACACTTTTTCCGACTTGGAAGGCCACTAGCACAATTCGAGATCTTCACTGTTCCGTCTGGACAATGCCTGGAGCTGCCTCCCTTCACAGCACATGGTGTGTAACCCCATAGAAGTCCTGGTCAAGCACTGGAGGAACCTGGCTGCCTAACTGTTCTCCTCTGGACCAGAAGTTCCTGGAGGGGACTATCTCATATTCATATACCCAGAGTCCCTGGAACCTTGTAGACTCAAACACTTTTCAGATAAATGGATGAATGAATGAGTTGAAAGGAAACAGGGATGAATTCCCCTGGGTGCTTTTTTCCACACCACCCTTGTTTCATAATTCTCTGTCTTTCTAAAATTGTAATTATTTCTGGCTTGACAGTTCTACTGTAGGTGTCTGTGGCACACCCACGCCAAAGCCTTGGAAGCTCACCTTTTTCATTTACTTATTCATTACACCTGCTGGGTAGGTACCGCGTCTCGGCACTACGCTGAGTTGTAGGTGGTTGTGAGGATAATGACACTGATTCCGACATCAGGGGGACATCCCAAGGGACAATATATTGGCTTTTGGAGATGCCTCTTTCCCACCTCAGCCCACACCCACTGCCCCAGTTTCTCAGGTACAGAAGTCAAAGTAGAAACAGAAGCCATGGTCCAGCTCTGATACAAGAGAAGAGAGCAATTAGAACATTTTCAATTCTAGTTGAAGTCATAAAGAGTAATGTGTATTTTTCATTCACTCAACAATGGTTGTTAAACGCTTACTCTGTGCTAGGTAGTATTCTCCGTACTAGAGATAAAACCACGATCAAAACAAAATGCCTGACTTCAGGAAACCTCCTCAATAGAGGAGAGCAAATAAACATATCATATGTCAGTGATTTTAAATGCTAAAAAATAAGAGAGAGAGAGATGAGGGGGATAGCAGAGAATGAGGGGGGAAGCTGGGTGCATTCTCCCTCAAAGAAGAAAACCATAAAAATGAAACAAAAAAATCTTTCAAACACTGCCTAGAATCTAAATCTACTTAAAAATCAATTTTCTTAATAAAATTTTGCGTTTGTCCTGAAATCCCTTGAAGTGTAAGAGACAGTGCACTTATATTTATACTAAGCAGCAAAGTCTTGTAAAAAACATTTTAAAGAGCTGCTTCTTTTCATGCTATTTTTAGTGATGGCTGGAGGGGGACAGGCCATCGAAATGTGTTGTTTCATCTGCTTTGAGTTACATTTCAAAGTCTAGGAATGCGTAGCTTATCTTGGATCAGAGAACCTCTTAAAATAACTGTTACACACTTGATGTCTCTAGCTCTGCTTCCTTTTTCCGTGAGAGCCATCACTATTATTTATTGCGTTGATTATGGATTTGAAACATTTTAATATTCATATACATCTGTAAACTTGTCCATTTAATGTAAGTTGCTTAAGCTTTGCATAGGAGATTTCTGACTTCTCAGCTCTTCTTCCCACTAAAACCAACCTCACAATACACACCATAAAACTATGGCTTGGTTCTCATCAGTCAACAGTAGTACATTAGTCTAAGTTTTATATGTTGTTTTTTATTAATCCTATATGGCAGCTTATCTCTTGACTGTTCTCTTTCAATCCGGTTTCAGTGTATTTTAAGTATTTAATGAATCTATCTAAGATTATAAATATAATTAAAGCTTCAGGGACTCCAGAGCATGACAGTGTTGGAAGGGGTCATTAATCCTACATCCTGGAGCACGTACTTATCAATAGTTCACATCGACTAGGCGATCTGAACAAGTGTGATTGTGTCTCCTATAATCATATATGAGCTCCATGCAGTCTTTCTTTTTGAAGTTTGATTCTCAGGAAGATGAGAAATTACTTCAAGCAGCAGAGAAGTTTCAGGCTGAATGCGCCTTAAGATTCCCAAATCGCCAGTGCCTGACCACAGTGCTCAACCTCAGTGGGAAGACGGTTTTTGTCACTCGTTATCTCAAGCCTTTGAACCCTCCTCCGGAGCTTCTGGAGGCTCATCCCAACGACCCGCAGGCGACGGCGGTAAGTACCGTACAGCCAACCAGTGCTGATGCTGCACGTGGGTTAGAATTTCAATCTGCTGCCAGCTTAACTACCGTACTTCACGGTATATACTTAAAAAAGTAACTACACTGAAATCCTTGGTTCATTCTTCAAACAATTACTCAGTGCTTACTGTATCCCTGATGCTATACTGGGTGCCAGAGAATTAGTATTTGGAAGATGCTCTACACTTTCACAATGTCTTACATAAACACGTCTTCATTATGTATTCTCCGTAACTTCCCTAGGGTTCGAACCTAGGCCTCTGCCTTAGGAGCTCACGCACTTCCTACTATTCCAAGATAACTAACGATCCAGTATTATACTTAATGCCGTAAGCATCATCAAATTCAAATGAAGCAACAATGATTTCCAGTACTGGAGCACTGCTGATGTGTGCCGTCACCACAAAGCAGGCCCACAGTGGGGGGGCCGTGGCGTACACGGAGGCACCCTTCCTGTGCACGCCGAGTGCCGCCCTCACACTCCTCACAGCCTCGTGTGACCAGAAGCCCCCCTGAGCAGCAGGCTGTTCTTCAGTGAAAACTGTAACCCCTCACTGCCTCTGGACAGTGGAGAGGTGAGGGAGTGACTGCTGCTAATAAGTTAGTAACATGGTGCTTTAGGAACAGGAAAATGATGTATCTACTTGCAGATATAAGTACGTTTAAAAAACCCTCGTGTTCCACGTTCATTTACATTTTTTATTAATCAATTTTTATTGAAAACCATAAAGGGACTTCTGTTGTCTCTAACGTAGTAGGAAGATGTGCAAAAAACAACTTCTAGTACAGAACCTTCAAGAGTAATGAATAAAATATTTAAAACATCTTAAAAATGGTGGCTGAAATAGGAAGAGTCAGTAAACAGCATGAGAGCAGGATTCCAGGCAGGTGAGGGCTTGAAACAGTGTTTGCCCTGAGGGCGCCGAGCTCCTGGCGCTGGGTTTCCCGGGCTGCAAGGCTGCAGAGAGAGAACACGTGGGGCTGGAGCTGGAGGGAAAGGCTGGGTCAGAGGCTCCCCTGCCGTTAGGACCCGGGAAAGGTAATACCCGGAGGTGAACCAGGAGACACCGGGTCCTGCGGGAGGTCCTGCTGGCCTCACCCTCGACTCCGGATGGAGGAGAAAGCAGGCAGAGGCTCTCATGGGAGTTCCTCCCACGAAGTTGTATTTCTTCACATTTAGTGCTGGGATGTACACGACCACGTGACCCCCCAAAACTTCAACCAAACATTTAACAGTATTCCCTGTTGGTAATGCCCCTAGATCCCTGTCAGAAACAAACAGATCCTTCTGGGGGAACAGCCTTTAAGCTCAGCCTCCCAAAAATTCCACAGGAAAAGCTCCAAGCAACATGAACACGTACAAGCATCAGTGAAGAAGTAAGTCACCGTGAAAAAGGTGCAAGTTGGCAGAAAGGGCAGACTGCAGAGAATCTGGCCACAGAGGCTACAGATGTTAGAATGATCAGATTCAGCACGTAAAACAGATATGTGTAATAAGTTTCAGAAATCTGGGGAACTGAATAGATAACACAAGAACAACAGACTATCAGAACTGGCAGGAACATGTTAAAAGCACACTTGTAGAAATAAAAGATTGTATAGTTAATATGAAGAATTAAACGAACAGGTTAAGCAAAACACTGAACACGGTTAGATACGGAGTGAAGTTTCACACAGTGGAATGCAGCACTGCCGACCTGGGGTGCACATGCAAAGAAACCACTTGGTATGTAGCACAGAAACAGAAAACATACAAAGGAATGGTCGGGAGACACATGGAGGGAGGGCCAAACTGCGTGTAAAAGGAGAAGAGCAATATTCAAAGAGAAAGGGCTGAGAATTTTCAGGACTTGATTCAAGACAACAATCCTCCAATGCAGGAAGCCCAGTGAATCCTGAGCAAGTAAAAGAAATGAAAATCTAGGAATGCCAGGCGGGACACTATGAAGTCAAGGCTGACCTGAAAAGCAGCTCAAGAGGAAACAGATTATCTACAAAAGAAAGCGGTTAGACAACAGACTTTTCAGCTGCAAAAATGGAAGCCAGAAAAGGAGTATTATCTTCAAAAGACTGAAAGAAAATAATCATCACACTAATAATTTATATCCACTGAAACTATCTTTCATACAAACATTGGGAGAATTTACAGCCAGAAATCCTCACTTACGGAAATCCTAAAAAATAGGCTTCAAAGAGAAGGAAGACTCTTAGAAAAATTCTAGATGCAACACATAATGCTAGCTTTAAAAAAAGGAAATGTATGAGGAAATCTAAAACAGCATTATTTTCAGAGCAATGATGACAATAATGTGGGTGAAAAGTCAGGATGGAGTAAATAATCCTGAAAAGAAAAAGATTATGTCAGGACAGGATTAGTAAAATTTTTTTTCAATTGATTCCCTTTGTCCTTTTCCACCTCCCCTCTACCTCTGGCAATAACCATACTGTTGTTTGTGTCTGTTTTGGGATTTTTGTTTTTTTTTTTGCTTAATCCCGTTTACCTTTTTCACCCGGATCCTCAAACCCCCTCCCCTGACAGCGGCCAGTCTGTTCTCTATGAGTTTGTTTCTGTCTTGTCAGCTTATTCTGCCCATCAGACTCCACGTGTAAGTGAAATCTGACCGGCTTATTTCACTTAATACTCTCCAGGTCCATCCAAGCTGTCGTGAAGTGAACACCCTTATACGAGCATTTTCCCAGATGAGGACAGAGACATTTATTAGCTTTTGAGTTTATGTGAGATTCTCACATTGAAACTTTTAATTAACCACTTAGAATAGGAAAAGTGAAAGCTATAATTTCCAAACTAGCAGCAAAAAGAAAAAGAAGAAATGAAATGGGGTGAAAGGAAGTGGGGAGGGGAAAATATATAGAAAAACTGCAAGAAATAAAAAGCACTCAAAAAAACCCCTGCAGAACAAGGCAGTGAAAATAGTCTCAATATTTACCAATAATCACGATCAAACCTAAGGGACTAACTTCCCGGCTGAAAGACAAAGACTATGAAACACAGATGCCCGGTTTTAGTGGAGCCCCGCGAGCTGACCCTGGTACTTAGGTGGCGGTGCACAGTGTCAAAACTCGCTTAGACCGTCCCGAAGAGTGAGAACTCGGTGGGAAGATCGGCCGTGCCGTACATCCAGACTGCCGATGCGGCCACAGTCATTAAGGTACAATGGCATTTACACATGGGTAACTAAGAGAAAACTAAGAGAGAATAAAAGCTCCAGAACAGACCCACTCAAATATGACTTATTCAAACATGATATATGACAAAGCAGGCAATGGAAACTAGTAACAAAAAATGGACTATTACATAGACTGTACCAGGATCAGTGATTTTTCATGCAAAGAATAAAAATAGATTCCTACTTCATATCATTCAATTACAGGTAAATTGAGGATTTAAATATGAAAAGTATTTCTCTCCACGAGTATATTATCTGAGATAGAAAGTGTTTCTTAAACCAGACAAAGCAGCACAAACTATAAAAAGAATGATAAATTCGACCACATTAAAACTGAGAACTTGCCCTGGCTGGTGTGGCTCAGTGGGTTGGGCGTGGTCCTGCCAACCGAAAAGTCTCTGGTTTCGACTGCCAGTTGGGACACATGCCTGGGTTGTAGGCCAAGTCTCCCTGTCCCCTTCTCACCTTCTACCCCTTGGTTTTGGGTGTGCAAGAGGCAGCCAATCGATGTTTCTCTTGCATATCAATGTAAAAAAAATAACTTAAGAGTATGCACAATAACCAGAAATTCACAGAAGTGGAAACACAAAAAGGCCACATGAAAAGACGCTCAACCTCCTTATAAATTACACAAAGCTGGGTCACACCTGCAATGGCGTGCTGATCGTGGTTTCTAAGGATGACTGTCCTCTCAGAGGGAGCGGAGCTCCTTGGAGAAACTGCTGTCCTTCAGGGCTGACCTAGTGAAAATACGAGATGACCCTGCAAAGTCTCGTTTTACCAGAGTAAGGGAGTGGGGAGGAAAAATGATAGGACATTTCAAAGAGACACCGGAGCCAATTTCCCCATCTGTAAAAAAATGGGCGATAACAATGACCGTCTGCATAGGATGTTGGGTGAGGATTAAGTGGGCTAATAGTGGATCACCTGGGAAGCACTCGGTGAGCATTCATTTCATTTTGTACACATGCATGTTTGTGATCTGTGAAACTTTCTCACAGGAAAGGAGGCTGAGAATCTGGCTTTCTATTGTTAGAAATTATTCTGTTAAAGCGAATCTCATTTACACAGGAGCTGGTAGCACGATACGTGTCGCTGATTCCGTTCTTGCCCGACTCCGTTTCGTTTGCCGGGATCTGTGACTTATGGAGCACGTCCGATGTGAGTAGTTCTTCCACAGGCTGACCAGTGGGGGCTGACTTCTCAGAATATTAGCTAAACGGCTGGCGTACTTTTAAATTACAACATGCTTTTAGTCTTTATAAAATCTAATGGTCTGTCCTTCAGTAGGATGAGCTGAATTCTGATGTCTTTTTTTCTTTCTGAATCAATCTGCCGAAAGATCAGAAGCTTACAAACATTAGTTATTTGCAGAAATTAAAAAACTTGAGATGTCTTAATGCTGACATGCTTCTAGTATTGCTCTGCCAATATTCCAGGTTTGTGCATTAAAGAAAAAATCAAAGCCACACCCTCCGTTACATTTGGACACCGTGTATTCCTCAGGCTGTGGGCTCCTGAGGGCATGACGCGTCCTTAGGCCACCTACCACCAGCCAGACACTGCACTAAGTTCTGGCCGTTGGCAGAAGCCTGGCCCTGGTCCTGGGGGAGCTTAGTCTGTGTGCCTCGTGCCCTCCAGCCGGCTTCCCCGTAGGATGAAACAAACCCACGCCACTGGCGTTCCCTCAGTTTCTCGGTCTCGTGTTGTACTGTGTTTGCATAAAATTAAAATACAGAATTCCCTCTGAAGGATAACTCTAACTCCTGCCCAAAGATGAAATACACTTTAAATTTTTTGTTCCCCGACATATTTTGGCAACATAACGTAGACAGATTTTAGAGGTAAGTCTCCACCACCTGGAGACATCTGTAGGAAGATATGCAAGCCAGTCCGTGTGCTCTAGGGCCCGGCTGGCTTTCCCACCCCCCAGGCGTCACCTTACCCGCTGGGCCTCCACTCCCCACTCTGTGTGACATTGTAATGATGGACGCATGTCACGATACACCTGTCCAAACCCACAGGCTGCCCAACACCAGGAGTGGACTATAATGTGACCCTCGGACTTTGGGTGATTATGATGTGTCAGTGTAGGTTCATCAGTCATAACAGAGGTACCGTATCTGGTGTGGGATGTGGAGGGCGAGGCTGTGCACATGTGGGGGCAGGGCTTATATGGGAAATCTCTGTACCATCTTCCCTGTGCTGTGAGCCCACGTGCTCTAAAATGTAGGCTTTAGCCCTGGCCGGGCAACTCAGTTGGTTAGAGCATCATCGTGATACTACAAGGTTGCAGGATCGAGCCCCAGTCAGGGAACATACAAGAAGCAACCAATGAATGCATCAGTAAGCGGAACAACAAATTGGTGTTCCTCTCCTCCCCTCTTCCTCTCTCTCTAAAATCAGTCAGACTTTTTGAAAAAATTACTGGTAACTTTAAAATGTGTCTCCCCCACCCCACAGTATTAACCGATTCTAGAAACCCATGTCTTCAATGTCTGAGAAAGCACCATGTCCACTAAAACTGCTTTTTTCAAAAATGAATTAAAACACAGTACCAAAATTTGGGGATAGATTTAAAAGATGGGTCATAAACTTTAAGGTACTAACTTTAACACTGACTTTTTAACACCCTGTGCCACTAATCCAGATTGAAGCCATCAGTCATCGCAACATAATTCTTTTCTTTTTGTCAGCAATTTCTGGACCTCCTGGCAGGAGATGAAGAAGAACACGCAGTCTTGCTATGTAATTATTTCCTCTCCCTGGGTAAGAAGGCCTGGCTCGTGATGGGCAGTGCTATCCCTGAGGTGAGAGGACGTGGGCGGCCCGACAGGGGTGTGGCTGCCCCACTGGGCTGCTGTTCCAGCTCATCAGGAGAACTGATTTTGATGCCTCTGTTTTGAGTTGTGAGACAGCGGCCCAGAGATTCCAGACAGCAGAGGGAACCAGTGATAAGACATGAAGTGGTCTTCAGTGGTGCCCAAGTACTCAGCCCTGCACCTTTCGGGCTGTTTTTTTGCAAATCTGATGCCTTTCTCACGCACAGCCTCACCTAGCTTTGTCTAGTATGTCTTGTGTGAGCCTTCTTCTGCCCGTGTTACTAAGAATTCTGATTCCCTCAGTGACCTAGCGTCATCCAGCAAAAGAGAGACAGGGGGATCAGAGGTGTGGGAAGGTTAGCAACCTCTCCCCCCTCTCCTGCCCACAAAGGGATCAAGGCAGGTAACCACAGGAGCAAAGAATGTTAGCAGCTGTCTTCTGATATTATCATTGTTTTGTTAGACTGGAGACTTAGTGACTGCTAGAATTTGTTTCCCCAGCTCTGTGCAAATATCCCTACATTTGGGGCACCTTGGTGTAATTCTGGGTGCAAGTTTAGAAAATTCACAAAGACGGAAACAACTTAGCCAAAAAGTGTTTCAAAAAGAGGCCACAGAGCTCTAGGAAACCAGTAGGAATTAAATAGCACAGGAATCATATCTAACTCCTAATGCACTGCCCATCAGTATCTTCCAGAATAGCCTAGTGTGAGGGCAGAACACTGGGCTAGAAAGCCACAGGGCCTGGGGTCAGGACTCTGCCCACTCATCCTGAGCTGTGTGACTCTTAAGGCATTTCAGAACTCTGCGCATGCAGTGAAACCACACAGAAGCAAAAATGAATAAGTGCTCATTTATTCCAGGCAGAAAGTGAAGTCCCTTTTCTGGCTCCAACCCCAACTGCAGGTGTAGTCACTCTTAACAGGTGGATATATATCTTGTCAAATTACCTTCTCTGCATTTACGTAATTATAAACGTGTATCAAATATCACTCACTGTATCAAAAATAGAAGTCGTGGGAGGGGTGCAGGGTGGAGGGGAATAAAGGGGAGGGGAAAACGGGACAACTGTAATAGTGTACTCAATAAAATATACTTGAAAAAGTAGTATTCAGATACAGTCAGCCTTCTAAATACTTGGCAGGCAGTGCCGCTCTTTTTAAAAAGGAAAATGCAGTGCTACGCCCACGAACAGCAGCTCGTCAGCCGACCTTCAACTGCTGTCTGTGGGCTGAGCAGCACAGACCACTGCCCCGTTTGTTCACTGAACTGCACCATTAGCAGATGCAAGAATTCTGCACAAATAAACACTGATTTGATTTCTTAAATCCAGCACAACCTAGAACTTCAAACTAATTTTTACCATTAGCCATGAATTTTAGATATCAGGAGTCCGGCTAAATAAAACGGTAAGTGACTTGTACGAAGTACTCTTGACCTTTTAATTGCATAATCAGTTGGAAACTCTTTCAATGGTTGTGTTCCTTCAGGGCCCGACTGCCTACGTGCTAACTCGAGAGCAAAGTCACTACTTGATATGGAATCCCTGCAGTGGACATTTTTATGGCCAGTTCGATACATTCTGTCCCTTAAAAAGTGTGGGCTGTTTAATAGGCCCCGATAATGTAAGTACTGACATCTCCTCTTGAACATGGTTGGCTGTGGCTTTATCTTTTTTTAATTGACCTACTTATTTAAATACATATCCAAAACTTTTACACAAATATATACCATTTAAAGAAATGTGGTGTCACTCCTGGCTGGTGTAGCTCAGTAGATTGAGCACAGGCCTGCGAACCAAAAGGTCGCTGGTTCAATTCCAAGTCAGGGCATGTGTCTGTCTCTTTTTCTCCTTTTCTTCTCCTATGTCTAAAATAAATAAATAAAATCTCTCTCTAAAGAAAGAAAGAAATGTGGTGTCAAATACAGTTACACGATTGTCCTAAATAATAAAGTTTTGGTTGAATTTGTCACCTGACTTACACAAGAAGCAGGATGGAGTTAAAGACTCGGAGGACCTGAGTTCGTGTCCTGGCTCTGTCCTCCGTTCTCTTCCCAGAGTGTACAGTGTCTAACTCACGGCGCTTTGAGTCATCACCTAAGGACACTGAGTTTGCGCTCTCTCTCTTTTTAAGAGAGGTTTCCAGGTGCCAGCAGGTGATTCTGGCTGCACCCACTCTGGGGAGCCATTTAACCACGGAGGGGTCTGTACGGAGCAGGGATCCCCCGCTCCATACAAACACATGCAAACGCGCACACAACACATGCTAACCAAGTCTCATCTTTTTCAGATTTGGTTTAACGTTCAACGATACGATTCACCACTAAGGATAAATTTTGATGTCACCAAACCCAAGCTATGGAAATCCTTCTTCTCAAGAAGCCTTCCGTACCCTGGCCTCTCCAGTGTCCAGGTATAATTCTCTTAGTAACGACTAAATGTAGACAAAGCAAGGAAAGACTCTGAAGTCACTGTCCTGGGTAGCCAGATATTTTTTGACCCTTAATTCTACCAAACATTTTGTCTAAAGTACTACTTGTTTTTCAAACTTAGCTGAGCCCAACTCACAGTAAAAAATAACTACCATATCAAGAACCCATACACACATATACATAATAAAACATTGTGAAAGAGCCCAGTGACAAAGAAATCACAATATATTCTATAAAGTTTTTAAAATTGTGGTATCAACTCACTAAATTAACTTCATAGCATGATCTACCCATAAAATTAATATAAAGGGGTCCTGGTAGTAGCTTCCAAGTAGTAAACATAAGAATTGTTTACTACCACTTTTGTTTGAGAGCTAGATATATATGTGTATGCTGGGTGTGTAATATAAAATGTATTTTTCACTGTGATCAAACCTTTTTAAAAAAGGGTTACAAAACACTGTCCTGGAGAAACTCTCCATGAGTACAAGGTGATAAATACAAGATTTTCCATAGGAGCAATGTTTGCAACAGCCAAAGAACTGGAACAAACTAGGGATAAATTACAGTACATAACAGAGTATAACTGCTACACAAACAAATCAACATTAATTTAGTAAGCACTCTAAAAATGTGTTTGCTACTATTTCTAAATGTTGAGAGGAAAAAGCAGTATTTACCATGTAAAATCATTCATTACGCAGTTTAGAAGACATACAGTATCTTGTTTAGGAATACATGTCTGTAGTCAAACCGTGAACACAGTAATTGGCCTATCTCCACTGACTATAATGTAAATACCAGGAGGGGCGGGAATCTTCTTCACCTATAAAAGTGCCTGACACACAGTAGGTACTTTACGCATGTTGAATGAAAGTGCTAGGAAACAAAATCGGGTCACGGTTACCTCTGCGATGAGAGAGGAGGGACACTGAGGAAGCGCCACAGAGCACTATCATTTATCCGTATGTGTTCCTTAAGCTGGGTCCTCAGTACCTCGACATCGGTTATATCGTTCCCTGTAGCTGGTTGAATGTCTAAGATTTCGTAATTTAGAAAGATTTAGAAAAGGCTGTGTGGCTATTCAAACTAGGTGTAAATGATTTCCAGAATTTCTGAACTACTTCCTCTTTTGCAGCCGGAGGAGCTGATTTACCAAGGCTCTGACAAGCCGGCCGCGGCAGAGCTGCAAGACAGGTCAGGTGATGGTACCCCAAATCCACCAGCGCTCTGTCACTGGGAGTGTAACTCCAAACGGGACGGTTCTCTGCCTGGGGCCGTGAGAAATAATTTGGGCAGCTAATTTTAATTCATGTTCACAGACCCCCAGTACAGGTGCGATCCCTGAACCCTGTGGCTCAAATGGAGATTTCAGCATCAGCATGGTGTGGGACAGACAAGAACTCCAGCGGTGCTAGGCAGCTCACCAAAAATTCTGCCTCGGATTAGAGTTCAGCACCATGTTTTTATGGGTCTTGCTCAGACATACAATCTTCAGCTTACATATGCCTGTTTGCCCAATTAGTGGCTTACTGAGCTTTGGCTAATTTATAAACCTAAGACACAGGGAAGGTTTGTGCCTACTTGAGTCCCTATAATCCTTACAACCCTGCAAAACAGAACTTGCACTGCCAGTCTCACAAATGTGGAAACTGAGGCTCAGAGAGGGCCACGCACTTAGGTATCAGGGGAGGCTCCAAGCCCCACCAGAATGATTTACAGCCAGCACGCCCCTTCTGCTGCATCTAGTTCTCTGAAGAGCATCGTGTCCATCACAGGAGACTAACGTAGCCGGGTCTAAGGCACTACCACTAGGACACACCAATTTACCTCAATGTCAACGGAAACTTTACGTGGGATCCCCACCTAGCAAAAATATTCTCTAATAGCTTCAGGATATATTGATTAGACTCACATCACCTAGTTCTGCAATACCGATGAGACGTGCACGGCAATTCCTGCTCAGATCATCTTGAAGCCCAACACAAAGACACGTGTCATGTGCCAAAAAAGAAGGGGCTACACCTGTGCTGGGCAGGGACGCACAGGATGCTTTAGAACTGGCAGGGCCTTGGTTCAAATCCCAGCTCCCCTGCCACCATCAAGTCATTTATCCTATTTCAAAATGTCCCCTTAGAAGTAAAAACGGACAATATTCCCTACATTATAGGGTTGTTATTAGGATTAAATAAAAATGTATAAAAAGCATCAGCACAGTATCTAGTGAATAAAGGGTAGCTCTTTTCTTTCATTCTGCATTTGAACTTCACATCCTTTGGACCCAACACCCGTCAGATTAACTATAAAGCAAGATACCAGAACTTTAGCTGCAATGATGAGAGGTATTTTAAAGGCAGTTCTAAGGCAATTCAGAGACATAATCCTCATGAACAGAAGGCACAGAGGAAGAGATCAATATGCATCAATATGTGGCATTCGGAGACTATCTGAAGCTTTCAGCATAAATCCCACCTTTGATGCCTGGGTCTGACTTGTCTGTGTATGTTACCAGTGAACAAAATGATAGAACATTTCCCGATAATACGTCTTTTTTAAAAGATCTTATTTACTTTCAGAGAGATGGAAAGAGAGGGAAATATCAATGTACTGACCAGTTGCCTCTCACATGCCCCTAACCAGGGACCTGGCCCACAACCCAGGCAAGCGCCCAACTGGGCATCGAACCAGCAACCCTTTGGTTCTTAGCCTGGTGCTCAACCCACTGAGCCACACCAGCCAGGGACTTGACATTAGATCTTTGGCTGATAGTATTGAGTTTAGCTAACCCAGTTACTCTCCCAATTACTCAGAGCTCCCTCTTGGTTCCACTTCAAGCATCCGTTATGGCCCTTGGCCTACCCTGTCCTTTCTACTCATTGGTGTTCTACTTCCCACCCCAGCCACATACAACCCTTAAGGGCAAAGACCACGTGTGTTAATTTCTGAATCCTCAGGGACTCACCCGTATTAAGTACCAACTGTGCCTAGTAAGGGACACCACCACCAAGAAAAATGTGGTTATGTAGTCACCTGAACCCCACTGCATACAAAGTGGGTTTTTGTCTGTAAGGGAAAAGTCAAATAAGGAAAGAAAGGGAGGGAGTGAGGGGAGGAGGGAAGAAAAACGGAGTTTATTTTTTATAAATAGGATTGAAAAAATATTGAAAGAAAAAATCATGGACTGGAGGCCACGGCGCCTGACCCGGTGGAACAGGTACTGCGCCTCCGCGCTGCGCCACTTCCTGCCTCTGCTGGAAACCGGTCGAGGGGAGGACGCGGAGGACGGGCACAGGGCCCAGCTGCTGAGACAGCTGGGGGACTGCCGGGTAAGCACCCATGGCCCTCGGCTGAGGCTGTGGGCTTCCTGTGTTTTTGGTATCAAAACTCCTACACTGGCCCATCAGTAAATGAAAAAAGCTGTGGTAACATTTACACAATGAAATACTACTCGGTCATTAAAAAAAAAAAGGAAATCAACTTTGCAACCACATGGATGGACCTACAGGGTATTATGCTAAGTGAAATAAGCCAGTCAGAGAAAGACAAATACCGTATGATTTCACTTAGAATCTAATGCACAAAATGGATTCATAGATACAGGGAACAGACTGACAGCTGTCAGAGGGGAGGGTCGTTGGGGGCTGGGTGAAAAGGGTAAAGGGATTAAGCAGTAGAAATGGGTAGCTGCAGAACAGCCACAGATACACAGACTGCAGCGTGGCCAATATGGGCAGTAACAACAGGGTATGGGCCAGGCGGGTGCTTGGGTGGTAGGGGCACCACGCTGTGAAATGCATGGTTTCAGACCACTTTGCTGTGCGTCTATCTGCAGCTGGTGCAGAATGGTATTAAATGTAGACTGTAACTGAAAAGTAAGTTTAAAAAATCCTACATTGCTCTACAAAGTATATGGATGAAGTTGCACAACCTAAACAATGAAATTAAGTTCAAATCTTGCCCTGGCTGGGTGGCTCAGTCGTTTGGAGCACTGTCGGTACCTGAAAGGCTGCAGGATCAATCCCAGGTTCTAGCACAGACGGGGGACAGCCAACTGGTGCTTCTCTCTCACACCGATGTTCCTCTGTCCCTTTCTCCCTCTAAAAGCAATGAAAAAGTGTCCTTGGCTGAACATTTTAAAAAATGTTTAAGTTCAAGTCTCAGTAATTAACATATTATTAAATAGCAAAATACCTATTTAAAATGAAAAACCATTTTTAATAAGATGATCCTATGGAAAAAATAACTTTTATGAAGTACATTGCAAATATTAAGTAAAATGAAATGATCTGGATAACTCATCTTAGGCTCAGTTGTGCATAAAGGAGAAGCCAACCATTCTCAATCAGGTTTTTTTTAAAGGACACAATTTATACTAATTACTTTCCATTGCTAAGAAAAGTTCTCACTAATTGACAACATACCCTCTCTACTGACTGCTGGGAGTGGCGTGTCCGCAGGTGGCTAAACCTGGACAGCAGTCTCAAGCTAAGACAGCACACACTGGTGGCCAGTGTGAAGCTGGACACTTGATTCTAGTCACTGACTTAAACATACCCTTTAACTTTTAAGGTCAGGTTTTCAGCCAGGACGTTCTCAAGTGACAGAACACCTAGTTCCAAAAGCCAGTAAAAATGAGTTACTGACTTACTAAGTAAAAGTCCGAGGGGAGTACCTCTAGCCCTTGTCCACGTGATGGCGTCCCCCGCAAGCTGGCTTTTCCCGCGGTCCCAGAAGGCTCCAACGGTTCCAGGCAGGACTCCCAAACACTGGATACGCACATGGACGACCAAAGCAGGGGGAGCGCTGAGTGCTGAGCCCTAGCGAGTTTCCAGTAACTCACTCTGAGACTTCCTTTGATCACATGTCCATCCCTGCAGATAATCACTGTGGCCGGCCAGGGGTGTAGAATGAATGCAGTGATTGGCTTAATCTAGACCCCACAGTCTCAGGGTTACTGTGCAAACCAGGGACTGTCAGAAGAGGGAACAGTGGAGGGTGACTAACGGTGTCACACACCAATTCAACACGCGGCAGTGGAGGACAAGAAAAGGCATTCAGCCTCACTCCACTTTCTGTATTGCTAACATACAGCTGAACAGAAAACAGAACTAAATAACTTTTGAGATCCAGAAAGGCTTTCTATTAAGAATTAAGAATTAAAATTTGTCTTTTTTTCCCTTCAGTTCTCCGGATTTCCCCTTCACATGCCCTATTCGGAACTGAAGCCTTTAATTGAAGCTGTATACAGCACCGGCGTACATAACATAGATGTTCCTAATGTTGAATTTGCTTTAGCTGTGTATATCCACCCATATCCCAAAAATGTTCTGTCCGTTTGGATCTACGTTGCCTCCCTTATACGTAACCGGTAATGTTTTCCTTGTATACTTTTTCTATCAGGTAAAACTACAGTTAGGGTATGAGAATATTGTTAAGTGATATTGATCAATTGTATCACAAAGTATTTGTAAATAAATTTTTCAAACTGTGCAAAAACATGTTTTTATTTAGCAATCTGCCTTGCCTCTGCCACTTTGACTTGAAAACCCGGTGACCCCCCCAGTTCCTCCGGACACTCTTGGCTGCACAGCACCCGCCTTTGTGCTTGCTCACCTCCCACTTGGAAGCCCTTCTTCTCTGCCTGCCCAGCACAGTGCCAACCACACTTTTAAGACCCAGCAAAACTACTTTTCTGAAGGAGGAACAACTTTGCAATGTAAAATTGTTCATTTTTAGTGCTGAATACATCATAAAACCATATCCCACAGAAATACTAAGCAAGTACACACATGTACACACATACACAAACACACATACACAGTGACTGAAGTAACAGCATTTTAGGGGGAAGGGGAATATATTTAACTTTTCATCAAAAGGGAAGTAGTTTAAAAAATTAAGACACTGCTGTGGACTGAAAGACTCTGTGTACCCCACCCCCAAACTCCTACGTGGAAGTGGTACTGCAACGCCCTTGTAAATGGTATCTGGAGATGAGGCCTTTGAGAGGTAACTGGGTCACAAGAGTAGAGCCCGTAAGATGGGACTGTGCCCACAGAAGAGACAGGAGAGAGCTCGCTTCCTCTCTCTAGGCCACGTGTGGCTGCGATGCAAAGATCAGCAAACCAGAACGAGAGCCCTCACCGGAAACCAGACTGGCCAGCACCTTGGCCATGGACTTCCCAGCTTCCAGAACTGTGAGGAATAAATGTCTGTTGCTTAATCCACTCAGGCTATGGTATTCTGTTGTAGCAGCCCCCAAACTGACTACAACAGATAATATACTAAGCCACTGAAGAGGATTTATTTATTTTTCAAATTGACTCTTTAAAGCTGGGCCTAATGTAGACACATTAGGAGGAAAGTCCTAATTTTTCAAGACTATTTATTTTTAAAGAGAGGAAGGGAGGAAGATGGGTATGTGCTTGCCTCTCCAATGCCCCCAACCAGGAATCCAGCCCACAGCTCAGACATGGGCCCCAACTGGGAACTGAACCAGCCAGGACCCTCTGGTGCACAGGCCAGCACTCAATTCACTGAGCCACAGGAGCCAGGGCAAGAGGATTTAAATGTATGTGTTGACACGGAAAGATACACACAGAACAGAAATACATAAAGCAGGAGTTCTCAGCCGTAGCACTGCTGACATTCTGGGCCATGGAAGTAGGTGCTGTTGGGGGGCTTTCCTGGGCATTGTACGGTGCTCAGCAGCCCCCACTGGATTCCAGTACATCCTTCACCTCCAGTTGAGAACTACTGATACACCTGGAACAGGATCTCACTTAAAACAAGGACAGAGGACTCAAATTAAGGAAAAGCTTTCACTTCTAGCTCAGTGCTCCTGTGGCTTTTACATACCTCACTATGAACTGTTAAGCGACAGTTCGAGGACTGACCCTCAGCAGTCCCCACCAGTGTAGCAACAGAGTGGCACACTGGTTAAGATCATGAACTCTAGAGAAAGCCTAGTTCTGCCCCTTAGGAGCTCGGAATTCGTGGACAGGTTACTTAACCTGTTAATTTATTTTCCCCATTTAAAGACTGTAGGTAATTACTCTACCTGAATCATCACATTGTAACAATTAAACAAGTTGGTACATATGAAGTACAGCTGACCCTCTAACACAGGCGCTGAGGCACCAACCCCCCAAGAAAGGTTTGCATAAAACTTTTGACTCCCCAAAACCTTAGTTATTCCTCAGTATCCAGGGAGGGCTGGTTTGAGGACCCCCTTCCCGAATACCCAAATCCATGGATGTTCAAGTCCCCGATGTGAAATGGTGTAGATCAGTGTATACAGTTGGCCCTCCACATCCACAGGCCCCCAACTGCGGGTGCAAAACACAGGTATTTATTGAATAAAGTGCACCTATACATGGAACCACACAGTTGAAACCCAAGGTGTTCAAGGTCAACTACATGTAGGACACTGCCCAGCATCAAACACCTGACATTTGTTAGCAACCACAGGCCCTTACATTATCTGTTACCTTTTATTCTAAGAATGAACAGTTTCAATAATTAATGAAATCAATCGCAAAAGATAAATGTAAACCAAGTATATGTAATGTACCATTAAATATAACTCTCTCTTCAATAGTGAAAGAGATAATGCACAAAAATTAAATGCAGACTCTGCCGTCTCCCCATGCAGTTGGTGGGAAGGTGGACAGCAGAAGACGTTCCCACGTGACAAGTGTGACACTGAAGTCAGTTTGGCTCCAGCCAGCCAAGTCCTATTTAATGGTTTGCTAACATTAAGCGGCACAGGACAAAGCAAAAGGGAGGCACCTCAATTACCTGAACCCCTGGGGAAATTAGCTGCTCAAATTAATTAACTTAAAAGGATACAGTTAGAGCCAAGTCCTGAAACACCATTTATTATTTTTCATATAAGTATTATCAAAATTTTACACCCAAAATATGATGCCGTTTTCTGGTTACATGGGAGATAAACTTTAGTCCTCCCTGGATGACCCAGGGCATGATTATCGATGAGTAATTTTTACCAAGGAGTTCATGTAACTACTGATAGTAAGATGAAGTATAGGACTGGATGGCACTCGCCACAGAAAAATTCTTGTAGTTTGTTTTCCTGAAATAGTACCTTACGTCAACTTTTCAAACAAACTTTACTAAACAAGTAGAGAGGTAAAAATACAATAACTGCAAGAGTCAATCTTACAAAATAAAACTTCTGACCCCGAAACTATTCAATACGCTCAGATTTCCTTTCAAGTTTTCTAAAGGAACCAAGCAACCGTTTCTCACTTTGTGCTTAGGCCAGACTCTAAAGGACGAGACAACACACAGCGGTGCCACAAAAGACGTGACTGCTTAAGCTTAGCAGCTACCAACTCAAAACGTAAGACGGTCTGCTCAGACAGCTGCCCTGCCGGGGAGCTCGGTGCCTCCATCATCCGTTTTGCACATGCTCGCAGGAATGGGATCAAAATGGGAGCCCTCGGAGAAAGGTAAAATTTCAGTCATTAGATGTCCACGCTTTAGAGCCGATGAGCTTCCCTTATGAGTGTTTAATTCAAATGTTAGTGGAATAAGCATGTGTGAATTCTTACTTATATGCCCATCAGATGATTCTTTTTCCATCTTTACGCAGCTCCAAGATAAAGTTTTCTCTGAGCCTGAACTGAAAGCCGCCTCCCTCTACCTGGTACCTTTCCTACTCCTCCTACCCCTGTAGAACAAACAAACAATAGCTGGGACGACAAACAGCAAGACGACTCCCTCTTCCACAGCCACGCATGTACTTCCACGGCGTGCCGCCGACCACTCTCTCTCATGACATGAAAGCACACACGGCGTTGTGTGTAACCGACTCAACATGCACCTTTCTGAACTAGAGGTCTCCACTCCCATCCTCTTCACACAGCAACGGAAATAAGCTTACAAATTCAAATTCTGACTACCACACAATTAGTTTCAAACAGACAATTCAGCTCAACAAAATTAAGTATCTGTCTACAACTGCTTATCAGGGTCATGATTTCATGGGAGTTAAAATATTTACTCCTATGTCACACTAAATTTAAACCTGCATTGAAATTTATAATAAAATCAAAACACAAAAGAAATTACTTGGTAAAGTCCTCAAAGTAGATTTTATTTATACATTTCTTCAAATGATTGTGGAATTTTTAAAAACCCCTCTCAAATTTGACAATTTAGGGACAGTGGTAGAACCGGGGGTTCTTAGAAGCTAATACAAATAAACCGATGCTTTGCCAGCTCACTGAGCTACCACCAAGAAGCCAATTTGTTCTACAGTCGTAAAGAATCTTACATGTGGGTATGTTGAATTGGCCCTCTGAGAACTGTTCAAAGAAAGGAAACATTATGGAAAAGAGACTAGTTTCCAAATGTGTAGTCTCTGAAAATAAACCTTCAGCAGCGTATGTCTGAAAAGGCCTGCAAAGCCTGGTGCAGTGTTTATACAGAAAGAGAACCAATGACCCCACTGACTAAAACTCCAAATAATCTAAAAAATGCTTTAAACGGCAAGGCATTAGTGACATTATTTTCAAAGCATTCAATTTAAAAGAAAGCCGGTAAAACTACCCTTATTCTTATGAAAAGACCTAATCCCTTTCTAAAACAAAAATAAGATTTGCAAGAGAAACAACACTGTACAATTCACTGGTAAATTAAGATTTCTGAGGCTGAAAGGAATGGGGCCAAAACAGGTCACACTCAAAAAAGGGATGGTTAACACAAGAAATGTGCTACAAGTAAAGTGCATGAAAGGAAGCCTGCTCAGCTAAATGAAGTAGACAAAAGTCAGAAGTCAAGGGTCATTCGCCAGAGCGGCAGCAGGCTCGAAAACCACACTGCAAGTTCTGGCATCCGCTGGCGGTGTCTGCATGAGGACCTGTGTGAAAACAGACAAGAGTCAGAGGAGGAACTTCCTAGGGAATCACACAAAAATAATCTTGCTTATGGAAGAACTTAAAACATTGACTTCTTTTTTTACCAGCAATGCATTTATAACACAGAAGTAAAATCTCACAATGAGCATGTAAAAAATTATTCAGACACAAAAATTGCCAATAGCATGACTTTAACATATCTTTCATGGTCCAAAAGCTGAATGAAAGAAAAAGGGAAATAATATTTTGGCAACATTCTTACAAAATAAAACTCTAAGAAGAAAAGGAGATAACCCACAGACAAGCCTGCCAGGGTAACTTAACACATTTCTTATACTATGAACATCCTTCTGAGAAATATAATTAAGGAAAAAACAGTCTTATCTGTAATAGATCAGCTAAAGTATCCAATATTGAGCAATTAATATACAAACATTATATTCAAAATTTAAAAAACTATATATATAGGCTTAGCATGTTTGTCATATTTTTATCTAACATCTGCAGCTAAAATAAACCATATAGTAGGGTTAAGTGAAATTACCTTCCAGAATTATATACCTTCCAGTATATGAGAATTAACTAAATAAACATATCTAAAACATAACAAAAAATGTGATTCAATTACAAAGAAGAGTAATAACATTTGTGGAACAAGCGACATTGTACCCCAGTCACGCTGTGCTGCCCAGACACTAGATAAAAGACCATTAGGGAACATGGCTATGGATTAGAAAATGTCAAAAAAGAGATATCAGGGTCCATATTCAAATGATAATTACTTTGAATGAATCTGTTTTCATAAAGGCAGATAAATGTGAAAAGGGATATTTTAACAATATTGAAGCCTTTCAGTACATGTGCACCATGAACAAATAAAGAACAGTTTAATAGTTCTTTACTCATCAATGAGAACCAAAATACCTGCAATTGTGATATACAAGAATCATAAAAAAGTACATGAAATGTAATTTTATTACAGACTATGTCAAATGGGTTATAATTGAAAAACAGCAGTACTCTGTCTGGACTGACATCTAGCTCAACCAGAAACATTTTTAATTAGTTTTGTTTTGTTTTGTTTTTGAAAATAGCAATCCACTACAAAAGGCCACTATGCTAATGCCATCTGAACACACAGAACACACTTACCGTGTTTTTCGGACCATAAGACGCACCTAAGATTTAGAGGAAAATAGGAAAAAAAAATTTGAAGCAAAAAATGTGGTAAAATATTTAATAACATAAATAATATAATATGTCATCAATGTAAATGTAAACAGAACTCAACAGCAGCATTAACAAACATTATTCCTCCCAAATGGTGGGGGGGGAGGGCAGGTGCATCTTATGGTCCGAAAAATATGGTATCCCCAGAATTTAACTTTTCCTTGCATCCCTGAAATGGCATATACAAAATACAAAGGGCAAATTTGTTAGGGTACACAATGAAGAATAATGTTCATATATTTCACTGTAGAAATGATAATATATCCTTAAGGAGAAACTAATGAACTTCACAAACATATGTAGAGCAGGTATGGTAATGGGCAATGGGATATGAAAGAAGACTGGCCACAGGTTTGTAATTGCTGAAGCTGATGATACACAAACATTCATTCTGTTAGTCTGTTTATGTGTTTCAATTTTTCCACAATAGAAAGCCCCAAATTATTTCAAATATAAAACTGAATTACCACAAGCCCATTTTTATTTAACCAAAATTAAATGTTCTATTTTTAAACAGATCCATTGAGTTTCTCAAATATTTGCAATTCAAAAAGTAGCATTTTTGTTAAGATTACTTTCCCTTAAAATGAGACACAGGTTAGTCGTCTTAATCAAAATTGAAATCAAATCCGTCAGTACACACTAGTGGGTACTTGTCAGAAATGCCCCAATAGGAAACCCCATGGACTGGAACCCTCCCCTCACTGCCGACCTCTGGCCTGCTTGTCCCTCCCAAAGCACTTTCAGCTTGTCAGTTTTCACCAGCACCCACCTCTCCATGCTGCCCCCTCTCATCTCACCTCAACACCCCCAACTCTGGTCGCTGCAGTGCCCACCCGCCACCCAGCGCCTTTCTTCAACCCCCAACCCCCTGCTTCACGCCACGGTCCTGCCCTGACAGTGAGTGATCAAATGCTTCGACTGGAGGTTTTTGCAAAAATGTATCTGATTATGATTTTCTCAGTATGTAATTCTATTCCAAATTTTTAAGGAAGAAATAAGAGGAAGGAAACAGAGACTTTGTATAATTATACAAATTAAAACTCCCTAAAATGCTTCAAAATGTCTTTTTAGGGAATTCAACAGTGACCTAGAAGAAAAAATCATAAACAATGACTGAAAGCAATAAAAATCAAGGTAATGGTTTTGATGGAAGAAAATGAAAGGGAGCCTTCAACAGAGCCAACTGGACTAAGGAGGCTATTCTAAAGATCCTTATCTTTCCAAACACCGCACAGCCTTTCACCATCCACCCCAAAAGACAGGAGCCCGGCATCCTCAGTCTCCACACTGGCCACCTTGGTCCCTCTTCACTCTCAAAGGCTCAGGGACTGCAGCAGGAATAATGGTGAAAGAAAAATGTGTGCCCTACATCAGGTAGGCAGTCACCAGTCCTGCTGTCAGCTTCTTATCATGAAACAAAGTTCTAGCTCACACTGATGTAAACATGTGTCCCCCACCTCGAAGAGTCTCTAGAATACCTCCATCTCCATGGGATTCTAAGTGATCAGAGGAAACAGGGAATTAATATGTCAGTGCTTTTAAATGTGAAAGCAGAAGCCTATGGATACTTAATAACTGTGATAGTAACCACAATCTCATCCTAAGGTCAATGACAGAGCAGGTGTCTGATTCTAATAACCCAACAAAGTGATGCCGCCCAGTGAAGGGATTGTGTGCTGCTGAAGGTCTGGGGCAAGCAAAAGTGAAGACACTGTCTTTACTTGGATTAGTCTCATGTTGTGGAAAATGGGAGAATTACAATTTTCGAAGCCTAGAAACCTTATGCAAAGTTAGCAGTAAGACCTTTAAGCACCTTGGAAAGACTGTTCAGAAAAGGGAGTAAATGGACAACAGAAAAAGTAAGGCAGCATTGGAAAAAAACTCGACTGAGACATGTATGTCAGCTGCAGTTATTTACCCAAATTCTCATCGTTGAATGTTTTTCCTTGATATTGAAAATCTTACTTACGCTGTGTATCTGCACTTACCTTCACTTACCTTTAATTCCTCTTTAACTTAAATTAGAAACATAAGAGAGCAAATCATCTGAGACTGTCACCTCCAAATCTGAGCTAATCTATCTTAATTCATAAATTATACATATATTGAAATGCAAATCAATACAAAAAGTGTATTTGCTATCATTGTTTAAATGTAGTTAAGAGCTCTAAAACTATGCAATTCCATTTAACACTTCTTAAATGATATTTTTAAAATATTATGGCTAAGAAGCCTTCTTTTATATTTAAATCACAACTTACCAATTAAATAACAAACTTAAATTTATGAAGAATCACTCAGGAAACTCGAAAATGGCATTTTCTATCAATGTTTAGTACAGTGTCTTCCTCACAGTAGGTATTGTTTCAATACTGTATTTGATTACTAAATCATCTTCTGCAAAATCTCTGCTAGTGCTTAGGAAACAGATCACTCTGCTGCTTATCACTTAATATTTACATAATGAATACTGTTCATCAGTATTTACTTCTTTTAATTAGTAACCTGGTAGTTAACTATATAAATTTTCTTTTGACAAAATGCATTTTTAGTTAAATGTTAACTCTCAAATATTTAAAACATAATTTGTCATCTAAGTATGCTCCTTATTATTCTAAGACCTTATATAAAGAAGATTAACTACTTTCAAAAATAATGAGGATAATAATTAGAAGGGCCAGCCAAGCAGTCACTGACTACTGTACAAGCTGAGCTATAGTGAAAGATGCTGATCAATCGTGTCATCTTGAAACATATGTAACACAACTTTATTCTAACACTTTCTAGGTTGTCCATGTCTTTTTAAGGAAGAGATTATATTAGAACAACTGGATGGAACTCTGGAATGCAAATTAACATAAGTCACCCTATAAACTTTACAGGACTTCCATTTCCCCCACATGATGCTTTAAGCAGCTGTAAAATGAGACTTAATATTGGATCATACAAGCACTGTCAATTTCCTTCTACATCTTTCAAAGTCAGATTCATTAAAATTCATTTATTAAAAATTACCACTCACTTATCAAAAACCCTAAAATTCAACACAAGGAATGTAGCAGCTCCTCTAGAACACTCTAAAATTTTATATTCAAAACCAGTTACGATGAAAGGGAACTCTAAAATCCTAACAAAGTAAAGATTTTAACTTAGATTTTAACTTTAGGATTTTAAAATGCAAAAGATTTTAAGTATTTAACTTTATCCCATCATGTAAATTATTTTTAAAAGTTTTAAAAAGTATACAGTTAAAACAAGTAGGCAGATCATAAAAATGAAACGAGACCAATCTCTCCCACTCTATAACATCAATCAATATACCCAAAAATAAATAGAACAAATTAGGTTGTGAGATATATTCCCACAGCATAACTTATGTTGAAATCATTTTGGACAATTCAAGTACAACACACCTATGTTTTTCTTGTAAAAACAATTGCTTACTGGTTGGTTTTCACAATATGGCCAATAAGCCTTAGGAAGTAAAACCACACCTACAATGACAGAGCTGTACATTTAAAAAACTCTCCCTTCTCAAATTCCCTGCATCCATACGAGCAGCAAGTCCCTCACTACAGCAATCATACTCTGTTTTTGTACACTTAGCAGGTTGCAACTAAAATTTTAGACATTCATTTCAGCATTCCTTCATTTACATTAAAGGTAACAATTGCAAGAAATGTTCCAACTTAGTGTTGCTATTGCAAGACGTGAAAGGCCATCTCCTGCATCACCAGTATGATTCCAGAAACAAGAGAGCCAGCTACTATCTTCTGTCTCTTTATATATATGCTAGTAAAAATCCAATCTCTGAGAAATAGCAGATATGCTAACTTCTCTGCCTACTGGTAAGCCATCAAAGAAGAGGCCACTCCTCCAGTCTTCCTGTCCACTGTTCTGCATGAGAAAAATTCAGTTGATCTTACTGTCATCTTAAGATGAATCAGGCTCAAAGGCAACAGTATATGGCATAAAAAGACAGGTGTGTAGCAGAATCTGAACCATCTAAATGTTTTTCCCAGTTATAAATAGAGAAAGTTGACTTGCTTACTAATGACTGACAGCAGCTTTTCATGCTTCTGGGAATTTTAGTCTCTACCAGTGAATATCAATGCTCAAAAGGGCACTGAATATACTTTGCAAAAGCATGTGGAGCAAGCCCATTAGAGGGTAGGGATAGGTTAAAAAACAAGATGTTTATCTGATGACTGTTAAAAGTTAGGTTCAGGAATCAATCTTCGGAACACTGTTAAGACTTTCTGAGTCATGCCTGGAGCACCTGAGCCGCTGCTACCCTCCTCGATTTCCCACGACTGCTCTGGCAGCAGACCCAAGGTCCCTGAGGAGACCATGTTACCAAGTCCTCTCTTCTCCACTGCATTTTTCCAACTTGTCCTATTAGAAAACTGAATCTCTCTTGCCTAAGAAATCAGTACATCTAGAACAGCAATACATCTACATTGTGAGTGACTGCTATATCATTCTGGAGGAATTTCCCAGAACTTAGTAAGAATGTAAGTATTTCTACGATAACTTGCCATTATAGAATGACTAAACTATTTGAGATAAACTATATCTCAAAAATCTGGCAGAATGAATACTTGAAACATCCATTAAAAATTACCTTTAGAAAATATAAAGGGCTAAATCTAAAAATAAAGTAGTTTGGTAACTGGAAATCTAGAAAACTAAATAAAAACCCTAAGAACAAGCCGAACTGTTAAAATTTTTAAAGTCGATTCCTTCAAAACTCTCATTGTTGAAAGGCATTACCGTTAATGTTGTCACAGTAGTAAAAGTATTCATCATTTAGAGAAGGGCATGCTGAAACCAAATCCTGCAGGCCTGCACCAGTTACGGTGAGACAACCAGAGAGATTGAGGTGCTCCAAATAAGGCAGCCCTCCTCCCAGAGTCAACACCCTGTAAGAGAAGCAATTCAGCAATTAGAATACATTAACCTGTGAAATCTTATGTATTCCAATGGCCCACTGGACCACTATTAATAGACCTCTAAATCTGGTAATAAAATTTAGTAATTTCCATAAAATATGATAACCTCATCTTTAGGCAGGAATACACTAAACTGTGTAAGAACAGTGTTTGTATATAATTGAAATTAAGTTGGTTGTCAAACTAGGTTTTTTTAAGGTCTGTTAATTGTATCTCCAAGATAACAACAAATAAAATAACTTTTAAAAAATACAGAAAAGGGGAAAAAAAAAGAATCGAATGGTACGTTATATATATACATACATATACACATATATATAAACTTTAAATGTAAACCAAACGTACGAAAAGACAGAAATTAGCTGACTGAATTAAAGAAACATGCTAGTATATAGCATTTATATACTATTCATAACAGATCTCGCTTTGGATGCAAAGACAAGGCGCTTAAAAGGAAAAGCATGAGAAAACAAAGTCCCTGCAAAAAGTAACCAGGAGAGCCAGGGTGGCTATACTACTGTCAAACAACAGAGACTTAAACTTTAAAACAAGGTTACATGAGACAAAGAAGGATATTATATATTGATAAAAGGTTCACTGCACCAAAAAGCTAAAACAATTATAAACATATACACACCTAAAAACAAAGCCCCAGATATATATGAAACAAAAATTGACAATTCAATTGAAGAGAGAAATAGTTCTACAAAAATAGCTGGAGATGTCACTGCACCACTTTCAATAATGGGTAGAACTAGACAAAAGATCAACATGGAAATCGAACTGAACAACACCGTAACCAATTAGACTTAATAGACATATACAGGTGGGGACAAAAGTAGATTTACAGTTGTAAGTATGCAAAACACAGTTCATTCTTGTATCATTGTTTCTTAATTGTTGTATTCTTTATTTGTATTGCAACTGTAAACCTACTTTTCCCCATCTCTGTATTGAACACTCCATCCAAGAACAGCAAAATATCCATTCTCTCTAAGATAGACCACGTTAAGCCACAAAACAAGTTTTAATAGATTTAAAAGGCTTAACTAATACAAAATATACCATATTTTCTGATGACAGTGGAATCAAACTACAAATCAGTAACAGAAATAAAACTAGAAAGTCACTAACATGTATCTATTAAACAATATACTACTAAACAACCAATGGACCAGAGGGAAAAAATCACACATGCACACACACGAAAAAAAAAAACTAAAAAAAAAATCCATACAACAAACCAAACCTGCGGGATGGAGCAGAAACAGGTCCAAGAGCAAAATTTATACTTGTAAACACCAACATTAAAAGTAAAAATCTGAGACTTCCGCCAAGATGGAGGTGTAGGTGGAAGCACTGTGCCTCCTCCCACAACCAAGTTTAAAAACAACAAAGTTTTAGCAACAAAAATGCAGCCAAAACCACAGAAAATTGAACTTCAGGGAAGTCTGACAACAACGAACCCTTCAGCCAAACCACTAAGAGGGGTAGAGCCAACAGCAGAGCAGGGTCGGGCAGGAAAGATCCACCAGACTGATCCTGGCGCGCGACCCAGGCACACCGGCAGCCGTAGACGGATCCCAGGTGTGGAGAAGCAGGCGGACCCACTGAGGGCACAAGGTGGTGGACTCACTGAGGGTGCGGGTCAGCGGACTCACTGAGGGCTGACCACATTTGCGTGCAGATAAACCGGTGAAAGAGGGAGCAGTGAGACAGACCGTGCAGGCCCCAGTGGCAGGAAGCAGCAGAGGAGACCGCCACTGTCCCTCTCTGACCCTGCCTCCACCTACAGTGTCACAAACCAGACACCTGGGTGGCCTCACCCTAGTGAAAAACTAAGGCTTCCCTCCTCATACCTAACAGGCACGAACAGATCAAAACATGGCTCAAGAACAACTCAGAGCCCCAGAGCCAATAAATCTAAGCGATGAAGAAATAGCCAAACTTTCAGATGCACAGTTCAAAACACTGGTGATCAGGATGCTCATAGAACTGGTTGATTTTAGTCACAAATTAGAGGAACATATGAAGGCTAAACTAATTGAAATGAATGGAAATGCACAGGAAACCAATAGTAATGGAAAGGAAACTGGGACTCAAATCAATGGAGTGGACCAGAAAGAGGAAAAAATGACCAAACAGAATAGGATGAAGAAACAAGAATTCAAAAAAATGAGGAGAGGCTGAGGAACCTTCAGGACATCTTTAAATGTACCAACATCCGAATTATAGGGGTACCAGAAGGTGAACAGGAACAGCCACGAGTGGAAAACTTATTTTGACAAATAATAAAGGAGAACTTCCCCAATCTGGCAAAGGCAAATAGACTTCCAGGAAATCCAGGAAGCTCAGAGAGTCCCAAAGAAGGTGGACCCAAGAAGAAACACACCAAGGTACATCATCATTACATTAGCCAAGATTCAAATGAAGGAGAGAATCCTAGAAGCAGCAAGAGATAAGGGGACAGTCACCTACAAAGGAGTTCCCATCACACTGTCAGGGGATTTCTCAAAAGAGACCTTACAGGCAAGAAGGGGCTGGAAAGAAGTATTCCAAGTCATGAAATCCAAAGACCTACATCCAAGATTAATCTATCCAGCAAAGCTTACATTTAGAATGGAAGGACAGATAAAGTGCTTCTCAGATAAGATCAAATTCGAGGAGTTCATCATCACCAAGCCCTTATTATATGAAATGTTAAAGGGACTTACCTAAGAAAAAGAAGATAAAAAAGATGAACAGTGAAAGGACAACAAACTCACAGTTATTAACAACCACACCTAAAACGAAAGCAAACTAAGAGGATAGCTAGATCAGGAGCAGAACCATACAAATGAAGATCACATGGAGGGTTAGCAACAGGGGAGTGGGAGAAGGAGAAGGGGGGAGAAGGTACAGAAAATAAGTAGCATAGATGGTAGGTAGAAAATAGATGGGGGTAGGGTAAGAATAGTAGGGGAAATATAGAATCTAAAGAACTTGAGACGGGTGGTCATAAACTGACAGGGAATGGTGGGGGCAGGGGTGTGCAGGGTGGAGGGGAATGAAGGGGGGAATAGAACAACTGTAATGGCATAATCAATAAAATATTTTTTTTTAAAAAGTGAAAATCTTAAACCAATAACCTAACTGAATTTAACAAATTAGAAAAGATGAGTAAACTACACCAAAAGCCAGAAAAGGAAATAATAAAGACTAGAGCAGAAGTTCAAAAAATCAATGAGACCAAAAATTGGTTCTTTGAAAAGGTCAACCACATTGACAAATGTTTTGTTACACTGCCTAAAAAAAAAAGAAAGAGGGCACGAACCACCAAAGTCAAAAATGAGAGTTGGGACATTACTACCTATTTTACAGAAATAGAAAGGGTTATTCAATAGTACCGTAAACAACTGTACGCAACAAAATGCATAACCTGGATGAAATGGGTAAGTCCCTAAAGACACAAAAAGTACCAAACTGACTAAAAAAATCAATCAATCAATCAGAGCAGACCTATATAACAAGGAGATTTAGTTTGTAATTGAAAACCTCCCAACAAAAAAGCCAAAATCAGATGTTCACTGGTGAATACTCTAAACATTTAAAGAAGAATTAATAATAATCCTACAGTGTTGAGATACTAAATCTTTTAGTACAAGGGTACTAAATCTATTGGGGTGATCACTTTGTAAGTTATATATAAATATCTAATCACTATGTCGTATACCTGAAACTAATATGATACATCAACTGTGATTTAAAAATTCAAATAATTTTTTAAATCTTTCTCAAACTCTTCTAAAACACTAGGAACATAAAGAACAAAACACTGTCTGTTCCTTATGGCTTTGATTTAGTCTGAGACTTTGATCTTCAACCTACACTTGTACAATGCTCTTTTAACAAGCCCCATTTAGTGAACTTGACAAAACTCATGCCACACATCTCTGAATAGAACATTGTGAATAATGCAGAAGGATACGCTGAATGCTCCAAACTAGCACTTCTGTTCCCCGAGTCCAGCTCTTCTTGTTCCTGCAAGTTTCAGTTGAATGCCAACATGAACTGTATTTGTCTTCTAACCTACTGACACAGTTGCACTTAAGTGTTATAACTGAAATACTTGAAATACTATTTAAATACTATATAATTTAAATTACCTGAAATACTATTTAAACCAACATATAAATGCAAAGAAGTGGTTTCTAAATACTAAATTTGTATTTTTTATTTCCTTCCTTCCTTTCCACAGAAGATACACACAAAAATCATCCTCTAACTTCGTTCCAATCTCTACTCAAAAACTGCTTCCTTCCAAGGCCTTTCCTGTCCATCAAATATTATAAAGGAGCCTTCTCTAACCTGTAACCCTAACTCTACTTTTCTTCAGAACATGCAGTTTGATAACATGTTTATTATCTATTTCTACCAATAGATTATAAACTCTAGGAAAGCAGGAAATATGTCTGGCTTCCAAGTAATTAAAACAGGGCAAGTCACATTGTAGGTACTCAATAAATATCCAAATGACTAAGAAAAAGACTCCTTTGAGATAAGTCAATGAAAAAGAGACCATGTGCACTCAGACTGCAGACTTTTTTGATCAGCTACCGGTCCAAATGATCCCACGTAAGACAGCCTCTGTGTCTCTCCCATCCCAGATGAACTCTGCCTTGAATTCAAACTCTGCCACAGCCTCATCTTCCACGAACACCCAATCTGTATCTTTCACTACGACAAATACAATATTGGAATACCAAGTCTTCTCTAAACATTCCCTACCATGTTCAATTAATGTACTAAAGATCATATTTAAAAGAAAGAAAGAGACTATTAGGCTTTATCCTGGGTGAATTTTCATTGTTTAACATACCTGACATCCCATTACTATAGAGCATTAGTAAAATTCAAGCCTATTACAAGGCTATTACAAGGTAAAACAGAAAACACGTCTTCAGTTTCCAAAGGCTCACATTGAAGATAATCAAACAATTGCTGCACATTATTAGTGCCGAGAACAACCATAACAAAATAACCCAACAGCAGGTACCACGGTGCTTTACTATGTGCTCCATGGGTCCCCACTACCAGGAACTGTCTCCTCCCGCTGCCCCTATCAAAATCCTTCATCGTTCTTCAAGGTTCATTCAGTGTCATCTTTTTGTTCAATTTTCTGATCATTTACTCTCTCCTCGGATCCCCACAAATACTTTATTCAAAATCTCTTAAAGAATGCACACAAATAATACCCAGCAACCGAATACGGTAGGCGTATTTTCTTCTCTATTTCAAGTCCTTGATGGTAAAAATTCCTTTTTAGGTTTACATCCACTAAGCACCACAGAAAATGTGTTGTAGGCATTTGCTAAGTATTTATTAAACTTTTAAATTTATATTCTCCCATATATCACAAATTATTTGAACAAACTTCCTGAAGTTATACTGTTCCAACATTTTAAAGTAGGACAAATCTTGGTTAACTCTTTAGCTTAAATAAATCAGCTAAAAGGTGTAACTCTTAAATTCAAAATTTTAGATTCCATTCGAGAATGAGAACATATCCATTTTCTAATACTGTGCAACTGATTACTTACCTGAGACCATGGTCTGTGATCTGGTAACACCCGGACAGACTGAGAAACAGAAGGACACGTCCAGTCTCCTGGTCCGACTTTTCACTCCCAGAGTAAATTAAGTCCTTTTCCCTAAGCAGTCTGGTCCTTGGCGCCTTTCTGCACAATGCAGAAGACTCTGGGAGTGCTGACACAGTTCTTAGCGCTGTTCCTGTACAACAGAACGAATGGCCACAATATGCAAAGGCTGGGGAAGCACAATGCTGCTGCCAACAGACACTAGTCCTTAGTCCAACAATATCCTTACTGTAACAACCAGAGGGACAACTTAAGTTGGATGCTGTTTCCATTACACAAAGACTTTCAACATTTCTATGTCTCCATTCTACAGCATCCTCAATATCAGCCAGATCTTCGGCATCTAACATCCACACATACGGAGAGGTGAAATTTTCAGAAGAAACGGGCTTAGTCCAGGAGTGTTCATTATCAATTTCTTCTCCGACGCTCTCGTTGGTTAAATCCTGCAAACACGCATACTGCTCAGTGGACTGCACAGTAATGTCTTCATTTTCCCAAGCAGTTGAAGTGATTTTGCTTGTAGAAGTGTTTAGAAGGCCACTCTGATGAGACGTCAGAATCCCAAGAGCTCTAGAAATCTTCTCTAGAGCCACATCTGTGATTTTTTCACATCCAGACAGATCAAGATGCCGAAGACTCTGGCAGCATCCAAGCCAAGACCAACTATAATTTACAGATAACAAGGCTATTAGGGGATACTGTTAACTTCTTTAAAAGTATTTGACTACATGTAAATAGATAAAAATTTTAAAAAGACTTTAATATAATCAAACACTTACTGAATACATATTGTCAGGTACTATTTTAGATGCCAGGGATACAAAAAAGGACAGGAAAGGAGAAGACTTAGTTCATTTTACTGAAAAGTAACCAGTAAAGGAAAGGTTGTACATGCATGAAAAAAGAATAACTAATGATTAATGCAGGAAGACCCAGAGGAAACAAGCTCTAGGAACCGGTAGCATTAGCCGCAGCCAGAGAAGAGTACACCTCTCTGCAGGAAAACAGAGGTGCTGATATACATGCCAGGGCGAAAAAGAGCAAAGTTACGTAGACTAAGAAGGAAATTGGTGGCATCCAAAGAAATAAAATCTGCGAAGACTGTAACTTGAAGTGTTATCATTTCAGAATAAATATGAAGACTATAAGACAGAGCCTGCCCCAACGGTACTTGGAACCAACTAAAACTGAAAACATCTTAAAAACATTAGTGCCCAGCAAGGCACAAAGGCCTAGACAGAGTAGAGGAATATAAAAATGATGGGATGATAGAGACTAGAGTTTCGGATCAGCTAGGACCTGACAAGAGGCAAAGAACTGGAGGTGCTATCAAGTTATAACCATGTGTGACTAAGAGCTGACAATAAAAAATAATAGCATGATTAAACTACAATCAATTATGCAAATGAGGAACTACAGAACAAGTCTACAGATTTGTGGTTAGAATTCCTATTAAATATTCAAAAATAAACTGACCTGTCAAATGCAGAATCTGAAATGTCAGTCTGGGTGAGATCCAGGTGCTCCAGATTAGGACAAAGCTCTAAAATCTGCCTCACCTACAGGGGGAAAGTCACTGTGAAGATCTAGACTTTTAATTACACAAGCGACAGACAACTTGTAGTAACCAACATAATCCGGAGGCTCTCAAACATTTGTGCATGTAAAAATCACTTCAACTCTGCACTGTCAATATATACTCTGGGCTCAAACCCCAGAGAACCTGTTTTAGTAACTAACATTAGATTCAGGAAACTTACAGTTTTAAGGAATACCTAGAGATTTTGATGTAGGACAGCACAAGATACACTTTTATAAAACAGATTTAATCTCACTTGCCCATTACCATGCCTCACATATCATAAAGAATCATATAAAACTGAATCAACTGTTTAACCTCTCCTGATCTTTGCACCCGTTTCTGTAAGTGCAGACGAAGCTTACTGTGTGCAATGAAATAAAAGACTATGAAGGTCAGCAGTATATGCCTAGCCATGGGAAGGAGCTCTGATGGGTAAAGATTTTTCCCCCCTTAATTAAACTCAGAAATAAGAAAACCAAATTTAGATCACTGCTAGTTTTTGTTAATACCCAAAGTGGTGCTAACTGATACATACCATTTTGCTGGAAACTGCAGAGCCGTATGCTAATACGAGAGTTTTTACAGAAGTACCAACATATGGCAGAACATTATGAATTAAGCCATGAAGTAAACGCTTTTCCATTTGTGCAATGCTGATAGCAATCGATTCCTCTGCAGACTCTTCTGTAAAATGAATTCAAAAATCTAAGAACCTGAAACACTAATTAGATAGAATTGCTCTTCACAAGGAACCACCAATTATTAAATATAAAATATTTTTTGCTATCCTTAAACTCCCTCACAAATGCAAAGCAAGTTAAATGGACATGGTCTCGCTCGCCAGGACTTAATATTTAACAGGGCTGGCTTCAGCTAAAAGAGAAGTAAAAGAAGAAAAAAAGGTTTACAGTGAGAATGAAGGGAAGGTTTTTTTCATATACTTTAAGGTTGAAGGTGATTTTCAAATCAAGGCAGGTAGCAGAGGAAAAGAAAAAATAACTCCAGTTTCCAGCACTGAAAATACTTTTAGGAACTTCTGAATACCTGAAGAATATTAGGAGTTCTTCAAGAGAATACAGAACATGAAAAGAAAAGTGAACCATAATGAACGTACCATTCGTTATTTTACCTAAACAAAAGGACGCAGTGCTGGAAGGCATCTGAAACAATTAAGTCAGCCTGGTCGCAGTCGACCAAGCAGAGGAGAATACACTAGGATTCTTATAAAGTTAGAAATATGAGCATGACTTTTGCTTTCTGTTTAATAACTTCTGTAGAGCTTGGATGTTTACAACAGGATGGACTACTGTAACAAACACAACAAACCACAAACTTCATTCTGATATTTAAAAAAAAACCAGTACACTAAAAAGAATTAACTAATAATTGTATCACCTTCATAGGGTTCTTTTGTTATTATGCTTACCTGAAAAATCTAACAAATATAAAACTGTTTAACAGAGTAGGTTAAAGAAATCTTATTTAAAATAATAATAATAGCCCTGGCAGGTGTGGCTCAGTGGATTGAGTGCTGGCCTGTGAACCAAAGGGACGCCAGTTCAATTCCCAATCAGGGCACGTGCCTGGGTTGCAGGCCAGGTCCCCAGTAGGGGGTGTGCAAGAAGCAACCACACATTGATGTTTCTCTCCCACTTTCTCTCTGCCTTCCCTTCTCTCTAAAAATAAATAAATAAATAAAATCTTTTTTTAAGTAATAACAATGTAGCTGACAAATGGAATATAAGTAGAAAGAACAATTCTGAATTTGTAACTAATAGTTCCATATTTACAAATATTATCCTAAATTACTCATTCAGCAAGATATAGATATATAAAATAGAGGAATAAAAATGCCTTTTAGCCCTGATTGGTGTGGCTAGGTGGACTGAGCACAGGACTGCGAAGCAAAACGTAGATGGTCCGATTCCCAGTCAGGGCACTGCTGGTCTGCAGGCCAGGTCCCAGTGGGGGTGCAGGGGGGGCACATGAGAGGCAGCCACACACTGATGTTCCCTCCCTTCCCTTCTATCTAAAAAAAAAAAAAAACCATCTTTTCAAAAATGCCTTTTAGTTAGCCCTATTTATTCTAGTATAATTTTATTCCTAAATGATTCTTCCTTCTGTGCTCCCCCATCTTAAATGTGTACTGCTGCTATGAAATCTTTAAAAAAAAATTAAACATCCTATGAAGAGTTTCTCTATAAACCTAACCAGGGTAGCTAAGATGAAAAAACAGACCCCAAGTTTAATCTCACAGCCACCAGACTGAATAGATACCACAGAAAGGCCTTCACCTCTTCACCTTGATCTTCCCCTTTCCAAACAAAGGGGAAGAGAGCCTTCCCTTTGGCTCTCTGCAAGCGCAGAGTCGGGTAACCCCTTAAAACACAACACGGGTATTATGAATTAATTCTCTAGCATGGATAAATTAAGTCTTCCCTAAGAGAAGACTTTTTAAAAAAGTCCACGCAAATTACTTTAGCAGTTACTTCAGGTGAGTCCACAGCACAGCACAAAAAGCAAGATCAGAAACCCCAGGGGAGGACCGCGGGGAACAGGCCCCCACACAGCCCGAGGTCTTTAAAATCCTGCCTTCTCTGTGTTCCTGGCCCTCCTGACCTTCTTTATTTTTCTCCACAGCACTTGACACTATGTAACATAGTAATACTTTGCCTGCATTTATTTGAGTCTATCCTCTCCAAATTTTAAGCGTTTAACCGAGGCCAGAGATTCCACTTCATCCCCATTTTGTTCACTATTAACCCCATGCTCGGAAGGTACCTGCAACAGGACAAGCGCGTCACCAAATCTAACTGAACAGACCTTTCCCCCTTATACAGCACCTTCCAAACATTCAAAACTATACCAAAATGCAGCATCTTCATTTATTTCATAAAAATAAACTTGATGCTAAAGGAATAATCTTTAAATTTATAACATTTACTTTCCACATGTTTAGTTCTTCTGCCAGATCAACTTACTACTTTTTAAATGGGTAACGTATAAATAAAAATTTCCTATAGATTCAGTTTTACCAAGTAGAAAAATATCTTTTAATTTGCTTTTACTATTTCATCATCTTTTAGTAATTACTATCTGAATAATATCTAAGATAAACTTATATGTTCCTCCTTCCCTTTCTGTTCCTCTATAAAAACACATTTTTCATTATGTACTTTAAGGATCATGCATTTTAAATTCTCACCCATGAGTACTTCAAGGGTAGAAATGAAGTCTCATTCACCCATGAATTCTTCTGCAGTGCTAACAAATGGCTACATTTGCAAAGAATTTTCATACAGATTACTTCTCAATTCTACAATCATGTGAGGCAAGTGGCATGACTTTTCACAAATGAATAAACAGAGTCAACAGCTTCATGCTCCTTCCTCTGAGCAATGATCAAATGTGCACATTAAAAAACACATTGTAAACTGCAAGCATTATAATGTACAATATTTCAGTAAGAGAAGGCATCATTATCTGATTTTTCAATTATTTAAATATAAAAACATGGGAAACGTCCTGGCTGGTGTAACTCAGTGGATTCAGTGCAGGCCTGCAAACCAGAGGATCACAGTTTGATTCCCAGTCAGGGCACATGCCTGGGTTGCAAGGCAGTTCCCAGCATGGGACCCATGAGAGGCAACCATTCACTGATGTTTCTCTCCCTCTCTCCTTCCCTTCCCCTCTAAAGATAAATAAATAAAAACTTTAAATTTGCTGAGCATTCCTTTGAATTTTAAGTAGTAGGCTTAAAAACAAGTTTATTTAGAAAATACAATATACATAAACCTAAACACCTAAGTACTTCTTGTTTAATATATTCATTAGTAAAGCACCAGGTAATAATTTTCTTTCCAAACACAGCTTACCAGATTCATCTACGTCGGCATCTTCGTCCCACTCCTGAAAAGCACGACTTTCATCTCTTCTGTTTTTCACCCATTCCTCATCAGGTTCAGTATCAAGCTCAGTTGCAGGGCCATTATACCAGTCTCCTACTCAACAAATGAACAAGAACAAAATAAGATTATACTGGCTACCATTACAAAAATATAACCTATTTATAGTAAAAATCTCTGCACACACAAAATATTCAGTTATGGTTAAAAAAGTTACACTTAAATGAGCAAAGAATTCAACTTCATACATACTAAAAAGAATAATTAAAAACAATTTTCAATAATTTTACTGGCAATTGTAGAAATCATTGAAAACAACATAACTTTTTCCCCTACAGTGGCTTCACACTGGCCTAGACAATATCTCCATTATGATGATAGTTAACAAATAAAAGGAAGCGAGACTTTCTGCCGAAAAGTGAAGTTTGTCAGCGGTGCAGTGTTCCGGCCCAGGGGCCTCCTGGTTGCGAGGGCCCGTCCTAGGCACTGCAGGGCCTCCACCTACCGAAGAGGCGTATGCTCCCCTGGGGAGGGGGGGGGACTCAGCAACGTCCCCCAGAGGAGGGGAAAATCAGTTCTGAGTAGAACCACGTGAAAAAAAATACTATAAATAAATAAACATAATTTTTATTGGAATTTTTAAAGTACACTAAAACAAAAAAAGAAACTTATTAAGATCTACTTAACCTCACAGAAGTTAAAATGCTGTGCTAACAGCATTTTAACATTTGATTTTTATAGTAAAAAGTATCTATTATGTATTAGTATCTGATAATTAAAATAATTCATAATTAAAATATAGCTAAGCAAAAAAGTATTTGAAATATCCACTTTGTCCTGTTTGACTTTCATTATCCTACAACTAATAGAAAAAAATTATTCTACATAAAAACAATAATTATAATCATTTGGCTTATATGAATCCACCCATCACGCCAAATGGCTTCACTTAAAAATGTTAAATATCTAAAAACAGCATATTTTAAAAGTATCACAAAATAAGTAAAAAAGAAAACTTTAAAAATCAGATTCATAATTTGTGTGAGAAATATATATTACCATGTCAAAGTGACAAATTATTAGAAAACTAAGAATAACAATGTATATTTTCAAGTTAATACTCAGCTAGAAATTATTTTAATTCAATGACAAAAAAATATGCAGTAGTACCTGCATTTATCCTGTGACCATATATGTGCTCATGAAGATAAAATTTTCTGTAACTGTTCACATGTAAAAAAATAACTTACTACACGAAGTTAACATAAAATTTTGATTTATTGAATGAGGGCATACTAATCACACCAAAAAAACTAAGGTAACAACAGATTCCATTATTTTGCGCCACTGCCAAAAGGGAACCATGATTGTACCTCATCTTATTCTATATGACTGATTTTTTCTGTTTTTTTTTAATACTTAAATAATCTATTCTTTAAAGCTGTTCTGACATCCTATCAGTTTTACTTCTAACTTTTGGTTATAGAAAAATCCCAAATACAGTCAAAAGTAGGAAGAAATAGCATTTAAAAGGTAGCATTATCACTACCAGGGTACTTGTCACCTACCTTCAACAAGGACCAACATTTTGCCAATTATTTGGCATTCCCTCTCCGACTGTTTTTTTTCCTGATTATTTTAAAGGAAACTGCACACATCACATAATTTACCCCACAAATGTTTCTTTTAGCTTTGCTACCTTCTCAAAATGCTAAGGAACACACACTATGAAATCTACATTTTTTAGTCAACCTCTCAATTTTCCTTCCCTGGCCTTGCCTATTAATGTCTATGAATATTCATCTTTCAAAAAAAAAAAAACCAAACAGACTGAAATGTTTTTCGAAGTAGAAGCCCCATTTACCTACCTCTGGCCCAGTGAACAGGGTAAAGATGTTTCCAAAGTGATCCTGTCTTTGCCAGCTGAGCCCACTTGGTGCTTACTTGACTGCACCGACATAATTCCTGAGGATTAAGATAACTGAAAATCGCCAGCATTACCTCAGGAGGAAGATGGGTTATACTTGTGGATCGTTCTGACACTTCCCCTTCTGCAATAAAAAAGGAAAACTTTAGTATTAAAGGCTATAAGAGCAAATGCAGTAAGAAATTACAGTCACATTTCTATACATAAAATCCAGTGCCTGAAGTCCACTCCTTCCTGCTTGCAAGATGCGAAAAGGAAATGACATGGATTAGAGGTAACATTGGGATGTTAAAGTTGTTAAGAATCTGTAGGGTTAAACTATCATGGCCCAAATCATAGTTCATCAGTGGGAGCTACAATAAACACAGAATCGACTTCCTCTTACAAAGGCGTCACAGAAAAAACAATACTCACTTTATAGCACAAGCATCATTTGAAAAAGGAACCCAACAGGTTATACGGCTTTAAATCAACAAGTGTGGAGTCGGCCAGATTATGAGATCTCCAAGGCATTTTTAATGACACACACGAATCTCACAGCATTTTCCATTCACACATTATGACTCCTGTCATCATCTTCCCAGTGACCCCTCTTTTCACATTTCGTGCAAGTCTGTGAAATCTGAATTAATCTATAGGTTCCCTAACCAACTCATGAGCCAGTTGAAACAATATAATGTAAATATTTCCAAAGCTGGAATACATTTGTTAGGAATCTTCTGTCAGCAGCTACTATAGAAAGTAGTCACCGCATTTCTAATTTCCTATAATGTATTATTTCAGTAGCAATTTCCTGGAAAAATGCAAATTAGGAATACGATAAAGAATATAAAATACAGATTCATTGTTAAAGTATTATGGAGAACTTGACGACTTTGTGTATCTGATTTATCTTCACAAAATATAGAAATGCTATGACCAAGTTACTGGAACTGAACCCTTTTTAAATGCAAATATTTTTAAAATAATGCAGCTATACTTTGCTTTGAAGGAATGGGAAAACTAAACATAATAAGTGTGATGCTTTTAAATCCCATGTTACACTACAATTAAACCAGACACAACAGGTCTTGGCTTGGTGTCTAAAGCACAAGTTGAATTTCACAGTGAAGTGCACACACTTTATGGGTTTAATTATAGCTTAACCTACAGAAATGTCTCTGTTTCAACATTTCACCTACATTGTTAAATAAAAATAACAGAAAAGAACCAATTCCAAAAAGTTTAAGCTATTTTAACAGAAGTGCCATTGCTATTTCACATCTAGAAGAATCAAAGGAATTTTTACTAACCTAACAATGCCAATCTCTTTAATGATGTTTTAAAAGGCAAAGCTATCAAAGGCAAAGAAGAATAAAAATGAGGAAATAGTCTAAGAAAAAAAAGTAAGCATATTTTATTTGCGTTTCTCATGTGTTTTCTCAAAGCAAAGAAAAACTACGCCCCTCACCCTCCGCCTCCTGTGCATTGCTGGATGTAAGCAAAGACAGCGACACACGGGAAAGGACAGAGATACAACAGTGAACATCAGTAACTTTGTAAACTGACGGAAAAAATAAGGAGAGAAAAAGCAGCCACCACGTTTAATGACCTCAAAAAGTTGAACGGAACTGCAAAAGTGCTCTGTGTATGGCAGTTTTCAATGATTCTGATAAGCCAAATATTTTTCTTATTTTATGTATATATAAATTCCTTTAATAAATACTGCATTACAGGTGGCTCAAATATATGAGTGTTAAATTATCAGAAAATATTAATTCTAAGATAGAAACTGTCTTCAATTAAATTTATACTTGAAAACAAATGGCTTAAATCATTCCTCAAAAAAAATCTATAGTTCGCATCAACAAAGAAAAAATGGCCTTGAAACTAATAAATCATTTGCTACCTAAACATCTGAATCTCACCTTTATCTGACTTTTCATCCACGGAGTATTTAAAAAACTTCTGTCGCTCCTCAGCGTGATTCCACAGGCTGAGGCCTCTAAGGAGCTCTGCCGTGTCCTTCTGAGAGCAATGCTGTGCGATCACTTTCTTTTTAATGTCCTTCAGCTCTTCATAGGTAAAATATTCCATTAACATGGGCTGAAAAACCTAAATGAAACAAAACAGTCATGAGGAAAGATGCTTCTTTGTTTTGTTTTACTCTACACCTTTCAAATTATTAATGGTTAAAATGTAGTATTATGGCCATCTATTTCAAAGACATAAAAACTTTAGTTACCACCAAGCTTATCCAATTAGAGAAGAGTATCACCAAAAGAGTTGCTTCTCTCTTAAGAATTCTCTGGCTAAGTCAATCCCTAAACACTTTCAAAACGTCATACCAGAAGGTCTTCCTATACAGAGCTTGTCAAACACTCTCAGTCACTCTCCTAGGGTTAGACAGTTAGGTCAGTTAACTGCCTTCTGCTACTGCAGTAACCGACCTCTACCCAAACAGGGCCCCTAAGTCCTATGGGAACGCCACCCAGCATATAGGAACCATAAGTCTGAACTCTCCTGAGACTTTCAACTACTCAGTATTACCTAGGAGATCTCTTCTTCAAAACAGATGCTTAATCCCAACTACTAGTTTATCGAATTAGAATCTTTAGAAGTGGGACTTTTTTTTTAAAATGGTTCCACAGATAATTTTGATGCACATCTAAGGTTAACAAACACTGCTCTAAGTAGAGGTTTCAATGCTGGTTGATTATAACATTAATAACTTGGGAAGCCTTTAAAATATACCTATACCAATATCTCCACCTGATTTATTTAGCTGGTCTGGAAAGGGCTTAAAGGTGTTTTGAATACCAGTCTGAGTGTAAGGTAAAGCTATAGATGAGAATCACTATAACAACTGATTAACAGCTGAACATCCAGTTCATTGTAAAACATTTTCTCTATTCCTTACCGATATTCATTCCACTTTAACTTTTTAAGTGAGAGTAAGTTCATTAAAGCTTCGGAAGTAAGTCAATGAAAGGACCCGTGGGCAGGATTAGGGGTTGCCCAGGACGAGCTGCCATTGCCCCCTGGCTTCTGGCAAGCCTGTGACAGACTTCTTGCAAGTCTCCCAAGGCTACCTGGGAGCAGATGTTGTTGGGACCCTCAGAGCTTAAGACAGAAGAAGAAAAGTACACACCTGAGGAAAGGGTGTGTACTCAAAGAAGACTATGCTCATCCCACTTCAAGAATGAGAAAATATTTTACTCATCCATTCAGTCATATCCTCATACACATGCACTAGGCATAAGACTGGTAAATTTAATACCATCATTTAATTACTAAAATCCACTTCTTAAAAAGACACTAAAATTTCTTTAAATTTAGCATGGAAATACAGAAAGTTTAAAAAATCCTCCAAGGTTCTGAAATGCATTAGGGTGGCATAAAAAATTATTAACATTCAATATACTACCATCTGCATAATAAGAAAATATTGAATAAATGAATTAAATCATTTATTCAATGAAAAACAACAATCTCTCTAAGGTAAAAAAAAATTATTTGTTTTTCCTTGGGTTTTTCCTCTTTTCTTAAAATGAACTGGAAGTTTATCTTCCTATGCATTATTTTGATGAATCAAAGACAAAATAACATTTTTAACTTCCAGTGGTACGCTCGAGTTCATCTAGACAGTCACAGAGGCAGTGGAAGGGCCCTAGGAGCTCAGGAGGAAGAGAAGCCAAGGTAGTGTGCGCACGGGGAGGGCGGGCAGGGGGAGGTGCAGGGGTGCTCAGGAAGAGTGCCCAAAGCAACATGTTTGACATTTAAATCGAAGTCACAAGGAGGAGAAATTATGCTTACCTCCTCTTCCTCTTTCATGTGAGGAAGAAAATCTCTTGTAAAAGCCTCCAATCTCTCTTTCAGCTGTTTCTCATAATTTAACTGCTCATATTCATTCTAAAAACAAATAAAGAATATTCTGAAAAGTTCTGCTTCATTAACTTACATTGTACTCATTCTAGGAAGTGCGTTTAAAATGCAACATAAAACCTAAAAGAAAAAAAAAAGGGCAAAGGCAAAGTGGTCCCTGTTATACTCCTGTAAGTACAAAAGATGTCTTAAGGACATCTGAACCTTGAATTCTTTTAGTAATGGGATCTATTCCCAGTGAGGGCATGTGCCTGGGTTGGGAGCCAGGTCCCCAGTAGGGGGTGCGAAGGAGGCACCCACACACTGATGTTTCTCTTCCCCTCTTTCTCCTTCCCTTCCCATCTCTCTCAAAATAAATAAATAAATAAATAATCTTTTTAAAAAAAAAGAAAAATCAAGTATTTGCTCAAAATGCCTAATGATTTCTAATATATATATTTACATAATTTCTGTGTGTCAGTTTTCTCCATATATCTCCAAGCAGTCTACAAGAGCCTACTGGACTCTTATCATTACAGAATTACTTCAGGGCAGTGATTTTCAACCGGGGCACTGCAAGAAGTTTTAAAACGTGCAGCACCTGACTGTTCATTCAGGGGCACTGGCCTCCTTTCCCTTAGACTGTCAAATTTAAAAATGACAAAAGCCAACACAACAATAATTATCCAATTTGAAAGAATCAAAGTTATGCCTATTTTTTGGCAGATCAACAAAAAACATATTTTTTGATGTGTTGCAGAATTTTAGTAATTAGTTTACCTGCACCATGACATGAAAAGGTTGAAGAGCGTTACTTCAAGGTCCCTGGTTTATCTTCCACTGAGCAATTCAAAATACCTGTTACAGTATCCTACAGAAGACCATACACATTTCTAAAGGCAAAGTATCAACTTCTAAAGGCAAGGAGTTCACTACATCTTGAAGTAAATCATTCTAAGTCCAGACGACTGTTAAAAAGTTCTTCCTGACTTCCGCCAAGATGGAGGCATAGGTGGATGTGCCGTGCCTTCTCACACAACCAAGTTTAGGGACAACTAAATATTAGCGACAGAAAACACAGCCAGAACACAGAAAATTGAACTTTTCGGAAGTATGTTAACAACAAATTCTTCAGCCTGACCGGTAAGGGGCGAAACCAGCAGCTGGAGGAGCGGGGTTGCACAGGAAAACTTGGTCAGACGGACTCAGGCGCGGAATCCAGACGCGCGGAATCCAGGCACAGGATGAGCGACCGAGCGAGGGACCAGGCGAGCGACCTCAGGGGAGACAGCAGGGGAGTGGTCCTGCGTGTTGACTGTGGTCACGCATTTGTGCGCAGATAGACAAGCGAGGAAGTGGGTGATTGGACCGGGACCCAGCGGGTCCCCGCGACAAGCGGCAGGGAGGGCACCGCCATTTCCCCGCTCTGACCCCACCTCTACATACAGCGTCATAACCCAGCGACTCTGAGTGGCCCGGCCCTGGTGAACCACCTAAGCCTCTGCTCCTACTCAGCAGCACGAAACAGCAGAGGGGGCCGCCATTTCCCCGCTCTGACCACGCCCCCACATACAGTGTCACAACCCAGCGACCTGGGAGTCCAAGGCTCCGTTCCTCAAACTTAAAGGGCCAGAACAGACCAAAAATGGCTCAAGAAAATCTCAAAGCCCCAGAGCCTATAAATCTAATCAATGAAGAAATAGCAAAACTCTCAGACGCACAGTTTAAAACACTGGTGATTAGGATCCTCACAGAACTGGTTGATTATAGCCACAAATTAGACAAACATATGAAGGCGAAACTAATTGAAATTAATGGAATTGCACAGGAAACCAATAGCAATGAAAAGGAAATTGGGACTCAAATCAATGGAGTGGACCAGAAGAAAGCAAATAATGGCCAAACAGAAAAGAGTCAAGAAGCAAGAATTCAAAGAAATGAGGAGAGTCTTAGGAACCTCCAGGACATCTTTAAACGCTCCAACATCCAAATTATAGGGTTACCAGAAGGGGGAAAGGAACAGCCACCAGTGGAAAACTTATTTGAACAAATAATAAAGGAGAATTTCCCCAATCTGGCAAAGGAAATAGACTTCCAGGAAATCCAGGAAGCTCAGAGAGTCCCAAAGCAGTTGGACCCAAGAAGGAACACACCAAGGCACATCATAATTACATTAGCCAAGATTAAAATGAAGGAGAGAATCCTAGAAGCAGCAAGAGATAAGGGGACAGTCACCTACAAAGGAGTCCCCATCAGACTGTCAGGGGATTTCTCAAAAGAGACCTTACAGGCAAGAAGGGGCTGGAAAGAGGTATTCCAAGTCATGAAATCCAAAGACCTACATCCAAGATTGCTCTATCCAGCAAAACTTTCATTTAGAATGGAAGGACAGATAAAGTGCTTCTCAGATAAGATCAAATTCAAGGAGTTCATCATCACCAAGCCCTTATTATATGAAATGTTAAAGGGACTTATCTAAGAAAAAGAAGTTAAAGAAACATGAACAGTGAAAGGACAACAAACTCGGTTATTAACAACCACACCTAAAACAAAAGCAAACTAAAAGGACAGCTAGATCAGGAGTGGAAACATAGAAATGAAGATCTCAAGGAGGGTTAGCAACAGGGGAGTGGGAGGAGGAGAAGGGGGGAGAAGGTACAGAAAATAAGTAGCATAGACAGTAGATAGAAAATAGATGGGGGGGGCAAGAATAGCATGGGAAATATAGAATCTAAAGAACTTGAGACACATGGTCATAAACTAAGGGGGGGGTAATGGTGGGGGTGGGGGTGCATGGTAGAGGGGAATGAAGGGGGGGGGAATAGAACAACTGTAACAGCATAATCAATAAAAAAATTTTAAAAAAAAGAAAAAATAAAGATACAAGGAACAAATTTTAAAAAGTAAAAAAAAAAGTTCTTCCTTATATGAATTGAGATCGTTATCTCCCTATAACTTATCCATCATTTCTGTATCAGACCTTGAAACTTAAAACATTTGGAAAATTTATAAAATAATGAACTTTTTAAAATGTGGGAATATTTTATCTCTGCTGAGTCCTCTGTAATCTTTTGCAACTGATTTATTTAACTGCTTCCTAATATTCTACCCAATGTCCTATTTTCTTAAAATTTTATACATTTTCCATAAGCATACCAAAGGGCTTCCATTTCCTCTTACATGCCAATGATTATCAAATTTTCTTTTCCAAACCAAAGTACTCTTCTGACCTTTTATGTCTCCTCCTATAATAATAAGTGCCCACCCGAATTACACAAGCAGCTCAAATGCAACCTGCCCGTAATGGGTCTTTGCACTCCCCAAGTATCTTCCATATTCCCTAGAGACCAAGCTCGGTGCTGTTCTTATCTCCCTTCTCTTTCTCCTTTCCACCTCCTTTTATGCAGTCAATACATCCTATCAATTTTATTTGTCCCACAAAATTCTCAGGTCTGTCCCCTCCCCTCTATCTCCACTAATCATTACTTTAGTTCAGACCTAATTTTATAGAACAGGGCATACATAAACATAATACAGAGTAAAAAGTAGGTTTTTAGGGCAAAAGTAGGTTTACAGTTGTTCATATGGAAAATATAAATATAAATAATAATACAAGAATAAACTGTTCCACATACTCACAACTATGAACCTACTTCTGCCCTACCTTACATAAAATTCAGTAAGCATAAAAGAATATCCAATAAAAAGTAAAATTCCCATCACTACTACTCCGTTTTCCACCCCCCCAAGGAGCTACTATGTATTCTTCCATGGACAATTACAGTAATTTTTTATAAGTCTTTCTGCTTATGCCTTTTCTTTCCCTTCACGTCATTCTCTTCCCTACTGCAGAATAGTCTTTCTAGACAGAACACAATTCTCTAGGTGACCGGTACATGGTGGTTTGACATGGTGCACAGCAACTTACATTTGTGCTTCACCAAACCAGCAGGGAATAAACAAAGACCAAATTTTAAACATCCTATAATTCATAGCAGTAGTCATAGAAAAACCTCTCTTTATCATTATCCTAAACCACACTGAAAACTAGCTTTATGCTATCAATTAAAAATTGTCCGTTTCTCACCCTGGCCAGTTGAAAAAGCATCGTTTCAATAGCCATGGCTGCAAGGATGGGCCACGGCTGACTGGATAGGGCTCCATGCAGTCAGGCCACAGGTAAGGATTCACCAGGGGACGTTATCAGTAAGTGGAACAACAATGTTTCTCTCTCCCTCTCCCCCACCCTCCCTCTAAAATTAAAAAATAAACCAATACTTTAAAAAAACTTCATCCTGTTTAACAAACACTGTGCCCAAAATATGGAGAAAGAAAATATAGTCAACATTTTAGCTAGCATTTAATTTTAATAAATATAATTTATAAAATTAAAGTGTTCAAGGCCCTGGCTGGTGTAGCTCAGTGGATTGAGCGCGGGCCTGCGAACCAGAAAATCGCGGTTCGATTCCCAGTCAGGGCACATACCAGGGTTGCAGGCTGGTTCCCTGCAGGCCAGTTCCCAGCAGGGGATGCATGAAAGGCAACCATACATTGATGTTTCTCTCCCTCTCTCCTTCCCTTCCCCTCTAAAGATAAATAAATAAAATCTTTAAAAAAAAAAAAATTAAAGTGTTCATTCATTCTATATAATAAGAGTTCAGCAAATATAAGAAAGTAAAAATCTTATGGTAATTAAAATTTCACTTCAAAATAAGTTTAAGATTTAGAGAGTGGTATTCATTATAAGATTGATTATTACAGTAACAAAGATATAACTGACAGATGTTATCAAACCTGACTGCGGTTCCGCTAAGCCCTCTTAACTAGATCCAACCTTGAGCTTTGTTCTTGGCACACCTAGTGCACTTTTAGCAAAGTCATCCTGAGTCTATCTAGTCTTCAAAAAAATGCCCCAATTCTTAGCATCTTATCCCCCTCGATATCCATTCACCCAAGATCTTATACCCTGGTCTGTCTTCAGGAAAAAAAAAAAAACTGTCAGTCTGGCAAGAACCTCCTTAACCTTGATGTTTCTTTCCTCTTGGTCGTTTTCCTGCCCCCACCCTGCTCCTTAACTCTAAATCCCCACTTGTCCCTGTTACACTCAGAGCTGAACCCCACTGTAGTAACACCTTGAATAAATTCTTCCTTACCGCCATTAACAAGTGTCAAAATGGTTTTTTTCTTTAACACAACATCATTTACTATAAAATGCTAACAACTTTTGCCAATGAAATACCAGAGGATGTCGCAGGTTATGGCACTAAATACCCATTTTCACAACTCACCTTAACATTCTTCAGTCCCTTTTCAAAGAGGCTGAGCATCTCAGAGAGTTTATTGTCAGAATGTACATTATAAATGGTCTGACTGCGTTGCTGAAGCAAACCAATAATGTACTCATTTTCAATCTGCTCATGCATTTTGAACTCCTTAAAAGTAGCATACAGAGACTGCAGAAGAGCACGGAAATCATTGTTGTTGGAAAAGTTGGTTTTAGAAAGCTGAATAAAAATTTAAAAAGAAAGACAAAATAAGTACATGTAAATATTCACCAACAAAATATTTAAATGCATCCTATTTAGTTTGTACATAGTCAAATATCTCTCATACTTTACTCGGTTAAAGTATTTGGTTAAATTTATGTTTTCTTTAAATAAAAGGGATTTAACGAAATCTAAATATAAAATTCCATTAGTTTATATATATGCTAAATAGGATACTCTACCAAGTTATAAGTAAGCATTAAAAGAGCTATATAAAGCACAGCACAGGGAATATATTCAATAATGGTGTAACAACAATGTAAAAAATAGCTGTTAAAAAGTGCTTTTTTTCTTTGTTTAAAATGTTCTTCATGCTATTATACTACTTTTACAATTTAAACAATTCAAAAGTATTCTATTATAGTTCATTTAAACTTTAATACCAAGATGAGTCTGCTCTGTTCCGAAAATAATTATAAAGTATTGAGCTATTAGAACATTGTTAGACAATTTTAGAGGAACTAATTTTTTAACAGAAAACTGGGATAAACACTTAGCAGCTTTTATTAGAAACCTCATACTTTTCTGAAGTGGAGGCACTACCATAGCACAGTGGGAACCTAGGACGTAAGAAAGTAAACACACTTGAAGGAAAGAAACACACCAATAAAAACATAAAGAAATATATACAGTCATTTTTAAATTCTACTATTCAAAGAGAAGATGACTATTCTGACATAATATTCAGTATTATGAGTATCCAATTTTTTACATTTAAATGGCATATTCAGTTCTCATGTTCAAGGCATACATAGTATCAATTTGATTCAAGTTAAAGTTCAAATATTCAAACCCTGCATTGCCTCCATTGCCGTATTAAATCTACCTTCAATTATATCAATTCCAGTTTCAAAGTTCATTTCAAAGAGGAAACCTGATGAGGTTAGAAACAACAGACAGCAAATGGAGGGGAAGAAGCTACTAAGACCACCCTTCCTAGACTTGCTGTGTGAAGTCTGATCTAGTGTCCTGACATGGAGCACAGGCCACGCCGGCTTAATTGCCCGTTCTCGGCAGGATAGTAGGCTCTTAACAAGGCATCAGAGAAGATTACTAAAGCAAAACTATTCCACTATACATTTACTTTCTGTAAAACGCCATATGGATTAGGTATTAAGAGTCATTTATAGAAAACTGGACCGATGGTCAGATTCTCTAAGACCAGATACCAGCTCTACCATTTATTCATGTGTAACCATAAGTAAGTTAATTTTCTCCCTCCATGTCTTAATGCTTTGTTGGTGTTAGATGGGGATAATAACAACCCCTGTACTTCACATGGTACCTGTGAGATTAAAATGAATTAGTGCTTAGTAAATGTTAGCTATCATTTTGAACATTAATCATGCAGTTTTATAAATTTATGCATTTTTACTCTATTCAGATATACTTAATGAGCAGCCGTGATAAGCCAGACACTGCTTCTGATACTTGAGATACATCAGTTAACAAAAATGACTTCTCAGCCTTTACAGAGCTTACATTCTATTATGTAAGTGAAGGGAAATAAGACAATGAATAGTAACCACAATACGTAAGTTAATTATCTAGAACGGGTTAGAACTTTTTGGGGGGGCCAGGTAGTAAATATTTTAGGTTGTTACACAAAAGTAACAGCAAAAGAATGTGGCTGTATTTCTTTTGTATTAAGTCATACAAAAGAATATGGCTGTACTTCAAAAGAACTTTATGAACACTGAAATTTGATTTTCATATAATTTTCACATCCTAAAATACTGGATTGGCCAAAAAGTCCATTTAGATTTTTCTATAAAAGATATGTTTTTCATTTTCACCAATAACTTTATTGATCTGGATATTTTGAGTATGTCAGCTACCTCCCCCTATTGTATTCTAGTGGATAGAAGCCAGGGGTAGAAGCTACTGAACATCTTTCACTGTAAAGACAGCCCCGCAGCAGAGAATTATTTGTTTAGAATGTCAATAGCACCAAGGAACTCCACAAACCACTTCTGACACGTTCGACCAGTCAGAGCCCCTTTTCTATACACACTGCGCAAATCTTTTTTCCCATCTCAGTTGCGTTTTTACCTTTCTTGAAATAATAAAGCATAATATGACAAAAATGTTGCATATTTTCTTCCATTTTCAGTATTAAAATGGCTGCTCAAAAATTCGCCAATTTTGGTAAGTTTTTTAAAAAATGCACACTGATACAACAGCTGTCACAATATCATCTAACAAAACTATTTCGAAGGAAGTTAAAGAGAACTAAGCACTACTAGAGCCATCTTATGAAAAAATTAAATGAACTTTTTGGCTAACCCAATATTATTCTTGTAATTTTTTTCAAACTTTAGCTCCTAAATCATACAAAACAACACAGAATGATTTGGTTAAACCTACGTAGGTTTTTTTTTTAAATTTCAATGTTGATTTTTATTCCAAGAAATGCCACATAAGATCACAACAAAATTCACTAGTATTTAATTTCAGCAAATACTACCATGTATCACTTTATTCTTTAAAAAGTTAAAAATCAGCAGAAATAAAAGTCAAAGAAAGCATTAATAATGGCTATACATTTTTTAAAAAACAAAAGCATGGCAAAAAAGTAAAAAAAAATGTCTGAGGCCCTGGCCAGGTAGTTCCCATGGCTAGAGCACTGTCCTGGTAAATCCAGGTTGAGGGTTTGATTCCCAGTCAGGGTACATACAAGATTCAACCAATGAATGCATCATAAGTACAACAAATCAATGTCTGTCTCTCTCCTTCAGCCCATCCCTTCCTGTCTCTCTAAACCCAATAAATACATATATTTTTCAAAAATGACCTCACAGGAGTTAAGGAAAACAGCATCTTAAAAGACATGCAGAGAATTTTGCATACATTCTCACTGGACTATTAGAAAATCTTTCGAATTTAATGGCCATCTAAGGTGAAGCCTGGGTCCGTGACACAGACGGAAAAACCAAATCAGATCTATAGAAGGACTCTATGTTGTGTGTTGAGTCAACCCGGCATGGAGGTTCCTCTGGAGCCAGACTGCTTAGGTGTGACTCTATCTCTGCCAGCAAAAGCCATTAAAATGCTCAGTACCTTGGTTTCTTCACCTGTAAAATAAGGCTAATAATAATACTAAACTACCACATAGGATTCCTGTGAAATTTAATAATGCATTTAAAGAACACAGAATATAACACAAAAAGCTTACCTGGGCTTTTCATTTATGGGGGCAGCGCCCACAACCCAGGCATGTGCCCTGACCAGGGATCAAACCAGCGACTCAACTTCACTCTGTAGGACGATGCTCAACCAACTTAGCTACCCTGGTCAGGGCAAGCAACTGTTTCTAACCTAATACTCAAGTCGATAAATTTAGCAGTTAAAAAACCAAGCAGAGAATATACAACTTAACTTTTAAAAAATCTGTTTATATGAATTTTTTAAATTTTGTCTCTGCAGAGTTATTGAACACACAGACTTGACTGAGAAGAAAACAACCCTGCACACTAGTACTACCTGGGACACACTGCGGCCTATGATGTTACACAGCGCTGAGTAGTTTAGATGCTATTCCTACAACAGTCCTAGAAAGTAGTCATTATAATTCTTATTTTACACGTGAAAAAACCTGAGACTCAGAGAAAATAACTTGCCCCAAATCAGACAAGTAGTAAGTAAGTAAGAACACAGAGATCAAATCCCCATGGCTCTACCAGGGCTGTCCAACCTGCGACCCTCAGGCTGCACGCAGCCCAGGATGGCTAGGAATACGGCCCAACACAAAATCGTAAATTTACTCAAAACATGCGACTTTTTTGTGATTACATAACATAATGTATTTAATGTGTGGCCCAAGACAACTTTTTTCTTCCAGTGTGGCCCAGAGACACCAGAAAGTTGGACATTTCTGCAACCTATCTTCTTTCTGCAAGATACAATGCTAATCCCAATCATAAAGCTCTCTTTTCAGATCCAACAAAGTAAATTGTCAAAAAGAATGTCAGCTCTCACGCAATGGTTCTCCCAAGGCAGTCCATTTTGTGCCCCACCACCAATGTGCAAGGTCTGGGGACATTTTTGGACTTCACCGCTGCAGAAGTGCTACTGACATCTAGTGGGTGAAAGTCAGGAATCTGCCTTACGTCCCGTGACTGCACAGGACAGCACCCAGGACACAGAATCCCCCGAAACGATGCCAGTGATGCTGCAGTTGAGAAATGCTGCTGTAAAGAAGCGTTTTTCCAAAGTATTTAACTACAACCGTTTGTTAGTATCAAATACAGTGCAATCTAGACACACACGTATCACAAACATTTCAAACAAATTTCAGCACACAGCATTTTCTTCTCTAACCCGGATGTAGTTTTTTAATGTTGTTTCTGACCCACAAATTTAATGTCCCAAAAATGGGTCATAGGACATATGTTGAAAAATAATGTTCTAAGGTAGGATATAAAAATTCCTAAGTGAGCTACAAACTTTTATAATCTGATACCTGGCAAATTCAATGAAACAAAAAAAAACTACGTAAAACAGAATACACATAACCAACAAATTTAACAACCAGTAACATGGTATCTCCCCAATTTTTAAAATGTATACCTAACTTTCTGTCTTGGGCACTATACAGCCTAAAATCTTACAGTATGGCTTCAAACTGATTTGAAAAGTTATGTGTCAGTTAAATACTAGATAATAATTCAAAAGCAGATATGAAAATAGAATAACAAAACCCAATCACTATCATTACCCCAAATAAGTCTGTACTTTTTGTACTCAGCCAGACAACGTTCTCATTTAAACAAAGATAACTTTACACTTAATGAAGGAAACCAACTATCTCTGGTCAAACTAACTCTACGTATAGAAAAACCTGTGACCCACAGAAAGATGTTTTGCATAAAATCATACAGGTAGTAATAAGCAGCAGAATCAGTAAGGTAAAACAAAAAACATGGGCTTCAAAAAGGGGAAAATCCTAAGATTGAAATTCAGGCTCCCTAATTACTAGTTGAATAAGTTGGGTAAGTTATTTAACCACTAAGTCTGTTTCTTCATCTTTATATGAGGGATAATACTTGTCTCCCAGGGCTCTTGTGAGGATTTAAAGTAATAACATAAGCATGTAGTAAGAACTCATTAAATTCCCTTTTCCTTCCTCTCCTAGCTGTCAATTCAACATTCTCTCAAATAAATCAATCTTCTCAATGCCAATAAGTAACAGTTTTTACAAGTATGCCAAGAAGTAGAAAAACAAAAAAAACTAAATAATTTTTTCATAAAGCTGTATCTGTTCAATTTTTAAAAAACAATGTGTTATGCCCTGGCCAGGTGGCTCAGCTGGCTGGGCATCGACCACAGGACTGTGGGCTGGATGCCTGGTCGGGGTGCATGCCTGGGCTGTGGGTCCGATCTGCAGTCAGGGCGCATACAGGAGGCAACTGATCAATGTCTCTCTCTCGCAGGGAAGTTTCTCTTTGTCCCTTCCTCTCTCCCTTCTCTATAAAAGCAATGAAAAAATATCCTCAGGTGAGGATTAAAAAATAAACTAGTTCTCATTTTGTAAAGTTTTACTACAGACTGGGTTGGATATACCTGGCCTGTGCAACCAAAAGACAGTGAAGGCAAAACTTGGGGTGGTAAGTGAATAAAAATAAATAGTACTTTAAGACTATTCAGCCACGCCCCGACCAATGTGACTCAATTGGGTGGGTGTTGTCCACCAAACCAAAAGGTCACCAGTTCAATTCCCGGTCAGGACACATGCCTGAGTGGCTTCAGTTCTAGTGGGGCACATGTGAGAGGCAACCCATCAATGTTTCTCTCTCACACTAATGCTTCTCTCCCTCTCTTTCTCCCTTCTCTTATCTCAAATAAATAAATGACATTTAAAAAAAAAAAGACTATTCAGCCATTATAAGACACTTATTTTTTCCACACTGGCTCCCAAAGAATGTCCTAGAAAAGAGTTTCATTAGATATTAGTATCAAGAAAAAATCCAGATATAGAATTCTTATGCAGTTTTTTTTCCCTAAATCATCTTGGTCCACAGGTCAGAAAACTGAACTATTAACCTTCTTGACAAATACATACAGCAACCTCATTACCTACATGCAATTAGTTGAGAATTAGTGATGAGTTTTACTTATGATATGTCAAAATGAAAATGCTTTCTAGTTATTGCAAGAGGAACACTTAACTACTAAAAAGAATCTTACTTGACTCAGATAATTGTTTTTTAAATGGCACTGTATTTTCAAAACTTGTTCTAGTGTTCTCAATCACTAAGAAATGACACACAAAATTAACTGTCAAAATTTTGTTTATCTTACAATTTGTTATTCTCGCTTATTTTTAGTAGAGTATCAGGCATTTGGAAATCCACAAACTTCCTAGGAAAATGTACACATGCAGAAAAATTTCCACGACAAGGCCGCCAAACTACCTCTCCCCAAATCATTTTAAAATGGAGAGAAGACTTCAGATTCCATTAATTCTCACTAACTTTCCCTTTTTGATTTTGAGAAAGTAAAAAAAAAACCTCTCTATTTTGTTTCTTTGCTGCAAATAAAGGATACTGTCGGAGTAAGTTCAAAACCCCGAGGAGCTAAAAAAAAATTACAGTGAACTAACTAAAAAATTCAGGGTTTCTCGGCTTAACTAACAGGTTACCCATTCTTGATGCTTCTACTGGATAAGTAGTTCTCACCCCTGGCTGCACACTGGCATTGCCCAGGAGGTTTAAATTATACAATCATGTGCCCCTTAATGACGGGAAACATTCTGAGAAATTTACCATTAAGTGATCTCACTGTGGTGTGAACACTGAGGGCACTCACACACAGTCAGATAACACGGATGCACCTAGGCTAGGTGGTACAGCCTGCTGCTTCTAGGCTACAAGCCTGTGTGCAGCACGTTCCTGTACAAAAGGTTAATTCAAGTACAAGAGAAAATAATGCAATCATGAGACACATGGCATGACACAACATACTGTTTTACAGTTAACTTTTTTTGTAAGAAGTACACTCCAAAAAAATGACTAATAGTATATAGCAAATGCATAGCAACTAATAGTCATTTATCATCAAGTAGTATGTATCGTACAGAATCGTACTTTCACTCCACTGGCAACAGAGTGGGTGTGTTTACACCAGCATCACCACAAACACATGACTAATATCTTGGGGACAAGGGCAACAATGTCACTAGGCCACAGGAATTTTTCAGTTCCATTATAATCTTAGGGGACCAAGGTCACACATGCGGTTCCTCCTAGGCAGAGAAGTCATTATGGCTGTACCACTTGACGCCTGGGTCCCACCCTCAGGGATCCTGATTTCAGTGGTTGGGGCAACAGGACTTATAACAGTTTTGGGGGTGATTCTAAAGAGCAACCCAGGTTGAGAAATGCTGTTCTAGAATACCTTGGTGTTTCAACCTGTATCTAAACCAGGTATTTTTTTTTCATTTTCAAAATGAAAGGAGGGAAAGGATGGTTGTGGGTGCACTTTCAATTGGTGGTTTTGAGCGTGGCCTAGTAAGGAACACTCCGGGCACCCTCCAACCACTTCACCGGGCAAGGAGACTCGATTCTCCCTTCACAGTGGTTCTGCTTGATGCTACGTAATTTCTGAAATTTCACAGAAGTTGTTTGCTGTGCTTAAACAATGATTGTTTAAATGTATTTTGTGTCTGGTTCATTTCTACAGGAAACAGAACTGCCTGGAGTTTTCAGAATATCCCCAACATAAATGGACAAAAACGTGGAATCTTACTACTGTTTTTAAAGTCATCAGCAAAAGACCCTAAACCATCCTCTCTAAAGTGCTTGTTCAGCATATGCTGCACCAATTAAGAATCCAAAAAGGTCCTCACGGTTAAACCAACTTTCTCCGAGGCCCCTTTAATTCGAGCCCTGGCACAGAATTCCAACAGGGAATAGCTGTCTTAGAATACAATCTACAAGGCGTCAATGCTCAGAACAATAAAAGTTGCAAAAAAAAAACCACACACACACAAACGAAGAGAGCAGGTTCGCTAGTTCCTACACCCAGAAACCTGGTTTTTCTCCCAAATCAAAACAGGGAAAGGCTGGGGTTTACAATGAACCGGGGGCACTTGGGAGAAGCTTCCCGTTTGAGTCAGAGAGCAAGCTCGAGCTTCGGAAGATGGATGGATGGGTTTTTGCAAAGAATTCGGGAGCCCCCAAAACGGCCAGGCGGAGGGCGGGGGTAGTGGTGCGGGGGGGGGGGGGGTAGGGAACAACCGCGGAAACGGCCAGCCCCCAGCGGATGGGAAGCCCACCGCCGAAGGCGGGCCCGAGTCCCCGAAGGTCGGTGGGGAGCGAGCGCACCCCTCTCTGAGAGGGCGCAGGAGCGGGAGGCCCACCGCAGCCGCGGGAAGCCGGCCCGGAGCCAGGAGGGCCGCACCGCCAACCCCGAGGGCACGTCGGGGGCCGCGGGGTGGGCGGGGGCGCGGGCTCGGGGGGAAGATGCGGGGCAGCGAGCACGGCGCTGACAGCTATGCAGGCGGCGGTCGGCTCGGCCGGGCTCGGCCCCGCGCGGCCCCGGGAGCTGCGGGCGCGGCGCAGGCCAGGCCGCCCAGGGACGGCTCCGCACCTCCTCTCCGCCTGCGCCGCCCAGAGCAAGAGGCTCCGCACGCCGTTACCTTGTCGCAGTAAAGCCCCACCAGCTGCTTCATCCGCCAGTGCGGGGCGGTGAACACGTCCACTTCTTCGGGAAAGGGCGCCATCGCCGCAGCCTCAGCCTCTGCCTCAGCAGCCGCGGCCGCCGCCTCTCCATAGACACCCTCGCCGCGGGGCAGAGGCGGCGCGCCCCCCTGCGCATGCGCCCGCCCCGTCGGCGCGCGCTGCCGGGCTGCCCGGCCGGTCGAGACGCGGGGGCGCGCGGGCAGCCGCCATGCGGGTCCCCTGGGCCACGTGACCGGGTGTGCAGCGTGGGCTCGAGCTTCCACCTCCCGCCTCCACTCTTTTCGTTCCATACCCTCTTCTGGTGTTGCAGAAAGAAATCAGGTCTTCCTGTTTGTTTTGCAACATAAAACAAGACTGGGTGTCGTTTTAGAGGCACTCTCGGCGTCTTTCTCCTTGCTGAGACGCCCACCAGACCTTGAGGCCACGGCAGCGAGCACAGTGGTCGCGGTTGGGCAGGGACCTCTCTGCCTGGGCACTGCGGGCACTGAGGCCCCGTGTGCAAGAGGGTGACTGTGCTGTGTGTGGCTCAGGTCCTTGTGAGCAACCCTTTGCCTCCCTGTAATACCTGGGTGTTAGACTCAACCACAAGCCCCAGTGATTGGTGAACCAGGACTGAGGGCTCCCAGAGCTTGCCACCTACAGCGGAAGAGTGACACGTGACAAGGCGGACACTTGGCAGCCCCAGCAGGCAGCTCAGGTCATGCGCCTGGGTCAGGGGCTGGGGCTGGAGCACAGAGACCAAGGACCTGGGTGGGCATCTCCTTCCACCTCTTTTGGGACGGTAGGGAAGGGCCTTGGAATTCTGGAGAATTATAGGAGGGAAAAAGTTCTTGGCATCAAGGAGGCGGGAAGGTACCTCGAGCATTGGAATGGCTGGTCAGCGACAGCTGAAAGGCCTTGGGTGGTGACTCATCACGGGAGGTTAGTGCAGTTGAGAACCTCGCTATATATTCCTCCATTTTAAGCAGCGGCTCAGAAAAAAAGACCTAAGGACGTCACTTCCCAGAGAAATGTCTCTCCTCCACAGGTCACCTGGGCCCTGCCGCGGCCCACGGGAAGACTGGGAGCCCGGTTATGGGCACCATTCACCCTGATCATACTTCCACAAAGAAATGGAAGAAATGACCATCCTTAGGGCTGGAGGACTAAGGAACACAAAGAAATGGAAGAAAACAGAAGCTGGAGAACCGGCGTAGGGTTAGATGGAGAGGAAAGAATTAAGAAATAAAATGGAGTCGCTATAATGAAGCTGCTAGCTTACCAGAATCAAGTGGGCTGAGGCAGGAAACATCTTGGACCAATCCAGGGGCTAAGAATGCAAGACGGATGCTTCTCAAGAATGTACATTTTACTGTAAGAACTCGGAGCTCCATGTTTTTTCTTCTTAGGAACATTCTGGATTTTGCCTAGTTGTGTGTCTGGTTTAAAAACCCCAAGACTCGAATAAATCTTTGCTATTTATTTCTGGCCAGAGCCTCCTGACTGTTTGTGCCCGGTTGACAATGGCCATAAACTCCAGGAGTGCAAGAACCACAGGTATGTTCTCTTCACCCCCTCTGTGCCCAGTATCAGTCACAGTTTCATGACACCCTATGGGTGTGATCAGTATTCCGGTTTTGCCAGATACCGCTGGTGTGCCCTTCAGTAAGCTCCATGACTTCTCTGGACCTCAGTTTCCTCATATGTAAAGTGGGGGTAACGCTGCTATAAACCAACCCTGAAGAGGGCCCTCTCTGTGCTGGCACCCTGATCTTGGCCTCTCAACATCCAGGACCATGAGGAATAAATTTCAGCTGTTTATAAACTCCCCAGTCTTGGTATTTTTGTTCTAGCGGTCTGAGCTAAGAGAAATCCCTAACTCATCAGGTGGTTGTGAGGATTAGAGAGAGCACGTGTGTTTGAACTGCTTCTAATAGTACCCGGGACATACAAGTACTGGTTTGTAAGCTGTGATTAGTGAATACCACAACTCTGAGGTGGTGTCCTTGCAAGCTGAGTCCTGAAGGCATTCTGGGAGTTGTCTGTGGCCCCACAAATTAGCAGATGAATAATCCGGCCGTCTGCATCCAGGTTTGACAATACCCTTCCAGGCACTGTGTTCGTTCTGTGAGGTGCCGAGGTGGTGATTTATACACAGTGTGTCCTGAGGACATAGGAATAATGCTTAGGTAAGAGCATGTAGGCGAGGTCCTTAATATCTTGCTCTCTCTCTCATTTTCTCCTTTTCCTTTCTTTTTATGTGCTGCTCTTTCACTAGGGTTTTGCCTCTGTATTTTTTTTAATATCCCCCAGGAGGCATTTCCTTATTCCCCCTCTATTTCTTTACTTCATTCTGGTCTTGGAATGTAGAATCACACCTCAGGTGAACCAGTTATGTAGACAAACCGTATAAATGGGAACATGGAAACAAGGATTTTGCTTTATCCTCAGCCCTTACGACAATGCCCATCATAGAGTTATTACTTAACATTTGTCGAATAAAGAAAGAAGGACCCTGGCTCGTGTGGCTCAGTGGACTGAGTGCCAGTGTGCGAACCAAAGGGCTGCCAGTTCAGTTCCCAGTCAGGGCACATGTCTGGGTCGTGGGCCAGGTCCCCAGTAGGGGCCGTGTGAGAGGTAACCACATACTGACGTTTCTCTCCTCTTTTTCCCTTCCCCCTCTCTATAAATAAATAAATAATCTTAAAAAAAAAAGAAAGAAGGAATGAGGGAAGTTCATGGCGTTCTAGTAATTTCCTAACTTTAACTGACTTGATAAGCCCAGCTTCATTTCCCGATGCCTCTCTGTGTCTGTGCCATTTCTCGGTGTGCTCCCTAGAATCAGGTACATGAAATAGGTGTTGAACAGCGAAAAAAGTCCATCCACAGTTTCACCGTGACCCAGAATTTGAAGCTGTAGTCAGCTGAACAGTAATAACAGCCACTTTGGACTCTGGCCATTTCAGGGAATTTGTTTAAGATGACAAAATGAAAGAAACAAAGTGATAAATAATAAGCCCTGTAGGTCAGTCTTCTCTTTGAAAGAAGCTGTTAATATCACCTCCATATGCTGAGTAATGTAGCAATTAATAACCTAATATAACAAGATAAGTGATTGATTTATACTAAACTTTAGCCCCAGAAAGAAGACATTGATCAGTTTAGCCTCACTATTGTAGGTTATTGCAACTACAGCAGATCAGGAACTTATTAAGGCCAAGGTTGTCCATTTAATCACCTGGCTGACTCTTCTGCTTTTCGACAGGAAAGATTCTAATGACCACCTTCCGGATTAGCCACCACAAGGGGAGTGGATAAGGCCTAAGAACAGAGAAAACACGTTGTATAGTGCCCGGAGGATCCATGGTTCCTTCTTTGCCATTCTCATCCTCCCCAAAAAACTGAAAGCTACAAGGGGAAACTCATGCCAACTCATTCCCCGGTGACTTAAAAATACGACACAAGGCCTCGTTAGTGTTTTCCAGCTCTAGTTTGAGGGCAGTGGAAAGGTTGCTGGTCCGGGAAAGTCAACTTGAAGACATTTAACTCTGTTTGTTTGAGGGTGACACAGCACTTTCCCAAACAGGGGGTTAGTTGTGAAAACAAACAATGAAAGAATGTTGCTATTGTAAAACAGCTGGAATTCCAGTCCTAACTCCTCCCAAAGTTAGTCCTCCCTCCGGGTCACAGGAGCCAATCAACAACCGTTACAGAATGAACAGTAGAGCGTTTGGTAAGGATGATGGCATTATTAAAAGAAAAGACAGGCTCTGGGTTGAAACGCAAAACCAGATACTACATTTTTTTCATTTTCCTTTAAGTTACTGTACTTTGTATGAGATATGTATAGCCTGCAGTTTGCCCTAAACCCTTACCTTCATTTTTTTTCACTGAAATAGTGAAAATATAATAAAACCTTTCAAACCATGACCAAAAATATTGGAAACAATTTTTTGGAAATAAATCAGTAGAATACTAGATACTAGACATTCATTCAGTAAACAAAGATGCATCTGTTAAAAAGCATCAGATAAATCTATGTTTGCTATGAAACCAGGATTTACTAAGTTAATAAAAAAAAACAATGTAGAGAACACTTGGTGAAATGTGCTTTCATTTGTGTTTTAAAAAAGATATACAGTGGTACCTCGGTACTCGTTAATTTGTTCCAACAAGTGGCAAGTGAGCAACAATTGATGAAGCATTTTCTCTGGCAGCGTGGTGTCGTGATTCACAGGTTCTAGCAAGTGCGATGAGTGGCAGGCAAACGCCAAGTGCTAAAACATTTTTTTCTCATCAAAATATGACCAGTACCAGGTTGAGTTCTGAACCAACGAGGACAGAGGTATGACTGTATTTCTAGAATAATAACAGCAGAAACTTGTGAGCGGGGGCTCTGGGATGCAAAGCAGTTAAATGCCTTTTACATATTGTCCCCTTTGCTAGTTTTAGTATTTTACTAGGTTTGCATAGTGCCCTTACAGTTACAAAAATGCACTGATAAGAATGCATTTTTAAAGAAGTGAGGCAATAACTTCTAAGTCTTTAAAAGTACTGTTAAAGGAAAAAATGTTTGATTATATATAATCAATAGATACAGAGCTAATTGCAAGTAGAACCATTTTATGTTTATCCCCAAGTGTTATTCTAACCTGTGCTTTGCCTCTGGCTTTTCTGTTTATAGTGCCATTTGATCCACGTCCACCTTCCCCTTGGAACCAGAACCACCTTGGAGGATAGGTACGGTGTTTTTAGTGACATCGGGGAAATGGGTATGGTAGAACATAAACTGAAAAAAGTGGGATCAAAATTGTTCATGCGGTATAACCCACACCAAGTTTACAAAAATGCATAGGAAGGGCTCGACATGAATGATGCAAAATCTTTACAGGTCTCCTTCGAAGATATTTTTATCTTCTTCCCAGTGTTTTAAATGAGCATATTGTACTTTCAATGTCAGACATACAGAAATGCACCCAGGCTGATGTGGCTCACTGAACTGAGTGCCGGGCTGTGAACCAAAGGGTCACCAGTTCAGTTCCCAGTCAGGGCACGTGCCTGGGTTGTGCTCCCAGTAGGGGAGCCACACATGGATGTTTCCCTCGCTTTCTCCCTCCCTTCCCCTCTCTAAAAATAAATGAATAAAATAAAATACAGACATGCATATGTTACAAACAATCTGATGACAACCACACTTAATAAATACACTTAAAGGGGGCTATGAGGGAGTACGCGTACATCAAAATGTTGACGATGGCTGTCTTTGGTGGTGGGACTGTGGTTGCTTTGAGGGAACGAGGAGCTACTTTTTTTCTCAAATTTTTAGCAAAATCTTTTCTGAAATTTTGTAGTTGAAAACATTTTTTTAAAGATTTCTGTTGTATTAACATTAACCACCGCAAGTTCGTGACGCCAGCACCGTCTCCAGTCTCTGCAGACCCACCTGCCTGGCAGACACGTGACGGAAGACCTGGGGTGCTTCCTGTACCTGTGCCCAGAGACCTTGCCTTCTCCTCCCGCCTCATGGCCCATCCTTCTGGCACGGGCCTTGCTCCACTTGTCACTAGGAGGCCATTCCAGTGAGTTCTGGCTGCGTTCTGTTCCTGAGACCACCGAGCCCCTGGGGCCCTTCGCACACGACACACACCCAGGACCTTCTCCAGCGCGGCTAGGCCTCCCTCCCCAGCCAAGGGTGTTGCTCTTTTAAAAGTCCACACAGTTGCTAGAAACTTGAGGGCTGGTATCTACCACGCTGGGCATTTCCCTGTCCAGTGTCCCTCTGCAGTCACAACAAGACTTGGCCCCTCACCAGAACTTCAAGTTTGTGTTTCGGGGGCACAGGTCCCCTTTTTGACTGACAGGACAGGCCATCGGATTGGATAAAGGTGTTCCTTACTGTGCCCGTTTATCAGAGTGTGACGCTCTTGCCCCTAGGGGTGGCCCTTGACACCCCACACGTGAGCAAACGAAACACCGGGACACATACAAAGGCGCAGAATAAAAGAAGAGCCAAGGCGAGGGAAAGGCACAGAAGACCAAGGAAGAGATAGGACAGAAGTAAAAAGACGAGGAACGGCAGAGTGCGGGGAGGAGGAAATAGGTGGAAATAGGAGAAAACAAAAATTAAAATGTATTAAGGTCTCACCATGCACCAGGCACTATAAATGCTTTGCATAAATTATCACGTAATGCTCACAATGATTGTATGTAGGAGGTTCAGTTTTTCTCACCTGGCAAAAAAGGAAAATGGTGTTGAGAGCATTACTGATTTGTCCAAGGTCTAGAGTCGGTTCATAGAAAATCAGGGAGATAAAAACCTGTCTTTCTCGGCCTAGAACATGTACTTAGCCCTACACTGAAGGACAATTCTCTGTCCTTAATTTGTATCAACAAACTAAATACCTAATATGAGCTATTAACTTCTGAACTGGAGTCGAGGGGACTGAGAAGAACGTGGGAAACACCACGAACTAGGTAAGTGTCCAACTGGAGAGGAGGCCCATTCCTTAGACGACCTTCTGAAGGGAAGCAGTTTAGATAATGCTAAGATCATAGTTTACTTCAATGCAAACATGGAGATGGAATGTGTAAAGTGCTTTATAATGTTTCTTTGCAAAAATTCTGAACAGAGGAGAGCCTTGGATTTCCTGAATGTCCCTGCGTGTCACTTACCTTGTTCTTAGTAAATGCTGCCAAGGCAACAGCAACTCCTTGACTCCAGTCACAGGCTCCACTATGGGCTGACTTTCACGGAACGAGCCAGTGCAGCGTCAGCGCACGTGGCCTGAGGGAGAGGTGCCTCGTCCCAAGAACAACTTGACTCAGCTCTTCGCACCATGTACCAAGGAAAACCATCACAAGTTGGAACAGAAATGGGCGATAAGCTTCCTGTAAAGTGTTGGGCTGACATTCATTGTGGTGATAAAATCTGGCAGGTAGTTGCTTAATTCCTGCTTACAGAAAAGGAACAAAAGTATTCAGGGAAGTATCAGCTGTTTCCTCCCTCCCGGCCCCTGACACGAAATGAAAAACAGCCCCCAGAAACCTAAAACACAGAGTGAAAAATATCCCTAGTTCCACAAGTTAACTCCCAGGAAAATTTTAAATGCTGAGAGCTATGTAGGCAGAAAGGAACAGGAGTATGTTACTGACCTTTGATTCCCGTAAGTTGACCCACAGCTTTTTAGGGGCTGGGGGCTGGGGAAGGGGAACAGCTGGCTACATACAACACTGAGCTGAGTTCTAATTCTGCCTCTGCCACTACCCACCCGCCCGTGGGACCTTGGACAGGTGTTTCAGGTTTGGGCTTCCAGTTCCTCATCTGTGCACACTCGCACAGATGAGGTCTGGGTGCCTTTGAGAGTGATGAGGGGTGATAAGTAACTACTGCATATTAATCTACAACCACGTGAAAAGGACTGTCCCGGGCAAGCGCTTACCTATTATGGGAAATCGGTCAGCAACCATCCAGATAAGTCCATCAAGAGGTACTTGACCTTTAGCCAACCATTTGTTTCTTTGTGTAACTAGTTCAACTATGATCTGTTCCCCTCGCTTTTCCTGAAATGTCTCTACCAAGGTGATTATTTGGATGCTACAGATATTTTCCCTCCTGTGCAAGACTGTGTGAAAACATCGGCATGTGCTTGTAATTGAACCGTCTGAAAGGTATTCTGTAACAGTCGAAAGAGGAAAGCAAAGTGGTTGGAGTATTGACCCGGTTTACCCATCTATAAAATGAGAGCGATACCTCGCAGGATGCCCAGACATAGGAAGCACTAAACATTAGCTCTCACTTTTACCTGTGAAATGTGGAGATGGGGCAAGCTGCTCTCTCTGATCTCCTTCAGTTCTGTTTCTAAGACCCTGAACACAGCTCCTTGAAAGCTGTTTGTTTAGGTTAATTCTACAAATTAAGTAAAGAAGGGAGGGCCTCAGAGTTAGATTTGGATGCTGTGGGACAAGAAACACAAAAGGTCACTGGCTGAAATAAGATCGTTTCTTTTTCTTCTTGTCATGATATTAGGTATCTAATGCCACATAACAAATTACACCGAAACTTAGTGGCTCAGAGCATTTATCCTTTCAGTTTCTGGGGATCAAGAACTCGCTGAGTCTTACAAGCTCAGGTTTTTTCCTGGGACTACAGTCAAGCTGGCCGTCCAGCCCCATGAAGTGAAAGAGTACGTCAAATCGACATAGTCTGCAGGACACAATGAATAAGAGGTGGCTGTGAAATACAGGCCAAGTGTGAATGCCCAGTCGGAGTCAGCGTAAGATGGGCTGCAATAAAAGGAATGTTATTATTCATGGAGAATCACAGACTTAAACAGGTTTCATCTTGCCAGCCTCTTCCAGTATATTCCTGAGAGATGATATATCTTCCTTACATGTACCATAATACTTCTATGATCTGCCTCTCCAAAAGTAAGGTAAATTATTCATTGACGATAGCCGTAGGTATTGCAACTGAAAGACTAACTACATACCACATTATCTCACAACATCATGAAGGAGGTTCCAGCAAATGAGCTCCGAGATGAGCAGAAGAGCAAACCAACGCTCTGAGAAGCACAAGTAGGGTTTGAAGCCAGATCTCTCCTTTTTACTGCATGCAGTGCTCTTTCCCTCCTGTGCAGCTGTCACACTTGACCTCCCACTAAACACAAGTCCTACCGCACAGCCTTCCTGGGAGCTTCGTCCATGCAAAGGGCTGCAGAGTGGGAAACAACACAGAGCCAAACAAGAGGCAGAAGACACATCGCTTTGAGGTTCTTAGCTAAGTGCTTCTCTCAGCTACATTAGTTGTGGGAGATTGGAAGAAGCAATAAGCTTCATGGACTGACTATGCAAGTGCAGTAAGACTTCAACCGGAGGGTGCGGAAGCCAAGGCTACCTGAACTAACCCGGCCCTTACAGTGTTCTTCACAGTACGGTCCTCAGGGAACCCGATGAAAGTCGCATCAGGTCCTTCCAAAGATACGATTTCTGAGACCCACCCTTGGAAATTTCATTGAGCACAAGGTCTCGGAATCTACATGGGATTCCTATTTAAAGTTTGACTAACACTATTCCGGTCACTAACTATGCTTCCATAACTAAAACTGTTTTTCAAACTTGGTAAGTTGGTTGTAGAATTCATGGGACTCACAGTATCATTTATGAAACACAGTGATGCAACACACTAACTGTAACACAGCTAAGTTTGGAAGCTACATTGCGATAGACTTCGGAAATAAACAGACCTGAGCTCAAATGTCTCCTCTGCTGCTTAGTAACTATGCCAGTGAGGGCAAGTTTTGAACATCTCTGAGACTTAATTTCCACTGCTGTAAAATATTAATTATGATGCCTTTGATGAGTTATTGGAAAAACTGATGATGATAATTTGCCTGGCTCATAGTAACCATCCAGTAAGCGATACATTTTTATTATTAAATTCCTAACACTGTATGAAGTAGGACACCATATCTTAATAGACTCCAGTATTAAGAGATACTAGGGGTCAGAGGTTTCAAATGGTCCCAACCATTCTAGTGGGTCAGCATGCCAACTTTGGAATCAGATTGTTCAGGTTCAAATTTCAGCTGGCCCACTTTCCCACTTACACCCAGCAGAATAAGTCAGAACTTCTTGCACCTTCTAGGAATGAGACCTCTGTCAGTATTGTTAAGCCACAAACCTGTTCACTCACTGTTCTGCTAAAGAAATTGTGAAGTGCAAACAATACTACCTACTGGACAAGATTATGGGAGGAGTAACTGAGATTATGCAGGCAAGCAGTTTACGACAATGCCCGGAACATAATCAAAGTGCTTTAGAAAAGAAACCTGCTCCTTCCTATTACTTAGGGAGCACTGCATGTCAGAAACTCCAGGTTCAATATGTCTAAAAGTTCACTCACCATTTTCTAGGTCCTCTGAGTTTTCCAAGCTGGTATCCTCACCTATGGTTATCACCATCCATCTATTCTAGCTAGTTGCCCTAGCTAAAATAATGGTAGCAAACAAACTTGAGTACAAGGCACTAGTCTAAGTACTTTTTGGTATTAAGTTATATCTATTCACAGTGACTGTATGGAGTGTGCCAGCACTAACATCATCTTGTTCCCCCCAGTGTGTCTTGTTCCCCACTAACCTGGGCCGTTTTTGAAAGTAGGGACACTGTTTGGTTCTTCTTTATATAACCCATGTTTCCCTGGGTCCTACTGGGCCTCAGATACAAATGAAGTCACAATATCATTAGTCTGTGAATCTTAGGGCTTCCTTGCCCCACCAGCAAGTGCAGAACTTGTAACTTCAGCCGACCTTCCTGACCATTACTGTGAAGCACTTCTGTGTCCCGGGGATGTTTCTCGCATGCTCAGTAACATTCACTCCCATTGCACCTACGCTGCTGCCCCAGATGACAAATGAGCCACTGTGTGTCTTCCGTTCTTCCTCTGGGTCCTGTCTTCTAAGATCATCATCATAAACTTAGGTGCACAGGTAGTAAAGAGTTGCTTTCTTCTTTGGGATGCACTGTTAGGGGGTCCCCAGGGAGGGTTGCTTTAGCCTTGTGTGTTTGGTGAGTTAGCTTCCAACCATTCACTTAGAGCCCTCTACTCCCTGGGCATCAGCCACACTGTCAGATGTCTGAGCGAGGGCAGAGGTGAGTTGCAGCCATACCATCGTACTCAGAATCCCTCCTTCATTCACTCCAACATGGTTTCAGTATTGGTCTAGCTCATTCCTTTTTCCCCCAGGATATTCCATCTTATGTAAGCTGCCTCAATAAACTTGGCAAACCTTTTGTGGGCCACCTCACCAGTACGCCGGATGTGTCTAAAATCATCCGGACTCCTGAGTGCTCACAGGGGATGCTCCAGGTGTACACTCCAAGCCACCTGTCTCCCCCTCCCACTCCCCTCACCAACCCATGGCCTTGCATGGAGCTGTGGGCACATTGGGGCCTCAATGAACATTTTTAAACATGTAATAAAAGTAAAATTGCATGCCACTTCAGCAGAACTAAAGTTTGCCTGAGGAAAGGAACACACATTTAGGATGAAACTCCCTGGCTCTCAGTTTCAAACTACACAGAAATCCTGACATTTAGAGAAAAAAGAATAAACCCTGGGCGCCCAGCCGAGGTGGAGGTAGCAGTTGCTAGGACCCTGATGGCCACAGTGCACACACCTATGTTCTCCAAGGCAGCCCTCCAGAGGCCCTGGGGTCACGGTGAACTGTTCAAAACAGACGCCACGCCCTTGGGATGAAGCAAGAGGAAGGTGAGTCACTTTCCTTGCGGCCAATTGCAGACAGATTGCCTCAAGTTCTGTCAACACATTTTTTTTTAGTACAGTTTCCATTTTATTTTTTTCCAGAGACATTTCCTTCATTTCCAGGGAGTCAGCTCCTTGCGTGGGCTTCAGGTCCTGCAGCAGCACCCGTAAGTCTAACTTGGGGTGGGGGCTGTTTGGTGCTTCAGGTCACAGAACCATCCCTGCCACCTTGCTGTGAATGGCACGACTCCCGTTGTCATGTAGTTTCCCATGCGGCTTGGCAAACACACAGGTGCCAAAGACACTCACTTGGGAAATGTCCCAGAAAAGCCCCAGAAGGCTGCCTCTCTGCTGTTCCGCATGACGAACTTCTTAAAGGCCTGGTCTCTGGGCATGTGGCAGGTGCAGTGGGGGCAGCGGGTAGGGTGTGCACGGCTGTGGCCTTTTCTGGCATAACTGCTGTTCCTTCTTTTCTTGGTCATCTTGGAAGCAAGGTGCAAGGGGGTCAGGCGTCTGGCCTGCCTCTCGTACATTACAGACACAATCTTTAAAAAATAAAAACATTTCGTTACCTGTCTTGTTTATCTAATGCAAACTTTTAGGCTGATTGGACTTTTCAGGTTTTTAATAGATATTTTTTGTTGTTTTGATGAAACGCAGCCTTTTGGGCAATGTGGTATTAGTGGAGAAAACTCATCCAACTGCTAAATAAATAAATTAGGGTTTTGAATATTGGTAGGGTTTCAGCTCACCGGTATTAAATAAGCTTCATTTCCAAAGAAATGACTAAATGTTGAATACTTTCTAGTTTAATGTGAACACTATAAATCATATTAGTATTATTGCAAAGTGCAACTATTAATCATGAAAATTTCAACTCACTCTTAATGATTTGAATCATGGTGCAGTGCAAAGGCATTTTATGTTACAGTA